GCGTTAATTATGTTACATGTTGTATATTATGTAATGGATATAAACTGCTTGATCGCGTGACTCGGTTTAAATCACTGATCTCATTTCATCTAAGCTCTTCGGAGTTCTTGCTTCAACGACTTAACTATTTTGAGTCCGAACGGATAGGTACCATCACCCCGTCTACTTCTGGTGGGGCAGCCGTTGTAGTGTAAAAACTCTGACCTTAGAACTCATGTCTCAATCTGAGTGGCATTTACGTTGTTCGTCTATGGGCTCCGGGAACCACTTAACTACAGGTGGGCCGCGAGCTCGTCCAGCCATCTAAGTAATAAAAAAAATGCTGACCGTATTATTTCTATTCGTGTAATACTTCAAATATTAAATAGAAAAAAAATACAACATTTTGTTTACAAACTTAAAAAAACACGACTTAATAACAAACCAAATTAAAAATTACGGTCATGGTAATAATCTTATTGTGCTATCATCAGTCCTTTTAGACGAGTGCAAAAACTTAACAGTACGTCTTGTAGTGTTTGAAAATTACGTTGAAACGTTCCGTTAGATAGAGAGATCCATCCAGGTCAAGCTAATAAAAGCGTGTTAATAACATTAAGTTTAGTCAACTTTGAATTATGATAATATTCTTTTTAAAACAGCAAGCAACATTTTCTTTCACACAGCAGTATGTAAACAATATTACCATAATATACGAACACAAACAATACAACACAAATTAATTCCTGTTGAGTTTAAAATCATTCTTTTTATTTCATTCACATGACTCATGCTTTTCCTCTTTGTATCGAGGTTTCTTGCTAGTTTCATAAATTGGCAAAATAAAAGATATAGATTAAAAAAATATACAAGCTTTTCAAATCTTTCGGCTATTGTTGTTTGACGTTTTTTTTTCCTGGTTTTGTTTTTCGTAAATTTATTTATTTCAAATATGTATTTTTTCAAGCACACGATTCGTTCTATAGTAGTTTCCACGATTGTTACAGTTTAATTCAAAAGTTATTGTAGTTTAAATAAATAAATGTGTTTAAACCTACAACGATGACTCACGTTACGATTGTTCGATCGTTTTTTGTAGACATTGTATAGGTATTTTATGACTGAAGTTCGGTTCGTAGATAGTTTCCTAATACATTATTAATACTCCACCTTACTTTGTATATTTGTTATTTGCTTAATTTCCTAAGTAGGATTTCGCAATTCATATTAAAGGTATTCTTGAGATTGTTTCTGAAGTGAAAGCATCTTTAGCAGCGTTCTGATTTGAAATTCGGAGAAACGAAAATATCACTCAAAAAAAGACTAACTATAGAATTTAGCCTGTGCGTGAATGAGATAAAATACCTTTGATGAATTAACTTCTACCGCGTATGAACTGTAATTTATTTTCAACTGTCGCACCTTTGCGCTAAGTTCTTTGTTTCCGTAAGAAATTAATGATTATTTATTTAATTTAGCTTTGCCGGAGCCTGTACACAAAACAAAGAGAATACGGCACTGGTGGTAGGACCTCTTGTGAGTCCGCACGGGTAGGTACCACCACCCCGCCTATTTCTGCCGTGAAGCAGTAATGCGTTTCGGTTTGAAGGGTGGGGTAGCCGTTGTAACTATACTTGAGACCTTAGAACTTGTATCTCGAGGTGGGTGGCGCATTTACGTTGTAGATGTCTATGGGCTCCAGTAACCACTTAACACCAGGTGGGCTGTGAGCTCGTCTACCCATCTAAGAAAAAAAAAAAAAACTCGAGACATGAATTCGAAGTGTGAATTGTGTTGCGTCCAGCAAACTGGAACGTATGACGTCATATATATCAACCCATAAATGGTAATAGGAGAAGGTTAGTGTGTAGGTAAACAAGTTAAAGTAAATACTAATCTACTACTACTGCTAAATGTTTGTGGAAGTAGTAGCAGCATCTCGAACATGCCGTTTTACCATCGGGCAGATTATTATTAACATCTGGGCTTTAATCCTGAGCCACTCACTTATTCTTTCAAAAACAGTTAGGTTGCAAAGTAATCTATATATTAATACGTAAAGCAAAAACTTTGTACCCCTTTTTACAAAAATTGCGCGAACAGAGGAGTGTGAAATTTCCCACACTTATAGATAATATAGGGAAGGGGTGCAGGATGCTAATATTTCTTTTTTAATTATGCCTAAAAATACATATTTTTTATTGCTTAGATGGATGGACGAGCTCATAGCCCACCTGGTGTTAAGTGGTTACTGGAGCCCATAGACATCTACAACGTAAATGCGTCACCCACCTCGAGATACAAGTTCTAAGGTCTCAAGTATAGTTATAACGGCTACCCCACCCTTCAAACCGAAACGCATTGCTGCTTCACGGTGGAAATAGGCGGGGTGGTGGTACCTACCCGTGCGGACTCCCAAGAGGTCCTGCCACCAGTAAGATTAAATCAATAAAAAAAACATTACACACACTACCATGTATTTGACACACACACGCATGCATAATATTTGTTTATTGTCAAACATTTCTTATTGTTTAGTCTGTGGTTAAATTGACAATAGATTAATATTGTTTGTCTTTATTAATATTTGTCTAAAGTGTAGTCTTGGTGAAATCTGTGATAATAGAAGTAAAATAGTAATTGACAATAGAATCACAATACAAACTTATAATTTCAATTAATTATAGTCGAATCTCGACTACCAGGGGACCACTATTTTATGTTAAATTTACAATAAACATCTAAGTGCATCAAGAAATTTACTTACAGGTTAACGGTTTATCGTTATTGAAAGGATTCTACCCCAATTAACTTATCTTATCGGTTTTAGTAAAAATACAAGGTCTTGTATCAATCAGAGTAGCTTCAAGCACTATCTAACTCGTAACTATTTCCAACGGTTTCTTTGTTTACTATTTACATTCAACTCTTTGTTCGTACTAATCATGTTTGGACATGACATAGGTATAATGTGTTATGACGAAATCGCAGTATTTAAAGTTGCATTTAAAACATTTGATATCATTTATCACACAGTAAACTATTTTGCAAAATATTTTCACTAACCAAACTAACATAACATTTTTTTTATTGCGTAGATGGGTGGACGAGCTCACAGCCCGCCTGATATTAAGTGGTTACTGGAGCCCACAGACATCTACAACGTAAATGCCGCGACCCACCTTGAGATATCAGTTCTAAGGTCTCAGTATAGTTACAACGGCTGTCCCACCCTTCAAAACCGAAACGCATTGCTGCTTCACGGCAGAAATAGCAGGGTGGTGATACCATACACGTGCGGACTCACAAGAGATCCTCCCACCAGTAATATAAACACAAGTCCAAAGTAAATGAGATATAAACAAAAAAAAAGTCAATAACTATGTTAATATTTAATTTTCTTCGCCATCTGCCGATCCGTTTCGGTGTCCTAAAAACGATTCATTTCAATTCACTTCTGCTAATTCGGTTGCAAAATAAACGCGGGGCCATTTCAGAAGTCTAAATGCAAAACGAGGGCAGTGCACTTAATTTACGCACACACTTGTACGTATCGCACGTACCGTTAATCAGAAGGCGGTCGTTGGTTGACACTATGTACTCGCGTGACAAACACAAACAAAATGTACCCGGTAAAGTTTGTTTGTTTTAATAATTATAAAGCGAACGAAAATAATTCATAACATTTGGACCGTAGTGTCGAAATTACTGTGATTTACGAATCTTGATTTGGACTTTCTCTCCTTTTCTCATTTTTTTCTATAAAATTCTGCTAACTGGGGGCTTAAACAATATATTTTTAAAACTCATCAATATCGTCGTGCACCTCAATAGAATTGCCTCCAATTGCTTTAAAAGATCATCGTATCATATTTTGCTTAACAGTTTTAGTGCCATTGATTTTTTCTCATATCTACTTAGAAATGCCAAATAAATCCTTTGTTTTTGAAGTCATATGTATTATAGAATAAAATAAAACAAGCTNACTGGGGGCTTAAACAATATATTTTTAAAACTCATCAATATCGTCGTGCACCTCAATAGAATTGCCTCCAATTGCTTTAAAAGATCATCGTATCATATTTTGCTTAACAGTTTTAGTGCCATTGATTTTTTCTCATATCTACTTAGAAATGCCAAATAAATCCTTTGTTTTTGAAGTCATATGTATTATAGAATAAAATAAAACAAGCTTAACAATAGCAAAACGAACTAAAATTAATTTCATTATTTTTTAAATCGTTGATACTGGTTATGTCATAGCATAGTTATCAGTTCTTGATGCGTGTGCAAATTTTCAAGTTAATAGGACATCTTGAAGTTGTTGAAAATGACATTCAAAAATTCCTTTTCGGTTTGAAGGGTGGGGCAGCCGTTGTATCTATACTTGAGACCTTAAAACTTATATCTCAAGGTGGGTGGCGCATTTACGTTGTAGATGTCTATGGGCTTCAGTAACCACTTAACACCAGGTGGGCTGTGAGCTCGTCCACCCATCTAAGCAATAAATAAATAAATAAATAAAACGTACATAAATACACGCTTACCTATCAAACTAATAACAGCGTATTCAAAACTCAGCAAGTCCGTGGTAATTGTGACGAACATGTTATAATGTAAAAATGAATACATATTGATTGGTAATGACTGTTTAAACCCGTACCAATCAGTACTAGCATTCTACTTATATCTGCCGCAAAGCAGTTATGTGTTCCCGTATGAAGAATTGAGAGAGCCTTTATACAATTTACCTCTGAGACTTCGGTTTCATGTCACAAGGTACGTGCCGGTATTCGCGTTTTGATGTCTAAGAGTGAAAACATCAGGTGAGCCATCAGCTCGTCGTTTTAACCGTATTCAGCGACCTGGCTCTGCCCCTTGGCATTGCTGAAGTCCATGAGCCGCATGCTCGTCTGCCTATAAGGGCAATAAAAAGAAAAACACATTTCTGCGGACTAGAAAACGTATGTATCTAAATAATAGAATAAATAAAAGTACATCTATACAAAATAAATCTTTATTACGGGATAGCACCTTATTAATGTCAAAATAAAAAAGATTACAATCTAAAGTATCTACTAAAGATTACAATATAGAAAATAATATATCTATATACATTATAGCTTGATAAATATTGAATTTAAACTGTAAATTCAAAACCTTAAACTAAAGCGTCTTAACTTATATTTTCGATTATAATTATCTTTCTGTTTACCTGACACGCGTGTTTTTTGTATTTTTTATTATAGAATAAAGTATATTGTATCTGTTCATACATACTTTAAATGGAAAGTATTCACAAATAAATAAACTGAAAACACTCAGATCGAAATTACACACTACAAATTGACTTTAACCACATTAACGGCACCTGGAACCAATTCATTAAGAGCAAGTTGTCCGCTTAAGTTTCTATTTTATGAAATTAAATACCTTTACTGCGGTACAAATACCTACACGGAACATTCTTAAAAGCAATGTTTAAACAGGTGACTTTTCTTGCAGAGGCACTTCTTCTGGAGTGGTCCCATTAGCAGTTGTAGCTGAACGTTCATTTGCTGCTCTTGGTGATGAACTGAATCTGTTTCTGATGGAACTCCAATTCTTTTTGATTGTAATGCCTGCTACTATTACCACCATACCGGCTACCATCATCCCAATGATTGATTTATCTACTCCTCCAGACTTAGTTTCCGCAGTAGTTGCTCCTACGGCTACCTTAACATCCGTATCCTTCTCTTTATTAGACTCTACAGTCGAAGTTGTTTGACCTGTTGCAATAGGTGCACTGTTAATAGCCGTTCTCAATGACACCTGACTATTTTGTAAAGGCTCTGTGTTCTTTTGTGTTTCTGTTTGCTTAGTGTCTGCTTGTGCAGTTTTAGCTACCTCAGGCTTGATTGCAGAATGAGATTCGTCTGCATATATTGATGTAAGAGCAATAGTGCCAGGTGAAATAGCGTCTAGCCAACCTTCGCCTTCCAATGGTCGTCGTGCATCTGGGCATTCAAATAAATGTTCTTTGCATGATTCTGTGCAGACGCTTTCTAAGGTGCCTTTAAAAGAGTTACATAATTCTTCATTTAAAGATGACGCAGCAGAGGGTAAAGTCAACTTACGAAGGCCTTTAAAATTCGAGAACAAATCTGTAGTGAGAGCCTGAAACGCAAAACAATTTATTTAAATCATTTTGTTTGATCGTCTTGTGGTTATTGATGGTTAGTTTTGTTTACGGTACGAAGGTGAATCGTTTCGATTCCCTGACGGAATCAGCTTATTTGTTATGGGTGTGGTGAAAAAGTACACCCAGACTCCAAAAGTCCGGCTGTACTCGTCCTATTTTTCTGCAACCCATAACACAGAATTTTCTATTGCAATAGATGGGTAAACGACGCTTAGTAGTTTGAGACATTAGCATAACATATGTTATTTTTAATTAAATGCAATGTAATTTATATTTTATTTGCTAATTATTTTTAACCACTGAAACATTTAGCTATTATCGCAAAAAGGAAGATGACAATTTAGAAAAAGTTGTAGAATTACAATGTTTAAATGAAATTTGTTCATTATGATATATTCTACTTAGAATTTCCATTTGTCATGCAAAGAAAAAAACAAATACTCACTGTCCTGATATCATTGCCGCCTAAATCCAGCTCTTCCAATTTTGTTAGTGAAAATCCGTTTTTCAAATCTTGTGGGTATTCAATTAATCTGTTATTTCCTAGTTTTAAGACCGTTAAACCAGGCAGCTCGCTGACTGACTGAAACGTGTTATAAATGATCTGTTTAAACAGCCTTCAAAACAAGTTCGAGTATATTTTAAAATTTCGATATATTATAACAACGGATGTTTTCGGAGAATTATTAACATTTTCAACATTTTACCTTTTTACCAACTTCGTAATTCCTAACTTAGTTTGATGTTAGGGCGCATTGCAAGCTCGCAATGCTGGCTTAATAAGTAATATTATTATGTTTTAAAGCCAAGAAGAAAGTTCTAAAATATACCTATGAAACGAAGTAAAAATAAATAAACACTTACGCCTAAATCCAAGCCCATGATAGAGTTTTTATTAGCATTTAAAACTTTCAAATTTTTGAGGGAAGCTACATCCTTCGGTATCCCAGTCAGTTTGTTGTTTTGTAAGTTTAGTATTGTAGTTCGTACATCTAAAGGAGTTGGGAATTCAGTGAGCCCATATCCTGAACAGTCTACTACGAAATTGCTCGAATCACCCTCAGTGTGGCACACGCACGGTTTTGGGCATGTTGAATCACCGGACTGTGTCGCAGTTCCTTCGGCATTAGCTGTCAACTGAACATCTTCGAGTAATGGAGCAGAAGATAGGGTAGTAACTTCTATTGGTTCTTCGATAGGACCTCCACCGCTGCCATCTAGAATACTTCCGTCTAATTCGGAATTAGTTTCAGGTGGAAATTGATTATCTGTTTCAACTGGAATAGGCGTTTCGTCGGATTTTATCCCAGCTTCACAACTGAAAAAAAAAAATGAAATTACTTACAAATATGTAGTAGCATGTGACTTATCGAACATATCTGTAGGTTTATCATGACGTGACGCAAAATTGCTACAAATAAGTGACAGATAATATTCATGATAAGTACTAGAAGGGCGCGACGGAGACGAACATATTAAAAAATTTAAATAAGTGAAATCGGCTATTTGAATGATCATTTCCGAAAATAAATAATTTAACATATATCAATACAAATACTCAGAACAATAAAGAACGATTAATATTCTATGCACAATTTAAATGTAACAATGTTTTTACTAATTATATAACTCCAGACACTTATTGTGCTTGAGAGAAGCCTTGACACATAAAGATTCAAATGTACCAAAATGATACGAAAGGTTGAGATAAACCAAAGTACAATACAATTTGACGAAAATTATTCACGATATGTAAACCGGAACGTGCATGAAATCAAATCACGAAATGAATTAAAAAATACTTACGTGACTAGTGTGATCAGCAACAACAGGCAGAGGTGTTTGAGCGTCATGGTCACTCACTAACGCGATCACTGATGCGACCTGCCGATTAAGTTCAGGAGTTGTTGTGTTACCTGTCCCCGCGCGAGTACCAACGTAGCGTACAGCGCATAACTCACTGACACTTATAACTATTATCACTCAATGATAAGATTACCTGCGGCATGGTAAGCTTATCGCGAATCAAACCCGATAACTACATTCTGCAGAAATGGGAAAATGTTGGGCAGTTGATTTTCAGTGGCGCTCACTACTAAAATCGATTAAACTAACAAACACGTGTCTTTGAACTTGTTACACGGTTGCAAAAGTCTTTAACTACAAAATAGAGAAACACGTTATGTCTTTCTGATATTACCGAATCGTATCAAATGTCCGTGATCAAACACAGTAACGGTGTTTTATTTGACACGATATTATGTTTAGTAATAATTTACGCTTGAAGTTTGACACAACAGATGTAAATACAATAAAAGAACTTAATCATCAAAGTGACGTCGATAACTTAGAATTTATTGTATCAAATTAAAATTTCTTAGAGTCCTAACTAAGCTCTATTTGATATCATTACTTATCACAGACGTCACTGAAACGTGATTAATTTTATACAGTAACTAGCTTTTGCCTGCGAGTCCGTCCCCGTGTAATAGTTACTTTGGCATAACGCAAAATTTTACCCCCACTTCATTTACGTAGAAAGTGAAAATATTTTTGAATTATAGAATGTCAAGGATCTATTTAAAACCCTATTTTGAAACATTATTTATTGGTGCTCCACTTGTATTGGCCTTACCGTGATGTTATATGGCCTCCTCAAAAAATGAGCTATCTAACACTGAAAGAATTTTTCAAATCGGACCAGTAGTTCCTGAGATTAGCGCGTTCAAACAAACAAACTCTTAAGCTTTATAATATTAGTATAGATATACTCAGTAGAACGTATGACGTAGGAGGAGGTAGAACGGACTGCTCAAGATCGATGCAAATGGATGAATTTGATTCAAGTCCTTTTTTTTTCTACCTAATCTGGTAGCCTAGAGAGGCTGTTCCAGCGGAACCTTAACTAGTAGGTGAGCTCACGGGGCTCAAACCTGACGACGTTGCTAACACGAACCCTAGCAACAGCCGTGCTTCGCAGAATCTCTCACCGGATCGGAAACGCGACACACTGAGAAGATCCGGCGAGAAACTCAGTGGGCTGTGTCTGAGAGTTAATTTACTCGTCGAGCGCTTCATCGCAAGCGACGGGTTCGACGAGAACGGTGACCGGTGCTTGAAGTACTTAGAAGCACCGTTAGTGGATCGGGAGGATCCGAGATGACGTGTTTTGGGCGACGTCGACTGCTTTCCATTCTTTCCGCAGGATCGGGAATGACTACAACACAATGTTCAACAACGAATACGATCGTTGTCACACATTAAATTAAATTTCTACAGAAATACGAATTCGGGAAGACGATGTTATCTACAACAAATGTCTAGTTTTATCTATTCACCACACAATTAATGACAAAATAATGATTTTACACAACAAGTTTACGTAATCAACACTGTGTGTAATTATCTAATTCACATTATCGTTAACAGTTGTAAGTTCCGTCCTGCGACAGACTATTAAATCTAGATGATAATTTTGTTTTAGTACTGCAATGGAGGCGACCTAGCGGATTATCTTCAAACGAACCGGCTGCTCAGCGAGACCACGATCCAGTTGTTCTTAGCGCAGCTTGCAGAAGCGATGAGCGCCATCCACGCGAAGGGCATCGTCCACCGTGACTTGAAGCCGCAAAACATACTCCTCACTCATTCTATCCTACCGCCTCGTACTCCACACCCATCAGATATAACACTCAAAATTGGTAAGCAAATCACACTTTCTACTGCTCAAACAAACGTCCAATTTTGGCGTCGTTGGAAGCGTAAAAGACCGAATTCGACTAATGCATACTTTAAGCCAACATCTCGTTGATGATTTTAAAATGTAAATGTTCCTCAATTTATGGGAACATGGCAACAATCAAAATTAGGATCTAGAATATCTTATAAGTAAAAATTAACATACAAATTATACTAATAAACAATAACATATCTACATACAGCTCACTAAAAAAAAGTATTTTTCTTTTGAAGAGCTCACGGAATCGGGCGGCGGTATTCTGTCCAAAAAAAAAGGATAAAATATATATTTGATATAAATCGAAACCACCCAGGGACATACAATATTGATAAATAAACATACAGAAAAATATTTATATAAAAATATTAATTTGCATAGTAATATTTATATTTCTGCACTATTTTATCGACAGATAGTAAAGTTTTTACAGATTATTTGTTAAATTTATTCTTGTAAAACACAAATAAATTTTAAAACTTAGTAATTTTATGATGAAATTTGTTGGCTGTAAGGGAGTTCGGTGTTATCATATCCGGTAAAACATTCGAAAATATCGGTGTTATCTTCGCAAATCTGACTCATTTCAGTTACGACATTATTTATGACCTAGACTAGATCTCGCGCTATCAACATTATCAGAATTAAGATACTGGTAATACTTGAAATTTGTGCAGATAAAGGAAAATGAATACCTCGTTTTCTTTGAATATTAAATACAAACATAAACAAAAAATAATATATGCAAGTTGATTTGTTCGCGCTCAATGAGGATATTTTTTATTGGCGTCGATGGGCAGACTAGTTCTCGGCCTACTTAGAATTAAAAGGTGAAATTAAGTTGTAACCTAAATGCAGCTTATATTTATGTCTTGATTCTGACTCTAATATTCTACTGATTCATATAACGTGATAACATTTTTTCATCTTAATAGTATTCACTATTATATCCACATTTAACTTAATAATAGAATAATTTATTTACTTTTATACAATACGTAACATTGATTGTGATTTGTTTGTAAATCAATACAGCTGACTTCGGATTCGCAAGGTTCCTGGAAGAAGGAAATATGGCCGTTACGCTCTGCGGCTCCCCAATGTACATGGTAAATAACTCGTTCAGCTTAATACGATAGTTAATAGTCGTACCGTAACATTTTATCTTCAAGTAAATGCTAGTTACGTTTGAACAAGGTTACGACGTGCCTCGATTCAATATCGGTTTTGTGCTGTAAAATTATTTAAAGAAATCTTCATTTTAATTTTCAGGCTCCAGAAGTTATAATGTCCCTGAAATACGACGCCAAAGCAGACCTGTGGAGCCTCGGCACAATAGTCTACCAGTGCCTTACCGGGAAGGCTCCCTTCCAAGCCACCACACCACACGAACTGAAAGCTTTCTATGAAAATAGCGTCGATCTTCAGCCCAAGTAAATGTTTCTAAGTATAATTAAAAAAACTCACTACGTAACGTTTCCGTTATCTATTTGTGGTATACTAAAATTATTTCGGCCAATGATTTATTTTAATTAGGCTTCCCTAATAAATCTTTTAAAACTTTAAATTTACGAAAATTTTGGTCGTTATGAGGGTTCTACATAAATTTTAGTAAATAAAATATGTATTATATTTTCATCAAACTCTGTTTTATGATTAGGAAAAATTTCCGTTAAAATCGAAAGATCAGCCCTTTTTAAAACATGCACACCAAACAAGCGACTGATGGGTTTAAAAAGAAATGTAAATAATAACACTCCCCTATAAGGGAATCGTTTTCTAAAATGAAACTGATGGTAGAACTTTTGACTTAAATTCTTACAAATAAACACTGTAATTCCTGTTTCAACATTGCTAAAGTTACACCGCCTCCATCGCATTATTTTACTTAAATTGCATTCCGTCTATCTTATTGACCCAGTAATGAACACAATATATTTTGTGTCAAAATTATAAACACTTTAAAAAGTTTTAAGATAAGTTTCATTTAAACTTTGTTGCTACGTTTTTTGTGAGGTCATTCATTTTTTCTCAGTTGAAAGAATAGTTTCAAGGTTTAAATTTTAATCTATTTGCGTTGTAATATAAATTACTGTCCTAAATATAGTTATTATTTAGGAAATTAAGTGCCCTTGGAACTTAGATATTATTTTGGAAAATCATTTCACTTTTTTTTGAGAATATATATAATTTATAAGTACTCTGTATAATAAACCGTATCATGATAATGTGGAGTGAAGAATAAAAAGTAATTAGTAACTTTATATTTCATGTATTAGACCTACAATGTAAAAGTTCGTGCTACACGTAGAGATGCTCCCGGAATCCACTGAGTTTCTCGCCGGATCTTCTCAGTGGATCGGGATTCTGATCTGGTACTGTACTGCTCGTGCTAGGGATAGTGTTAGCAAATTCTCTCAGGTTGAGCCCGTGAGCTCACCCACCCGTCGGCGCGTAGCTGGAATAGTGCCTTAGGCTACCGGCAAATTGGTAGGGGAAAAAACGCTTCCGGGTCATCAGGTCATTGACCCCATGTGTCAATGTTTCTTACATTGCGTGCAGTGCAAAAAACGTTAAACTATTAAAATACATAACAAATGACCGGTTAAGGTTCTCAAGATTGCTTTGCTAAATTTAAGCATAAGTATAAACATATGTACACTAAATTAGCAGTAGTTGTAATTACATAAATAAATAAAAACGCAACTAAACCACTAGTTTTAATGTTTAAGACATAACTAATAAATACATAAATGTTGATATTTTCTTTAAGAATCCCACCAGGAACGAGTCCAGAACTGTGCAGCTTATTGATTGGCCTACTTCGACGAAACCCTCGAGAACGCATGTCATTCGAAATGTTCTTCAATCATCCCTTTCTTCAACGATCGCGCAATACAAACGTCCCCAGTAAGTACAATTGTTTCAGATACCTCCATTCTACATGTAATACTACTGTTAGGCATGAATGCTGTTTGATATTCTTCACAATCTACTTACATTACGCAAACTTATTTTTCATTTCAATTCTCACAATATCATTGGTGGATTGCGATAGGTAGTTAAATATAATGTGTTTTTTTTATTATTTTTTTGTTTTAAGTAAACGTTAGCTGGAAATATTTGATACTAGGTATAGCATATTATATTTTAATAAATTATTTTATATATTACTTAGTAGTAAACATGTATTTTAGTATTTTCTTTAAACAATGCTACTCTAAAATGTTGATGAAATTTTCCAAAACCTTAATTACATATTCATTATATACCTCATTTTAAAAAACTTCTCCTCCACCACACGTACTTCTCACAATGTTTTTTTTTTTGTTTTACTTTGAAAAATAACCAGTAATCAAACTCATACATAGTAGGACCCGATTTGTTAATAATATTCACACTATTCACACGCTTTTCATGTTTCTGTACAAAACCACTCTTTTTAGTCACTATGATGGTTAATTTCATTCGCACTTTCAAAACGCTCTTAACACGCCAAAATTCATACATACACTATAAAATAATTTCATAACCTAATTAAATTTATATTTATATCAAGAATAACTCTCCATATAAATCAGAGGTCCATGAGTTTTTGAACTACGTTTCTTTGTAACACGTAATTTTTTTAACAATAATACTGCGTAACACAGCTGTTGTGTGTTGTTCAGGTTTAGATTCGGATCTTCCCGTTATATTGGAGAGCAATCTCGAGAGTCGACCCGATACTAACTGTTGTTACCTACAGGAGTCGTGGGAGAGCCAGGGTACTGATTTTAACTCCGCTTTTTTTTTTCATGTTGCATGGGATTGGGGTGTTTGGTTTTTCTCCCTGCGTAATGACTGAATATAAGCATGTATCAATAACGGTGTATTATATACACGCTGCAAACTGATTAATAGTTCGTTATCTTTTATTTCCGAACGTATAAATAACTCGTGTAGTTCAAAAATTTTTAGGACTGCATCCATATAATTTTTTTGGGTAACGTTTTATTCGTTCATTCTTTCGCGGCTTATTGTTTAGACTGTAGTGTTGTGCACTTTTCGTTTGAGATCGCTATAAAATCCATTGGATACTCAGAAGTTGCATGTCAAAAGTTATTCTTTGAAAAGAAATTGTGCTAATTTGATATGTGAAATATGTTGTATTTTATCCAAACTAAGCAGGCTGGGCTTCTTTAGACGTCAACGACTACTGATCTTTCTGACCTAAATGTTTTAAGTTCTTTTTTACTATTCATGCTCTATTGTTTTGTGAGTTTTGTAAAACTGAATAAGTAGGTACGCAAGTGTGCTAAGAAAAAACGCCAATACGTGTACATAACACCAAATATGATTGAATATACCTCACTTGTAATATAACATAGATTCTAATATTTTAATAAGATGTAGGACATGTAAGTGCACAATAAGTCCACCTCGGTATCACGCTCACACGGCCGCGCCATGATAGGAGTGATACTGTTACATCCCTTTTTATTATTTGACAATTAGATTTTGAAATCAAAAAGGATTTTATTATGTCTCTTGTATCATTTCATTTTGCCTTTCCCATTAGGGATAAATTAATAATATCATCATCATGTCTGTTTGGTAAAATATGTAAACAAAAAAGAAAATTAAGACACCCCATCACAGAATTGAATTTGAATAATAAAAGCAAATTTATTGTAAACGTGGTTATCGTACAGGTACGCCCAAGTTTGAGTGAATCTAGTTAAGAGTAAAAGTACAATTGCGTATTATTATGTGTAGAGATGGGATCGTGTGCGGGTCCGTCCGTGGTGGCGAACCGAGCGCCCCCCTCCCGCGCCACCCCGCCCGCGCCCCTGCCCCTAGCCTTACCCACTGCCAAGAAAACACAGCCAACATCCTCCGGTGAGCTTTTATTTATTATATTATAAGAGACTTTTTGGCGGGAACGCTAAGAACTGATTCTTGTGAATCGTTTTATTTTAGTAATAAAGTGTTTCTTCAGGCTTAAACGTACATTAACGGTGGTTTTTTAACTGTTTAGCGTCTGTGAAAGTGCACAAATGTTGGAAAATAAAATAAAGCTGCCGGAAGTAGCATCTCGGGTTCTTTTCAAAGTCTTAGTAAATAACCACAATTTTACTGAGAATTTGTTTCATGCCATCTCATTTTCAAATGATTAAAGTCTCAAATTAATCAACTTCACCTCATTTAACTTCGTATAATTTTTCACGTAAGAGAATTTAAGAAAAAATAAGACATGGCTTAAAGATTTCGCTATCAGGCCATAAAATCTTATATTATAATCACGCCCTTACGGATCCATCAGATCCAATAACTCTTACACTAGACGCCTTCAGCTCTAACGCTAGGAGCAGGCTTAGGGACCCCGGTAACCGTACTTGTCGAACTCGACAAAGAGTTCGACGTGCAACCTAACCCATGCATCATCCCGCTGAGTTTCTCGCCGGATCTTCTCAGTGGGTCGCGATTCCGGTAGTAGATTAATTCGTCAAGCAGCTGCTCTTGAGTTGTTAGGTCTCCTTTGGAGGCGCTCGGGCAGCTGTTAGCAAATCCCACCTCTTCTGTCCTGGTGAAACTGGAAAGGCCTCTGAGCTACCAGTAATCCCTCATTCATGAATATTAACTTTTAATATAACTTTAATTAATTTCGATTGTAGACTAGCAAACGGACTGCCTGTTATTAATTTTGTTATCGTGCTTACAGAAAAATCTAAATATTAAAAAAAAAGTCAGAATTACCCTTATTCTTTGTTAATATATATTATACATATATGTAAATATATTCATACAAAATACACGTGAACAATAAAATAACGAAACAAACTAACTTCTTAACCTCATTAGCATAAGTATTGCTAACACCATATTCTATTGTTTGATTTGAAATAAACAATAACTTTTTTACGCCTATTGCGGTAATTATCTAGTTAATAATAGTTAAGGTCTAAGCTAGTGACCATTGATAATTTCAAAAACAAATCTAAACTGATTGTTATGTTTTTCACTACATTAAAAAATAATCTATATACTTAAATAGACAAAGAGAAAACTACTATAATAGCTACGTTCCGTTTTCAACTCTGTTTGTCAACTTTTTTGTTATTATAATAGTATGTATACACAATCTTTTAGTGNAGTTAATAATAGTTAAGGTCTAAGCTAGTGACCATTGATAATTTCAAAAACAAATCTAAACTGATTGTTATGTTTTTCACTACATTAAAAAATAATCTATATACTTAAATAGACAAAGAGAAAACTACTATAATAGCTACGTTCCGTTTTCAACTCTGTTTGTCAACTTTTTTGTTATTATAATAGTATGTATACACAAGCTTTTAGTGTCATCAAAATATTTGTTTGGAAACAACTAGTATATTTAGATCTCAATAACGAAACCGGCGAAATATAATGTAATACACAAAATTTATCCAAGTCTTCAAGTGTCTGTGAATTTGGATGATTGGGCGAACACTAGTTTATAGAGTAACAAATTAACACGAGAATAATATGAGCATGAATGAATTTTACTATTCCGCATAATAAAGTGTTTTTATCACAAAACCTAGTGTAATAGAGGCTACGAATGCGTTAGCTTCGGTCGTAATAATCAACTGTTGATACGGTACGAGTATACCTTGATAAGATATTCGTTTTTTGGAATCAAATGAATGGATCATTTTCATGAGTAATGGTTTTAGAAATGGTATAGAAATGGTATAAAAAAATACAATATTAATAATGTTTGCGGTAATCAAACACAATATGTTTGATACAATAAACATTTTAATACGATAAGAAATTTTAATACAATTTTTTCCTACATTTAATGCTTACAAAAATTAATGAAAGTTAAATTAAGGTCTGAGACAAAAGATAAATATGTTTTATTCTTCTACATCACCTAACACATTTAATAATAATTCCAAAGAAAACAGATATTGAACCCAAGTTACACTGCTTGGGTTCAATGTCTCAAATATAGCAGTTAAGTTGGAATATTCTTTTCTTTTTAGCAAAACAATGGACATAATGTGCATAAAATAAATCTATGAATTGTCAATGATTATAATTGTAGGAAGGAACACTAGTAAAATTAAATTGTTTTCCGTAATTCTGTAATTATTATGAGCTAGGCTAGCTTTTGTGCTGTACAAAGAAAATTGGAATATTCAATGCGTTTTGTAAGTGTACTAGTAATCGTAAGATAAATCGTAGTTGTTTTCGGTTTTCGAAGTAGAATCTTAAAATGTAGGTGAGGGGCGATGCAGTATTCTAAACTAGGACAGTTTAATATAATATCATAGCAAATTGTCAAGGGAAATTTAGAATATTTTCTTTGATACAGAATCACGTTGGAAAGTTTTTTTTTTTCATGTTCCATGTATAGTAACTATTGACGGGTTTGTCAATAATGAAACGTGATATGTACATAAAATGATTCTTGAATGAACGAAATCTGGAGGTGTCAGTGAATACTATCGAATTTCGATCATCGGTCGAACACTAGTTTGAAAAAACTACACAAGTCGATTGATTTATTGGTTATTATTGCAGATTCGTCGGAGGTTGGTTGGGCGGGAGAAGAGGACTTTGTGTTGGTGGAGGCGACGGAGAGCGGATCCGCAGAGTGCTCGGCCGCCTCCTCCGGCTCGGAGGCTGCGTCCCGACCCCGCTCCCTGGCGCTCCCCGCGCCCCCCGCACCCGCCTCCCCTTGCACACCTACCGCGGTACGTCACACCCCACGATTCCGTCTCACTCACACATCCGCTATCATCTGCTTGTTGAGTACACCTTTACAACACGTAAATATATCGCAACGAGATAACATAAACTATTGCTGAGCTAAACACATGCGTCATCATCACTGCTTGAGTTACACGTATCGTTCACGTTCGGTGGAGACAAATGAGTAGCGTGTCGGTGTACATTGCAGAGCCCACTGACCGCGGCCACTAACACTACTGTACCGCGATCTCAGCCCATCGACGTGCGCCGAACGACCTACAGCCGCAACGCCACGAACATCGGCTCGCTCTCGCCGCCCACTGTGAGTGCGCTCGCGGTCCCACCTCGCACGGGGTCCGGCCCTGGCTATATCGTGACATCGAGTCCTGGCCACAGACCGATGAGTTTTATATCATTTCTAGAAACGTTGATAGCGATATGTGTGCGCTATAAATAAATATACTAAATACAACGTAGTAGGTAAGCAGCGGCTTGGCTCTGCCCCTGGCATTGCTGAAGTCCATGGGCGACGGTAACCACTCACCATCAGGTGGGCCGTATGCTCGTCTGCCTACAAGGGCAATAAAAAATAAAAATAAAAAAAATACAAATCTGAGAAACGAGCAAGCAGTGTATAGCGGTTTGATGGTGACGAATGTTCTCAACGAATGACACCTACGGACTCAAAGCGAAATCTACATTCACTCCGATTTATATTGTTTATCGTCTCGCTCAATCGTCAGGTCTCTCGTCGGTCCATACGCCGCGCCGTCCTATTGCACCAACAATGTAAGATAGTTGGCGGCGCGATTGTAAACCGTATTTCATTTATACATATACACATAATAAAACAGTTTTATATTTATGCGAAACAAAGCAGAGGGTGGCCGGATTTTGTTACTCTGAATAATAAAATCGTATTTACGTGTATTGAATTTTAAATAAATTATACATAATATGTGCAATAATATCTAGGTCAAGGACCTATTTCTTGGTTGATTGACCTATATCTCAAGTGTGGCGCATTTACGTTGTATATGTCTATGGGTTCCAGTAACCAATGAACACCAGGTGGGCTGTGAGCTCGTCCACCCATCTAAGCAATAAAAAAAAATCTATATATATAAAAATTAATTGCCGTTCGTTAGTCTCGCTAAAACTCGAGAACGGCTGGACCGATATGGCTAATTTTGGTCTTGAATTACTTGTGGAAGTCCAGAGAAGGTTTAAAAGGTTAGATAAATATGAAAACGCTCGGAATTAAATAAAAATAACAATTTTGTTTTCCCTTTGACGTGTCCCCCGTCGGACGGATTCCTTTTGTTTCTTTTAAGTTTATTTTATACAAAAGTTTAGGTCTTTTATTTATCGATTGAGGCACTACGAAGTCTGCCGGGTCAGCTAGTATATATATATATAAATTGTAATGATAATAGAACGAGTACGAGTTCAAGTTAGCTGTATTTGCATACAATAATGAAGTTTGTCAACGTAGATGCCGTTCGCGATGGGCACGCCGCCGTCGACGCGGCGTCGCAGCAGCAACAGCGGCAGCTCCCCGCCGCCGCAGCTGTGGCAGGTGTCGCCGACCAACGCGAGCCCGCTGCGCAGGTCCGGCTGGCCGGCCGCAGGTTCGAACAACCTCAGTTATAACTCGTCAATATATTCTAAGCACAGACACTCTTTACATTAGACATGCCACGAATATTCGGCTACTATTCGGTATTCGGCTTATTCGGCCACTTTGTTTGGTATTCGGTATTCGGCCGAATAATAGGTAGTATTCGGTCGAATACCGAAAAATGACGGGCAGGTCTCAAATCACGTTTCGTCAAAAAACTAGAATCAAGATTTTTATTTATTATTTTCACTAGAAATCTCATAATATTCCCATATGGCCGATGTTTTATTAATTGGTGTTATTTTTTAATGAACAAACAATTGAAAAAGAACTAATGAACAAACTTTTCTACAAAATCGTAATGTTTTAGGTATTTAATTTGTTGTTTATATTGATCTGACAAAGCGTGCCGTGACGTGATTTACTCGCAACTGAAACAGTCAAATGGCCGGACACCGACCGCGCACGATGGAGACAAGTCCCGACCTGTCGTATTATTCTTTACACGCTCGACTAACTAGCATGTACTTTGTGCCGAATATTCGACGCTTGGGCCGACAGCGTTGCCGAATATTCGGTAATCGGCCAAATCACTATTCATGGCAACTCTACTTTACATTCCCTTCGAAATCTTTATTTAACCTAGATTACTCAGTTTTAATACCGCAAAATGAGGGAATCAGGAAACATCGGTGGTAGGACGTCTTGTGAGCCCGCAATGGTAGGTACCACCACCCCGCCTATTTCTGCCGTGAAGCAGTAATGCGTTTCGATTTGAAGGGTGGGGCAGCCGTTATAACTATACTTGAGATCTTAGAACTCATATCTCAAGGTGGGTGGCGGCATTTACGTTCTAGATGTCTATGGGCTCCAGTAACCACTTAACACCAGCTGGGCTGTGCGCTCGTCCACCCGTTGAAGCAATAAAAAAAAGAATATTTCAGTCAGTAATTTATGAAGTACGACATGGTGTTGTTGTCTAGGCTCGTCCCCGCCCAGTGCGCTGGCGCTGCGTGCGAGCGGGGAGTGCGGGGGCGGCGCGGGGGGCGCGCTCGGCGACGTGCTGCGCGGCATGAAGCCCGACCCGCCCGTCTACATACCCAACCTGCAGGAGGAGACCATACTCGCGGTAACCGACACCACACCACATTGATTTTTTTTTCTACCTAAGCTGAGATCCTTGAGAGGCTATTTCAGCATAAGCTTAACTAGTAGGGGAGCTCACGGCGCTCAAATCTGACGACGTTGCTAACACGAATCCTAGCAAGAGCCGTGCTTCGCAGAATCTACCACCGGATCGGAAACGCGACCCACTGAGAAGATCCGGCGAGAAACTCAATGGGCTGTGTTTAAGGTTAATTTACTCCTCGAGCCCTTCATTGCAAGCGACGGGCTCGACGTGAACGATGACCGGTGTTTGAGGTACCTAAAAGCACCGTTAGTAGATCGGGGGGATCCGAAATGACGTGTTTGGGGCGACGTCGACTGCTTTCCATTCTGTCCGCAGGATCGGGAATGGACCACATTTTATTACGTCATACCTATATAGCCAATGTACCGTGCATTTGAAACGAGAGTACACTGTTCCATTGGCATTAATAATTTACTTTGACGCGGCCTTCATACTCGCTAAACTATTGCTGAAATAAAGTAAAGCTCAATAAAAAACATGTAAAGTTATTTAATAAAGTTTCGAATGACAGAACGAACGAGGAAGAAAGAGAAAGAACATACATGTTCAGAAACTCTCCTAATCGAAGTTTTAAATAAGATAATATCTGTTGTTATTGAGAAGACTAACAATGCACTTAAGTGTATGAAACACATTCACGTGTTCAAATTACTTACAGAACAATAACATGTGTCGATCCCACTTAAGATATTTTTACTTAATATACAAATTATAGCACAAGACAATATCACATGTGTCAGCAGTGTACTACACGTAGATAAATCAATATACTGTTAATTGAAAGACAACAAAAATTAGAACAAAGGCAAAGAGAGGTAACTCGGCTAATGCTCTCTATTATAATACTAGTTACAATTCGGTCGAATGTTGAGCAAACATAAACAAAACAATGCACACAAAAAAAAATTTTATTCCTTGATAAATGAGTGTGAAGGTTCTAGTAATATTATTACGCCGGTAAGAGTAGTGGCATCTGTCGTCGAATAGCAGAAACGAATATCAAAAGAACCAGTAAAATCGAAAACGTTCGAGAAGTGCAACGCCATCTATTATCAAATAGCGGAAACATATTGAAATTACTCGCCCTATCGGGCATGTTCTCGATAATTATCGAGTTGTTGTATCGACTATAAAAGCGTTGCAGAGATGACACGAAGGCAGTTAGTATCGGATCTCTATTAGAAGCGAAACAACGAACGGATCACCTGAAGCGAAGTGGAAGAAGTGAATTGAGAATTTTAAAGTGTTCTTTAACCCAGCACGTAACAATATTAAATACGATGTTTGTTTTTTTAGGAGGAACACAGCAAAGTGTCATCGCAACTTAACTTCGTTCTGATGTTGGCCGAACTGCTGTCGGACTTGGCCGTCTCTTGCGGAGCTCCCATCGCAGCCCTGATGGACACGTCCGATGGTAAATAAGATTACTTTTTTGTAGATTTTGTAAATGACGCCCTAAGACTAGGTAGTGTAATGATTAAAAACTAGTGGTCCCGCAGTAGTCGAAATTCGACTATAACTAATTGGAATTGTAAGTTTGTACACTATTATAATTGTATTTTATACTTCTATAATCACAAATTTCGCCAAGACTACACTATAAAAAATATTAACAAAGACAAACAATATTTAATCTATTCTCAATTTGACAACAGACATCACGAACAAAAGTTTGACAATAAATAGTATGCATGCGTGTGTGCGTCAAATACATGGTATGTAGTGTGTGTAATGTTTTCTTTATTGATTTAATCTATCTTTTATGCATTATTTTAAAAAAATATTAGCATTGTGCGCTTCTTCTCTATATTCTCTATAAGTGTGGAAAATTTCATACTCCTCCGCTCGCGCAATTTTCGTCAAAAGGGCTACAAAGTTTTTGCTTCACGTATTAATATATAGATATATATGTCTTATAAATTTAAGACCGAACAATGTAACAGTTTTAAAAGAAATATGATTTAAAAAATTTAATAATAAATATAAACATATGTATATTCGAAACGTAAAGCATTAAAAGTTTATGATCGGACCGTAAGCCCCAACTATCTTTACAGTTGTACTTGATAAACGCATTATATTATATTGTTAGTCAGATATAGATGACATGCCTTTTTTTTTCGTTAAAAAGCTATTGATGAGGTTTATTTTTATCAACGGCTGGACCGATTTGGCTAATTTTAGTCTTGAATTACTTGTGGAAGTCTAGAGAAGGTTTAAAAGGTAGATAGATATGAAAATGCTCGGAATTAAATAAAAATAACAAGTTTGTTTTTCCTTTGATGTGTCCCCCGTCGGACGGATTCTTTTTGTTTGTTTTAAGTTTATTTTATACAAAAGCTTAGGTCTTTTATTTGAGTCGTCTATTATCAAAGGTGGCAATCTGTGCATTTTGACAAAAAAATGTTATTGATATGTCAATACAGATTGATTTGAATATAATCGTCTCCTTCAAAGAATACGGTTCAAAACCTGCATTAAATAAAGGTTAATACTTAACCTGTTATTTATCTAAGATGTCGTTCAGAAGAGTTTTGTGAATGCCAATAGAATACAAAGTCAATAATTCGTTTTTCTGATTTACCAATAATTATCCAAAAGTCACATTGCCGGCTTTGATAATAGTCGACTCATTTATCGATTGAGGCACTTCGAAATCTGCCGGGTCAGCTAGTTGATAATAAATAATAGTTTAAAAAAACTAAAAAACACGTTTTATATAAAATTCAACTAAAAAATTGAAAATATTTATTTTTAATTTTTTAGTTCATTTTTTTTTTATATTTTTTTTAAATATTGAATTGTCATCGATCCTCTATAAATCTACAAAGTTTGAATGAAATCTGGCCGTTTAAAGTGGGTCAAAATCGCGTCTAAAGGATACAGTTACAAACATACATACAAGTGAAGCTAATATAAAGCGTGTAATAATAACGTGTGTTCCAGAACGTTGCAACGAGAGCGTCCGGCTGGGCCTGTTGGTGCAGGCCATGCAGGCGCTGGCGGCGGGCCTGCGCCTGGCCGCCACGCACTACCGCGCGCGCACGCTGCAGCCCACGCCGCAAGTGCGCAGCGGTTAGTGTGCACGCAGCGCCATCTACCTAATCTTTAGTTATTGCTTAGGCGGGAGATATACACAAACGGCGAGGATTTCGGCGCGGCTCTTCAATACTTTTGCACACAAAATGTACTACGGGAGATGTATTTTGAATTACACTCAAGCCGCGTCGCACAGGCACGCCTGTTTTTTTTTCCTACCTAAGCTGGTATCCTTGAGAAGCTATTCCAGCGTAACCTTAACTAGTAGGTGAGCTCACGGGGCTCAAACCTGACGACGTTGCTAACACGAACCCTAGCAAGAGCCGTGCAGAATCTACCACCGGATCGGAAACGCGTCCCACTGAGAAGATCCGGCGAGAAACTCAGTGGGCTAAGCACGCCTGTATATCCGATCGACGCCTACGCCGCGCCTTAAGCCTTACGCCGCTTGTGTGTTTTTTGCGCCTTAGACGACGACGTGTGAACCACCTCAGAGCTCATCTGCTGTAAAGAGGTTGCCGAAACTTATAGACTTCAACACCGTAAATGCCGCCACCCGCCTTATGACAAGAACTCTCTTAGTTCTATAGTACAATATCTGGCCCGCCCTTCAAACCCGGTATACTGCTTCACGGCCTATGCGAGTTCAAGAAGTCCTACCGGTCCGTGCAACGTTATTACGATTCAGGATGCGTTTTCGTACTGCTCTTGAGCTAAAGGGCACGAAACATCTCATATATACAATTTAAGCCGCCGTCATATTTGTTTAACAAGTAGGCGACATCTCAATTGTCTAGTATAACGAATGTCCTATTCTTCAAACTTTGAAGTAGTGGTGGCCTAATGGATAAGACGTCCGGTGCATTCGTGTTGAGCGATGCACCATTTGATTGACCGATGATTGTGTTTGAATCTCAGGCGGGTACCAATTTTTCTAATGAAATACGTGCTCAACAAATGTTCACGATTGAATTCCACGGTGAAGGAACAACATCGTGTAATAAAAATGAAATGGATGTCTATGGGCTCTAGTAACCACTTAACATCAGGTGGGCTGTGAGCTCGTGCACCCATCTAAGCAATAAAAAAAAAACTAACGTATGTTTGATTCGCGACAAAAAAAAGAAATGAGAAGGTGTAATTAATCCACACGGACGTGACTGAACAGAAAGCTAGCAGTAAATAATTGTGATTAATAATTTTGTCGCAACAGTCGTATCCCTGATGAACGGTAAATACAAATGGATCGTCAACGAGTCGAAGCGACTGCACGAAGCCGGAGTGACGCCAGCCGTCTGCGATAAAATACTATACGAGCACGCTATTGAACTGGTGAGTCATTCTATATGTCTTTTTATTTTATTTTCCTACCTATTCGTGACCTCGAGGGGTCATACCAGATTCACCGGACGAGTGTTCGCTTTCGTAGACTGTCTACTACTTTAAAACGAAATTGTAGTTTAAGGTACATGTATTAAATGGGATATTCTAGATTTTTTTTAATGATATGTGGTCACCCTTCATTTGAACTATCACTGAACAACTTTTACGCTATCATCATTATCCTGCCCTTCTCCCAGTCACCTTGGGTCGGCGCAACATGTTTTCTCCTTCCATACTCCTCTACCACATAACATTTCTTCGTTCACTCTCCTCTTACTCATATCGTCTTTCACGAAATCCATCCATTTCTTCTTAGGTCTACCTCTTCCTCTATATCCTTCCACATTCACAGTTAACATTCTCTTACCAACCTCATTTTCATTTCGTCTCATCGCATGTTCATACCATCCCAAACGCGCACTTCTCAGCTTCTCTGTCACATATTCATTCCCTATTCTATCCATTCTCGTTACTCCACACAAATCCATCGCAACATTCGCATCTCTGCTGCATGCAATAACTTTTACGCTATCGAGAACGTTAAAAACTCGCACTGTGTGCTTAGTGCGAGCTTTTCAACGTTCTCGATAGCGTAAGAGTTAACCCAATTTTGTATGTATGTAGTATGTATGTATGTTGTATGTATGCAGTTGGAACAGCGCCCCTAACGGCAAACGTAGGCAAACGATTCCATTCCATACAAATTTGAGTTAACTTTTACGCTATCGAGAACGTTAAAAAACTCGCACTAATCGCACACTGGTGTCGATAACCACCGCGCTGTGTGTGTCTTGCAGTGTCAGATGGCGGCCATCGAGGAACTGTTCGGCGACACGAAGGAGTGCGAGCGCCGCTACATGTCGGCCCAGGTGCTGCTGCACTCGCTCGTGCAGAGACACCCGCTGCATCCACACCACCGGACCACGCTCTCCAAATGTAATTATACGCACTATATACATTAAACCCATCCTACTGCTTAAGAACTTTTTTTAGTGCTCAAATGGGTGGACGAGCTCACAGCCCACCTCATGTTAAGTGGTTACTGGAGCCCATAAACATTTACAACGTAAATGCGTCACCCACCTTGAGATATAAGTTCTAAAGTCTCAAGTATAGTTACAACGGCCGCTCCAACCTTCAAACCGAAACGCATTAATGCTTCACGGCAGAAATAGGCAGGGTGGTGGTACCTACCCGCGCGGACTCACAAGAGGTCCTACCACCAGTAATTACGCAAATTATAATTTTGCGGGTTTCATTTTTATTACACGATGTTGTTCCTTCACCGTGGAAGTCTGTCGTGAACATTTGTTGAGTACGTATTTCATTAGAAAAATTGGTACCCGCCTGCGGGATTCGAACACCGGTGACACCGGAATGCAACGGACGTCTTATCCGTTAGGCCACGACAACTTCAAATACAGTACTTATATACTTATATAACAGCTTCAAACCGCATAATTGACTCGTTGCAGTATGGTGGTAACTACTCCTGTAGAGTCACACTTCAAATATATAATCATTATAAATTATTTTATTTCGCAGATCGAGACGCAGTACAACGTAGACTAAACTGTCTCAAAGGTGTTCGCAAAATAATGGATGTCAAAATTGAAGCCGGGATCTCATAATGCAAATACGGCTTCACATATTATTATGGACACATAAGGAACAACACGAGAAGTGATTTTATTTTGTACTCGCGAAATGACTATGTGAAGAAAAACAAAAAAAAGTAAAAGTGAAAAAATATAAACATTTTTATCAATGAACGAAACGTGACACGGTACAGAAAATAATACAATAGAAAATTATTTTATTAAGTTCCGTAGAATTAGTGAGACAATCCTTATTTACGTCGTAAGACTTGATTTTAGTAAACGCTTTACGATTGATTGTGGCTTTTAGATGTGTGTTTTTTAAAACCATCTGTACTGACATGGTTGTAACATTTTTAATGACATTTAAAATTTCATTGTAGACACAGCATTACTACACTGCACATTATTGCATTGCCAATATTGAAAGGCGTCTACTGGACTTGAAAAAAAAGTAAAAAATAAAAAAATATAAATCTAAATAGGATTGAAAGTTGATCAGTGTGTCTCGCATTAACATTATACGGTTATTGACCTGTAGTAAATTTACATTCTAAGAATCTGATGATTAATCTCAACGCGAATCGTGGAAAAAACAGTCGAGCAATATCAAAATGGCATTTTTATGTTTAAGCTCTATTGAATTAAAGTATTGCCTGAGACACGTTAAGCATCGTGATCACGATTTTCCAAAACGTTGAATTAGATTTAGTTTGCCAAAATTATCATTTTATTTTATGTGTACGATCCATAAAACTTATTTTAATGCTTTACTGAAATAAGAATAAAGACTGTTGTATTATAAAAATTAATTTGTTTTAATAAATACTTATTTTACACCACCATTTTTGCATATTATTTATTGTATAATTCTTGTGTAATATCTAGTAAGTTAATAGTCTGGAAATTGATTACCTTCCATAACGCTGTAATAGCGGTTACTATGACAAGTCTAACGTGGATTGCCATAATTAACTCACGTACAGTGACGAGTACATATCGTCGCTGTCGAACCAAAATCTGCTATGTGCAAAAACTCTATTTTGAAGGGTAAAAACATTTTCGTATAAAATTTTAAATGAAGGTGAATTTTAAAGAACTATATCAAATGAAAGCTGTAGATAAATATTAAAGCTATAGACACATAACAGTTTTTTTATACGGTAGATAGGGTTGTGAACTATACGAAAAGGTCAAAAAGTAAAAATCTCAAAAAGTGCACATATAGCAGATTTTGGTTTGACAACGACGATATATATTATGAAGTTGCCGTTTAGTATACAGAAAGTTAAAGTCATAACGAAGTCCGGCGTACGGGAGCCAACAAACTCTTTTATGGCATTTTCTTTCTACCGCTCGGGTATTTAATTTTATCCCGACCAAGAAGCTGGGTCGACTGAAAAAACTAGAAATCTGTCTGCGCAAGATCTAGTGAGTACGGGGGATAACGCAATACTGCCAACCCTAGGTCTTGTAGCATAAACTGCCAGTTGTGCTGTGTGAGGTTGAACGTTGTCATGTTGAAGCAGCAGGGACGAACGCCACTGTGACTTAAGGGTAAGTTTTCGTTTGAGGCATTACCTAGGTGTAGAACCTAACTTAGCCCTAACCAGCAAGATGACGCTAATAGTTTTCAAAAAGAACCGATTTTTACCGCAAGTTACAAGTATGGTTCAAAATTCCAACGTTCCTCTGTCTGTGCAACGCGAGGCATACGTTAACGCGTTCGTCCAACTGGCGATCGTTCCACTTATCAAGTTTTCTTACCTTGCCAATCTTACGCAATTTTTTTTGATGCTAATATTGAAAGGTGCTAACTTAGCGGTAGATTTTCGTCAGCTTCCACTATCGCCTTTAATACGTCGATGTTGAATTTAGTTTTCGGGCGACTAATTTTATAGATCAAAATTTTCATGTCAGAAACTTTCAAACCACCACTTTTTTACTGTTGGTAGGACCTCCTGTGAGTCTGCGCGGGTGGGTACCACCGCCCTGCCTATTTCTGCCGTGAAGCAGTAATGCGTTTCGGTTTGAAAGGTGGGGCAGCCGTTGTTATTTACGTTGCCGCATTTACGTTGTGGATGTCTATGGGCTCCAGTAACCACTTAACACCAGGTGGGCTGTGAGCTCGTCCACCCATCTAAGCAATAAAAAAAGACTAATAAACAGTTGTGCATTCGTTTGTAATGTTCACTCCGTACACGTAATTATGTTGAGTCGTTTGTGCGGCATTTCTACCGCGACGGAACTCGTTTTTTATAGTGCCTTAAATTGATGAAAAAGACACAAATGTAGTGAAAACAAAAAACGAATCAATAAACATATGCCTGAATTTGAAAATAGAATTCCATATTTTTTAAACTACATAATTTTTATTTAGAATTGATTGCCAAACAAATTTCGTTTGAAATGACCAGTGTACTTAGCACGAAATCCTAGTGTCCGATTTTTCTACTAATATCTGTATTTACCTTAACTTAAATACATCAAATTAATATACATATATTTTTCTTTAAATAAATAAACACTGAAAATTAACATACACAATTCACATATTCTTTCTATTGAAATGAAAAACAAGGTTGACGAGTTGTAAAATTTATTCAATTCAGTGATGTACAAAGACACCAACACCTTGGTTTACAAATTTATATGGCTTGCTCCTGTTACGTCCTCTAACTGGATGAAGTATAACTTTGTCTGGTGGAAATTCTGGGGAATCGCTTGTTTCCAATAGAATATCAAGACAGGCTAATAATTTTGTTATTTGAGTAGAAAGGGTGCAGTGCTTGCGTTCCTCTAAATCTATCTCAGTATTTATGACTCTTTCAATATCCCGGATATCATCATTAATACCTGCGTGATGAGTGCCATTCCAGTGTAAAGTTAGAGAAAATATTGGCACGCTCTTAGGATAATCGCTTCTGAGGGCAACTAAAGCCACCAACTTAGCTGATTGTCTGGTAATTATCGCTCTATAAAGTAAATCATTTGCAGATACTAAACCTTCAGTTACAAGAAAAGCTGTTGNGACTCTTTCAATATCCCGGATATCATCATTAATACCTGCGTGATGAGTGCCATTCCAGTGTAAAGTTAGAGAAAATATTGGCACGCTCTTAGGATAATCGCTTCTGAGGGCAACTAAAGCCACCAACTTAGCTGATTGTCTGGTAATTATCGCTCTATAAAGTAAATCATTTGCAGATACTAAACCTTCAGTTACAAGAAAAGCTGTTGATGGGGCCTGACTGTACTCAGGCCAACCAACAGACTGCCACTGAGTCAAAGAACCTGCTAGACGCATAGAAGGAGGCAAGCTTCCTTTTGGTGGTGAAATCTTTCCTGATTCTAGATCTTGTAGCTCATGCATAAGTTTTACTCTACATTTTAGTCTCTTTTTCAATGTCATGATAAAATTTTCAACAGTGGCGACACTGAGATTAGGACACGGTTCAACAGCTCTTCTAACAGATTGCTCATTCAATTCTGAAGTCATAAAATCAATTCCACACATTCTTTGTGCCCAAACGTATGGGCGTCCAATTTCTGGTATGAAATGAGAAAAGCTTTCCGATATACCTGCATTTTTTAGTAAATAAGAAGTTGCAGGGTGGGGTGAATCATCTCCCGTATCCCCTGGGTACAGTTCATTTAAAATAGAATGTCCATTTAGAACATCAGCAGCAGATACACCAGTGACAGGTTTGGGTAGCGATACAGTAAACTTCACAACTATAATTTTCAAGTTTATGAGGTATGATAATATGAGATTCAATGCAGTACCATCTTCTGCTTTAACTGAAACTTGTACATTTAAAGGATGTTTCTTGAATACTCGTTTTATTTTAGCTTCTGCTTTGTCTTCTTTAGATACGTTTTTAGTTCTGTGATGTCGTTTCTTTTTGGTTTGTTGATCTTCATCATTATTTTCTTGATCTGAATCTGACTCATTTGATGAAATAATATCATTTTCAACATTGTTTTGATCATGCCGGCGAGCTTCATCTTCATCACCGCAAACACCTACAATATGAAATACATGTACATATATTTTTTTCTAAATAAAAAAATACGTTTGAGTGGGTATTATATTATAAGCAAAAACTTTAATTCTATTAAGATTTTTTTCTTCATATGCTGGTAGCCTCGCGGTGGTATGCCAGCTTCGCCGGGCGACTAGGTGAGCTCATGGGACGGCGACCCTTCGGCGCGCACTGTGCGGTACCGTGGGTTTCGTGGAGTCGGAGTGGTGGGGCTCGATGGGGTTTAGTCGGTACTCGGTTTTGCGGGGTAGCTCTTGCGTGGCTGACGCCGTGCAGTGCCTCGCGCGCCTTTCTCAAGGCGTAGTCTCCCGGCAGGAATTGGGAGAAGAGGAGGACCCCTGTCTTCTTCTTCTTCCTGTTCTTCTCTGGAGGCGCCGGAGTCCGACATAACCCGGTCTCTTACCCCCATCGACCGGGTATCCGTAAATGGATTCCCCAGCGTTAAAAAAAAAAAAAGGTGAGCTCATGGGACTTTATCCTAAGGAGTTTTCCAACACTAGCCCTAGCAGGAGTAGTGCTTCGCTGTCTACCACCGGATCGGAAACGCGACCTATTGAAAAGATCCGGCGAGAAACTCAGTGGGCTGTGTCTTAGGGTTAATTTGCTCCGTAAGCTCTTTGTCGCAAGCGACGGGTTTGACGAGAACGATGACCGATGCATGGGGTACCTAACTGCACCGATAGTGGATCGGGGGATCCGAAATGGCGTGTTTAGGACGACTGTTTACCCTTTGCTCTGCTGGATTCGGTATGTAAATCTATGAACTTTAAGATGCAATGAATATTTTGAGCTTTGAAATTGCTTACCAACACTAATAACTTTGCTTCCTAAAATATCAGAATATGCGTTTGCATTTTTAAACAGTAAGAATAGTGATGCTGGAAGCAAGCTTGCGGCCCTGGCCTCATCACGTTTTTCATCCAAGCGTAGAGCAAGACATTCTTGCAAAGGTTTAGTGGATTTCAAGACATCTTTCAGATGTGGAGCCAATGCATCAAGCCTAGAACGTGCAGCAGCAATGGCAGCTGCTACTCGTTCCTTGGAAGAAATGAGTTCATTACAGGCTTCAGATAATTCACGACGTTGACGTAACTCCCACTCCAGTCGGGCTAATTGTAATTGATGTTCATCAGCCTTTGTGGCCTCCTAAAATTTTACACATTGTCATATTGTTGAATTTGTCAGAACCATTACTGCAACAACTCATCTGATCAGTATCAAAGTTACAAGTACTCAGTATCAAGTGTCTGAGATATGTGTGGAATATGTCATATGTATATTTGTGAGGGGAAACAATGTGAATCATATGACTGGCACCCTCACCAGGACAGATTAAAAGCAGTCATACTTCTGTCATGCCTAACTTTCTACTAACCGTTATGATGCTACTCAGCACGATAGAGCTTTAATGTATAAAATGAAAATTGGGATGCAATGCTATCGACCAAAAACTTAGGTAAGCTCTTGGTCCTGAGTGCATGTATATGTTTTGAACTGTTTGTATTATTGCAATTCAAGTTTGGCTTCAATATTTAAAAGAAATTCAGGACTTTAGTTACCTACAGCATTTTAGGACCAAAACTAAAAAAAATTTCAGAGCTGAAACGGTTAAAATATGTACATTCAGATATCAGTTACACACTGTGAAAACATACTTACTGATCTAATAATATCAGGAGGTGCATTTTTATAGAATTCTTCAAGAGGCACAAGATCTATTTCTTCATCTTTAGATTTGAATTGTAAACATTTAGTTACTTCTTTGTTTAAGTGATCTGCTTCGTAAAGTAAATTTTGTAACAGTAAATGTGTGGAATCAACTCTCTGTTTCTCTTTATGGAGCGCATCACGACCAGCTCTAGTTCGTACTTTCTCCAGGCGATTTAATTTCTTTAACGCAACCAGCAGTAATGAAGCTTCCACTCTTTTTGCATTTATCTTTTCTTTAGCCTGTAATTATAACTTTTGCCTTAATTGCATTGTTCCATATTTTATATTATTTAACATTAATTACAATTCATAATATAATCTAATCATGTCCATTTTTATTTTTTATTTGTCGAGCCGGGTGCCGAACCTCCTACGAGGTCCCCGCGTCTAGGGGGGTNCAACCAGCAGTAATGAAGCTTCCACTCTTTTTGCATTTATCTTTTCTTTAGCCTGTAATTATAACTTTTGCCTTAATTGCATTGTTCCATATTTTATATTATTTAACATTAATTACAATTCATAATATAATCTAATCATGTCCATTTTTATTTTTTATTTGTCGAGCCGGGTGCCGAACCTCCTACGAGGTCCCCGCGTCTAGGGGGGTGTGGGACTTTACGATCTGGTAGTCAACACTACAACCAGACACGCGACGCCACCCCGAAGACGCCCGATCGACGAGTCCTCAATGCGACAGTCGACGACAACGAAGCAGGTCTCCGCGGTACGACAGCCCTGCCAGGCCGCCCGGGCGATGCCGCTGGTGTTTCGGGATACCCAGCTGGACCAGAACCAGCCTGCCGGGTCAGAACGCGATACTCCTGCAGACGACGAAGGCCACTCCTACACAGGAAAGATGTCCCTCCCCCGGGCAACGACCAAAGTGTCGTCCGTGTAACAAGCTACGCTCAGACCCGGGAGAGGAGTGCTAAGGGCACCCCGCAGGACCCAGTTCGTAGCCGACATTCCACAAGAGAGGGCCAAGGACCGACCCCTGTGGGACACCACGCTCGACGGGGAAATGGAGCACCGCCCCACCGTGCCCGGTGCACACGGCCATCCTGTTCTCGAGGTAGGATCCGAGTCTTATCATGTCCTGCATTAACTATTAATTGAAAAGTGGCATACCTCCAATGTTTCTTTAGTTTTTAACTCTGCAATCTCTTTAAAAAGTTGCCTTATGTCTTGGCATGTTTTATTGAAAAAGGCAGCATCCTTATCAGCTGGACGCAGATGAGCTTCAGCTTCTTCAAATTCAACAACACGCTGGAACAATCCATTTAAAACACATTTTGTAATGAATGAAGAATCTTGAAAAATAAAGACAATTTTTTTGGTGTACTGGGATCTTTTTCAGTTTACAACTTCTCTAAGTGTTAATATTAAACTTATGTTGATCTTGTTTTGAAGATCACAAGATATTTCACGAACAGGATTCACTTAATTTTTATTTTTGTTAATAAGAAGTTAAAACTGAAACAAAAACTTCAACAGAAAATATAAAAGCAACAGCTTGCTAAACCAGGAGCCACAAATATAAATTCTCATTTATTAGTAGAACTATGTACTTAAATTTACATTATTATACATATTTATGGTACAGAATAATGAGTCTTGAGGTTATGTTACATCTTATATATTTTGGTCAATACCTTGTATACATCAACGGGAACTGACTTTGTTCCGTCATTTGATGTACTTGTATTTAATTTGCGCCGTTTCTTAACAGCCGTTACTTCTTCTTTTCCCATGTTTAGTTTTATTCAAGTTTATCAGATTTCATCCAAGTCTGGAACTTTAAAAAAATCACTAATTTAAACAGACAATTACAACCTTACTGCCTATTCACTCTATTCCATAGATTATACACTTAATATATTTCTCTATTCACTGGATTTGTTTTTATATATTAAAGCTTTTACTAGCATCGTTCACGGTAGTGTTTGAATTATTTTTCTTTTAATGTTAGCCTTTAATTTGAAAGGTAGTCCTTTAACTATGATTTTTTTTTAAATTATACTTCATTATTGTACCTACTCAGCAATAGCAACTCTCCATAAAATTAAATGTCAGTTAAGCATCCTCAAATATTACTTAAGTGATAATCTATGTGTGCATCTCTCAACTCATAGATTTCGACTTTTTGGCGGGAATGCGAGGAGTGAAGTTGTGTGATATGTTTTATTTTGTCTATTTGGTATTTCTTCAGGTTTGAATGTATGATAATGGTGGTTTATTACCTGTTTAGTATCTGTGAAAGGGCACAAATGTGGGAAAATGAAACAAAGTCGCGAGACGTAACTCCTCGGCATCCTCCAAAAAGTCCACTGAAAGAATCTCAGTAAATGACCACCATTTTACTGAGATTATATTTCATCCCATATCATCTCATCTCATTTCATATTTCATCCCAGTTGATTAGTTATCTAGTTTATTTTACATAAAATGACTATGATCCCTTTGCCTCTTTAAGTACACAAAACAAAGGACATTTGTTTTTGCTTTCCACCTTGAGAAGGTCAAAAATATCACCGCTGTAATCGCGCCAGCAACAAATCCAAATCATTAAATTTCGCCAAACCTTGCTTGTAAGGTGCAATTTTGTTAAATAAGGATAACGCTTAATTTAAGGTTTGTAATTTATTATTATATGCTGTTATGGATGACAAAAAAGTGGAGTAGTGTAAAAAATTTTCAATACAAATTTTTTTTATGCCGATCATTAGCCACCCAATTTTACGCAAATTTAATTGTATCCGTTGAAAATGACTAATTCTTAAACCCCGTGAGCGCAATGAATTTGTAACAAACATTTTAAATAAAAAAATATTTTCAAGTAGGAATTATCATGATTGTACAACCTATGTTTGACCTTGCCGGCGCATCTCATTCGATTAGCGTTAGCAATAGAAGTAAAAGTAATAGAATTAATCCTTTAATACCCTCAATCGATACAAGAAATCTTTTTGCAGTATCCAAGGTAAGTCTCGTGGCTAGGCTGTGTGCTTTGGAAATCAGGAAGTAGTAATAAGTTGAAATAATGGGGTGTTTTAAAATAAGAGTGTCAAGATCCTAAATGGGAAATTGTGGTTGTATTTTAGGTCTCGGTGGTTCTACGTCTAAGATTTTAAAGGTTGCGTAAGTTGCTGAATGTGGGCTATGTAAGACCAGTCATTGTGGTAAACCTTGCTTATATACAGCAGTAAATTTCTGTGGGCTGATGATCCTGAGGTCACGGGGCTCAAATCATACTTTCAATTTAATGACTTGTCCCATACATTTCTATCAACAGATGAACAAAAAAGATATCTGAAAAAATTTAAACTAAATTGCCAAATCTAAAATTCACATATACTAAGCATTATATAGAAATACAATAAAATAGTAATTTTGCATTGATTTAACCTTTAGGATCTATTAAAAATTAGTTTTTTGAGACTGAGATTGCAAGTTTTTTTCTGATTTAAATGAAAATTCAAAATTTCCATCAATTTTACACCATTTTTTTTGTAAATTGGACAGTCATTTGTCCTTTTATCAAGATAGATATACAGGTATACTTTAAGTTTCTTAACCATGTTGATGGGGCATGATGACTTCTAAACTACTGCCAGTGCTCTCCAAATAAAATAAAATAAATCTTTTTTTTTTTCTAGAAAGTCTACTAGTTCAGTATTAAAAATGGTAATAAAATCAATCAAGGCTCGTCAAATCTTTGACTCTCGTGGCAACCCTACAGTGGAAGTTGATCTAGTAAGTTTTTTGTTACAAATTATCAACAACTAAATTACTGAAATTCTTATCAACAACTAAATTACTGAAATTCTTTGAAAAATGTAAAGTACCTTTTAATTCTGTGAACAGGTAACAGAGCTTGGCTTGTTCCGGGCAGCTGTACCCTCTGGTGCATCCACTGGTGTTCATGAAGCTCTTGAACTGAGAGATAACATCAAGAGTGAATATCATGGCAAGGGAGTTTTGACCGCAATCAAAAATATCAATGAACTCATTGCTCCTGAACTTACCAAAGCCAACCTTGAAGTAACCCAACAGAGAGAGGTAATTATTTTTAAATCTCAAACAAGAGCTGATATTTTGAAAGGACTCAAAAAAAAATTGAGTGTGGTATTAACATTCAATTGAAGTGGAATTAATATTGATAGGATTTTCATATTAACAAGAAATGTATTTAATAGTTTAAAAATAATATTAAATATATTTAAAAAAGTATATGTCAGCTATGTAAACCTTTTAAATTAACAGATTGATGAACTCATGCTTAAGTTGGATGGCACTGAGAACAAATCCAAACTGGGTGCTAATGCTATCCTTGGAGTTTCCCTAGCTGTTGCTAAGGCTGGTGCTGCCAAGAAAAATGTTCCGCTGTACAAGCACTTGGCTGATTTGGCTGGAAATAATGATATTGTTCTACCTGTACCAGCTTTCAATGTGATCAATGGAGGATCACATGCTGGAAATAAACTTGCCATGCAAGAATTCATGATATTCCCTACAGGTAATTTAATTTTTTAAATTATTAGTGGTAGGACTTCTTGTAAGTCAGAATGGATAGGTACCACCAGTCTTCCTGCTATATTTGCCGTGAAGGCGTAAAGCATTTCTATTCGTAAGGTGGGGCAGCCATTATACTATAAATTGAGACTTAGAACTAATGCCTCAAGGTTGTTATTTTACCACTTAAAACCAGCTGGGCTGTGACCTAGTTCACCCATCTACGCAATAAAAAAATCATTGGTTCCAAAATAACATGTCAAGATATGAAGAAAGCCAAAGATCAGGCTCAGTAATAAAACTGGGGAGAGGCCAATATACAGCTATTGACAACCGTGGGCTGATCATGATGTAGTTCCAAATTAAGTAAATAAATTGACTTCAAAATGAAAATATCATTTCAACAGGGGCGTCCACCTTCAGTGAAGCCATGAGGATGGGTTCAGAAGTGTACCACCATTTGAAAAAGATCATTAAGGAGAAGTTTGGATTGGACTCTACGGCTGTTGGTGATGAAGGTGGTTTCGCACCAAACATACAAAACAACAAGGATGCTCTTTATCTGATTCAGGATGCTATCCAGAAAGCTGGCTATGCTGGCAAGGTATGAACACATCTAATAGTATAATAGAAAAAATCAAATTGATAGTAGAATTATGTCTGTTCACCTGCAATTGTGCATTTCAATTGACACAAAACTGCTGACTGAACTAGTTTAATCAGATTTCATGTTATATGTTGGAAGTAAAAAAAGGCTTACAGATTATGTTCAAATTGGTTGCTTAAAAGGATATAATTGTGCAACATAAATACTCATGCAGTTATTGATAAAAACTTGCATGTACCATAAAACTAAAGATATTTATTTATTTGTCACCAAACATAAAATAACAAAATTATCAAATAATCAATCAATGATAAAGAGTTTTATGAAATAATTGTCACCGATTAACAGATTACTATTGGTCGCCCAATAATCTAATTTCAACCTTAATTAACTTAAATGAAACGTTTGAAGATTAATATGGTTCTATTGTCAAAGACTATACTTCTATAATTATGTATGTCGCCAAAGTTATACTATAGACAAATAATATTAAAGACAAACAATATTAATCTTTGGGGAAGAATCTGTCAATTACCTTGCGTTGTATGATGGCTACCCGCCACAAATCTATTCTCTATTTGATCACAGACTTTAACAATAAACAAAAGAGTATATGCGTGTGTGTGTCAAATACATGGTATTGTGTGCAATACTTTTTAATTTTTTTTATGCTTAATTAAAAAAAATTTTGCACTCCTCTATATTTTCTATAAGTGTGGGTAATATGTCTTCACATATGTATATATAGATACAAACTAGTTGCATGTAACTCAGTAGTCTAAAATGGGCTGTAATAGAATTAAATTTTTAAGTTTGTTTCCATCTCTCATGCAAATGAATTTTTCATTAAGTGGACGGACACCTGTACAGACACACATGTGGATACATGTACCGCTCATCTTTAAAGATGTGAGATTTGACACTATTCTTTGTGCATAATGTTTTGAAAAAGGTACAAAATTTTACCTTCGCACACATAATAACCAGATTACTGAGTTTGATGAGTATACTTATCACTCAAGGATTTTATTCCATGATGAGTAACACTTGTAAAAAGTCACTAGTTCTGGTCACTACCGTGGCTATTTAAATTGTAATTTATATGAAAACCGAAACACATTCTAGAATTAAAAGAATATTAGAATATTTTGAGGCTAGGCCGGAATAAAATATGAATTCATTGAGATGCATTCCTGCATACACCGACTGAAACCGATTTTCGTGACTCGCAGACGTGCGCACTTTTCAAATGGTGCGATACTATTAATTGGTTAATGTTTAAATAATGCACATTAATGGGAAATATTTTTTTTATTTTTATTTAATCTATAGTTTTTGTATTCTTTTTAAGATCGACATTGGCATGGATGTAGCCGCCTCTGAGTTCTTCAAGGATGGTAAATACGACCTTGACTTTAAAAATCCCGATTCCAATCCAGGCGACTACCTGTCATCAGAGAAATTAGCTGATGTCTATTTGGACTTCATCAAAGATTTTCCCATGGTGTCCATTGAGGATCCTTTTGACCAGGATGATTGGTCTGCATGGGCAAACCTCACCGGACGCACGCCTATTCAGATTGTCGGTGATGATCTGACGGTATGTTTTAAATTTCATAGTTAAATTACTCTTTGTTATTTAGAACTTAACCATGGGGCCATTTAACATAACAATAAAAATTTGCTGGTGGCCTAAGAGGCAATTCCAACTTCGCGCGGATTGGTAGGTGAGCTCACTGGCTCGACCTCAGAGAATTTACTAACGCCAGCCCTAGCAAGAGCAATGTTTTGGAGAATCTACCACCGGATCGGAACCACGACCTACCAGAAGGAGAAGGTTAGATCGCTCCTTGAACTCTTCGTAACCGGCGAGTTCGACGAGGACAGTGCCTGATGCTTGATGAGCCTCAAAGCATCGAGAGTGAATTCGGAGATCCGACAAGACTGGATTCGGGCGATGGTAGCTTTGCGTTACCTCGTCGCCTAAGGTCGAATATGTAATTAGCGGCGGCCATGATAAAAGGATTATCGTGTCGGGTCGCTTTGTCGAACGAAATATTACAATAATAAGTAATGCAATAAGAATGTTTTCGTTTAAAGCTATTATGAAAACTTTAATTACAATAAACAATCCAATGAGATAACCTTTTGATCAATAGGTGACAAACCCTAAGCGTATCGCTACTGCGGTTGAGAAGAAGGCATGCAACTGTCTGCTATTGAAGGTCAATCAGATCGGCAGCGTAACAGAGTCAATTGATGCTCACTTGCTGGCCAAGAAGAACGGATGGGGCACAATGGTCTCTCACAGGTAAATTACTGATTTATTGCATGTGAAAATTTTCCAGAATGCTCATTGATCTTCACAAAATAACTAAAAAATCCAGGTAGACATCTAAAAATATGAATGTTATGTTAAATACTAGTACATACTAAGAAATATTTGTTTAGTTATTAACATAGTCAATAATGCAAACAAAAGAACTGTATGATTGGGTTAAACTATTCTTATAAACATGCTATGCTGTTAAATAAATTATGAATATAATTTGAATTTTTAGATCTGGTGAGACCGAAGATACCTTTATTGCCGACCTGGTAGTTGGTTTGTCCACGGGTCAGATCAAGACCGGCGCCCCGTGTCGCTCGGAGCGTCTCGCCAAGTACAACCAAATTCTGCGCATTGAAGAGGAACTTGGCGTCAACGCCAAATACGCCGGGAAGAACTTCCGTAGACCGGTCTAAAAATTCCCTTAAAAAAAACGTAAAATTCTGTGTTTTTAAGTTATCCGCATTTTGATTCCAACAAAAAAAAAAGTAGTCTTGACTATGTTTGTACTAAATAAGCAATTTAATGCCTATCATGTTCTTCAAGACTGTAGTGAATGTGCGTGTTGAATGTATTAAATTATTTATTTTCACTGTGATATTAATGTACTAATCACAGTGCAAAAATTTTGAAATAAAAAATTTACCACATTTTACTTCTTTCTTTTAAATAATATTGTTTAACCTACTTCAAAAAACGGAAGAGGTTCTCAACGCGACTGTATATTTTTTCTGTTTAGTTCCCTTAGAACTTTTTTCTAGTGAACTGAATTTAATGCCTTTTTTAGATTTCAAAGCTGTTGCTCATGTGGTCCCATGAAAATTTGTTCAAGGACTGTCCAGCAGTATTTGAGTATTAGTAATGCATATTAATTGCCTTCGACAATTTAGATGATATTCTCATTTTATTCTGTTGAAGTCGGTTTTCTTTTTTGTTATTTTTTTTAGAAAAGATCCATTGTATTGAACAATTAATATAAGATAGTTGAGGATGGGGTGGACACCATCCCGCCTATTTTTGCCACGAAGCCGTCATGCATTTTTGTTTAAAGGGTGGGGTTATCGCTATAAAATAGATACCCCAAGCACTGTGCTTAGTGCGAGTTTTTTAACGTTCTCGATAGCGTAAAAGTTAGCTCATATTTGTATGAAATGGGATCGTTTGCATACGATTGCCGCTAGGGGCGCTGTTCCAACTGCATACAAAATTGGCTTAACTTTTACGTTATCGAGAACGTTAAGAAACACGCACTAAGCACACTGGTCACCATTCTCGCCAAACCAGTCACTAGTGACGAAAGGCTCGGCAAGTAAATTAACCCATAGGCGCAGCCCACTGAGTTTCTCGCCGATCTTCTGAGTGGGTCGCGTTTCGGATCCGGTGGCAGATTCTGCGAAACACTGCTCTTGCTAGGGCTAGTGTTAGCAACTTCGTCAGGTTAGAGCCCCGTGAGCTGACCTACTTGTTAGGGTTACGCTGAAATGGCCCCCCAAAGCCAGCTTAGGTAGGAAAAAAAAGTGGGATTTCGACCTCATGTCTCAAGAAGAGGTGCATTCATTTTGTGTATTCTATGAGCTCCGGGACCACGTAACATCAGGTAGGACGTGAACATGTTGACCCATATAATCAATAAAAAATTAAAACTTAGTAACCGATGAATATAGCTAACGTGCGGTGGTAGGTAACTAATTTGTTAGTTACGTCAGAGATTTTTTACCATAGGTAGATATATCAGCTAATTTAGACATTCATAACAAGATAGATCAATATTATCTTTTAGGTGAACTTTCAAGATTAAAATAGTATCGACTTGACTATATAAAATTTATTTTTACTGAATTTGTCCGATTTGATCCACCGTAAACCCCGGACATACCGTTACGAGATACCGTTCAGGTCGAAGTACTCATTGCATTGTAATAACTTATACTCTCATTGCTCTGTAATACTTATATAACTGTAGTAATTTTATATTTTTAACGAGTTCTGTCGCCGGAAAAATTGTTTGCGCCGCAGATATACGCGGCACATTACTTTCAAGTACACCCTATCTATGATTATGCCTTTACAAATGTTGTCTCATTTTTTTTACACGTTATTAGTGTTGAAGTAGTTCGTGACTTAATTTATCACGTGCTTTATACATGTTCTGTATACGTCATAAGACAAACGCCAAAACCGTACAGTTCATGACCGCAACGAATGCGAATACACATTATCGCAGACAGGTACCTACACACGGCTCTGATCTACCGCACGTTATTATAATACCTACAACTTATCATCAAGAAGCTTATTCATTTGTAAACGTACACTCAATGCACTAGTGGTTATTTCGGTATACTTATTTAAGTAATAATTTTATTGTAATGGCACACACGAAACCAGAAATCCGACTTGCTACATATATGTGTCCGTCCCATCCGGTACAATTGTACGAATTGATTCAGGACCTGCTAGAGGAAACATTGGACTGCTATACGAGTTTAATTTATGAGAGCCGAAATCCTGGCCCCTTTCCAGACAGACCAGACCCTTTCGGCACTGACAAGGTGGATATAGGTAGGTGTAATTAATACCTAGATATGTTCTAACATCAAATACATGGTAAATCACAACTCACTATTAATGAGCAGTGACTTGATCAAATATACAACACAGCATGCTACCGAGCGTCTTTAGATATGAGGTTGAAGGTCCAATTGTATTGAATACCCCAACATTTCAAATCTGAATGCACGTTTAATTCGCAGCAGAAACTACTGGCCCTGGTTTCTGTCACTAATATAAATGTTATATGTAGTTATTAAATGTATTATCTATACTTTTACTTATAATATGTATACAGTAAAGTTTTTTGGTTTTGACCTAGCGGTATCATGTGTGTTTCCCTATATGGAATCTCGGGTTCGTGAATCCGCAAATGTGATTGTTTTTGATTCTGAAAATTATCGTATGCACGTAAGGTGAAGTGTTCACGAGTGGGGGCCGAGATTAAATTGGGTGTTTCCGGTTGCGTTCAAACTGCTTGCGAGTTCTAAGCGGCTACGTAAACGAATTAAAATGTAATTACTGTAAAATTGTCTGCTTAAGGATATTTTAATGGTTTACAAATTTTTCAAAATATCAAAACGTGGGTTGGTTTACATTAACAATGGATAAATCGGTTTAAATCAACAAATCTATGAACCAGGAAATTATTGATATTAATGATTTAAGACGTATAAACACATATAGTTTGGCTGATAACTTGAGCCAATGACCGCAGTCAAATTAAGCCACGATAACATTGTAAATTACGCCTTTGTCGTGTTTACACTCACCGATTTGGTCCAGTAAGACTGAGTAGCTAAGTACCTATTTAAGTTTTGTTGTTATTCGGTTTCAGCATTCATGACTGTTGCTGCTTATATGAAGCTTCGAAATGATAACAACGCTTTCATCGACCTACTGCCGGTGACACCAGTTTTTGCCCATCAAATGAACGTTGAAAACAAACCAGGATATTTCTCAGACATAATCATTCACCGTGATAAAAAGTAAGACATTGTGTCGTGCTAAAAATTCATTACCAACTACGATAGCTATAAAATAAAAATTATTGTGATTTTGTAACGGCCACTGCCAATCTTTTCTATATTACTTACACATTGATAAAAATGAGTTTTATCAGTAATGTCATTGACTTCTGATAAGGTTGTACCTACTTCTATTATTCTACAATTAGCTTCAAGACCACTAATACCGTTTCATTATGTAGGTGTTTTGTTGTAACTTAATTTTGTCGTCTTCACTTCAGGGCACACAACGTCAATACACTTTTGGATTTACGTGGGTGCACGTTCGCCTACAGCGATGATGAATCTCTTAGCGGAAGCAAAATTATTCTTAAAACATTAAAAGAAAAAGGTGAAAATGCGTCTTTCTTCGGGTCATTATTGAGTAAGTTAAATAATTTTAAATTCAGTTAGCTTTACCGAAGTCCGCGGAGATTTTATCATACCTATAGGTTTTTTTCATAAGCAATAAGACGCCGCCTATTTCGTAAATGTCATTTAACCATGTGGCTAGTGGACGTCCCGACGACGCCCTTTATACGAGAGGTTGCAGGTTCGAGACCCGTATTACCTGTACTGTTTTAGTTTCATATAACTGTTATAAGAAAGCAGTAGCGATTAACAGCTCAAGGGTTGCTTCGCCATTGCTTCTACTGCCAGATCGAAATCACAACCCTGATGATCTAGCGATAAACCTAATAGGCTAATGCAATAAGTTGTAACAAGTACGATGACCTGTACTTTGCTTGCTGCTAGATTTAGAACTAGTAGTGCGCTAAAGCATTGAGTGTGGATTCATCTGGACGTGTCTAGGGCATTGACAGTGGTCGGCTGCACGCAGCAGCGTGAGCTAGGTCAGGGATATAGTTAGCGGCAGCTACGAGAAAGTGCTTATTGTGTCGCGTCGTTGTTCTCAAGTAACATGGTGATCCGATTGCTAACCAGGGTTAGGTTTAAAGAAGCGAGATTTTCATGGGGTTTGGATGGAGTCTACGTAGATTCGGCCACGACAGCGAAAACTGGCATAAGTCGTGACTATACGAATGCAAGTTTTGTAAAATGTTACCGTAATGCAAAAGGTCAGTTTACATCGCTGGCAGATTATGAGGTAGAAAATGGCAAGCATGAACCTGGCGCAATAGCTAACGAACTTAATGTGAGGTTGACTTTCATGGCCCAGGGGCTTGACTAGTCGAATAAGATGATGTTCCTCTGTCAGCAATTGCCTTCAACAACGACGCGGGTATAGCGCGATATGTGATATGTTTTGTTACACGCAACTGTCTAGAATTAAGCACCAAAAGACCCTTTTGATTTGTTTAGTTGAAGTTCTTTTCCTTTGCACCCTTCACCCTTCACTGGGTGTAGTTTGAACTACACACAGTGAAGGGTTCCGAAGTGCATTTGCTTGGTTTTTATAATTTCGCGTTTATTTTATAGGATCTGGATCGCATTTGGCGTCCGCTCAAATGGTATTATCAAAACAAGCAGAATGGGCTGCAGTAGATTCAACAACACTACTTTACACAAAAAAGTACATGTTTGAAGGTGGTAAAGATATAATTACCCTGGAGACGTTGGGTCGACTTCCACCTTATCCTATTGTCGCGAAAGCAGATCTTAAAGGTTGTCTATTAATAATTACTATTTACTTCAAAATCTCACTAATCTTGCATAATATTCTACAAAATGCTATTCAACTATGCTTTTTCACCATTATTGCATTGTGGTAATCAGCGATATTTACCACAAGCACCGGTCACCGTCCTCGTCGAACCCGTCGCTTGCAACGAAGGGCTCCACGAGCGAATTAACCCATACACAGCCCACTGAGTTTCTCGCCGGATCTTCTCAGTGGGTCGCGTTTCCGATCCGGTGGTAGATTCTGCGAAGCACTGCTCTTGCTAGGTTCAGTGTTAGCAACACTCCGGTTTGACCCCGTGAGCTCACCTACACACGTTAGGGTGAAGTTGAAATAGCCTCTCAAGGTTATCAGCATAGGTAGGGAAAAAAAAGCGACATTTCGTTTACTAATAATAAATGTTCCAAACGATTTCTACTAGTTTAATAGGTTTCTTTCCCTGGTGCTATTATTGTCTTTCTTTAAACGGTCTGATAATAAATTACCGTTATTTTAGACATTGGCTTGACCTTGGAAGTCCTTAGTATTGGCGAAGTTCACGATTAACTGTGAATTTGACCCTGTTGTTCAGAAAATTTACCGATTAATTGTACATTGTTGTAATTACATCGTAAAATGTAATTATTGGACTAACTCTCAATGAATAAGTGTTTAATGAGAGAATAACTATCTTCACCTTAATTTTATGTTTTTTTTTTCAGCGGAGGTGAAGCAAGCAATAGTCAAAGCTTTTCTGAATTTACCTCATACTAGTGAATGGAAAAATAAATTTGCAAAATTTGGTATACTCAAATTTGTTCATAATAGTGATGTCGCTTACGATGGGCAGGTTGCACAGATGTGGGCCTGCCAGAGCGAAAAACTCAACGTTAGGTATTATTAGGATTTTGTTATTCATTTCATTACTGTACATTCTCTATATCTTGTATGTTGATTATACTCCTAAGTAATGTTATGTTTGCCTAATTTAAGTTTATTTTTGAGGATGTTTATAATGCAAATACAATACTTTTTTGGAAGAATGCCTTATTTATTTTTTCTGTGGCTTCCGAATTATAAATTTCATAGTTATAACATTTTTATTTGTATGACTGGTTCCTTTGATTATTCCTTGAGATATTTGAATAACTCCAAGATCTTTTGGATCTTTTTGAGATTTACTTTGACTCAAATTTTCCTGTAATTTAAAATTATTTTTCTTTACTACATGATTTAAAATGAACTTACATGCTAATGCACAACATGACCAGTTTCAATGATGTTCTTTTTAATTTAAACTAGGTAATATTAATAAAACATATCATATATTATGATATGATGTCAATATATTGAGATATTATATTCGTGATTTAATACTAAAAATAAATAAAATATTAACTTCTATACAGTTTTAGCTAAAAAACATTAAAAAACTAGGTGACGACTAAAAATTGGTTTAAATTTCATCAATTTCAACTTTCACAGCTTCAATTCACAATATTATTGATGATTGATAGTGTGAATCTTGAATGCAAGTTGTAATATTTTTAATCATTTAACTCTATATAACAAAAAATATCAACACTATCTATTTCTACATTTAAATTATTTTAATATGTAACTACAATAATAGTAGCTGAATAAGATGGGCACTAAACAATTCCTCCTCCATTGATATAAGCAATCTCTTCTTCTGAGAGTGGTTGTCTCTTGTAACGTGCTGGTAGGTCTATGTCTGGTATAGCACCAGTACTCATTGCTGCAGCAGGCTGGCTTTGCACCTGAATAGAGTATAAAGACCCATAAATAAAAGTACAGGAAGTTTGACAATTTTCTTTTGACTATAGCATATGAAAATAGTAGAAAAAGTTTATATTTTAATTATTATTTATTTATCATCAATATTTTAAATCTAATTTTAAATCATTTCTATGGCTACATTTACTGCATTAAATTATAGTTTTGCTATTTGCAAGATGGCTTCAAATAAAAACTATTTTGATATTATAATCAAATATTGATATTAAGATACATTTTACAGAGAAATGTGTCATTACAAAAACATTTGCAAACGAATACTAAGTTTACATTACAAAATTTCGCAAATCTGGAATTTTTTTTTAGGTAATGAATTTTTATCGATTATGTCATCAATTTCAACTGAGACATGTAGTAAGTAAGCTGCAGTAAGATATTCTAACTAAACGGGTGGATTCGAATATGTTATTGTTATTCAGTTTTGGACTTTTAACGTACAGGGGTTCCAGCAGTAGCAGCAGCAGTGGGTCCTGAAGCTCCGGGAGAGCTTGTACCGACATGACTAGCCCCACCTTTACGAAATTTTATAACAGGAATTCTATTTAGAATTATTGACAATCGAACCATTTTGATTAACTTTAAATATTTTTATTGCCTCAAATTTTTTTTATTTTTTTTTGTAGATCAGAAAACACATGACATCTCCTGTTAAATTCTTGTTTTGTTTAATTAGTTCTTTGGATAGGCAAAGGAAATATAGACCAAAATGTGTAATCTTTTGAATTATGCAGATAAATCCATGTGATATACAAAATAGGTTCCGTTTGACTTTCAGAAATGTGAAGTTCCAAGTAATGTGAATTATTTTGTAAATATAATGCTTGTACACCTGTGAGTTTCGAGTGTTTCTTAATCGTTTAGAGTCTGTTAAAATGCATAATTATTATAGATACTCATCTGTTTTTTTTGGCGGGAACGTGAGGAGTGAAGTTCATTTCATTCCAATTGGTTTTCATTTCATTTCATGCCATGTTTCATATTAATCAACTTCATTTCATTCAAGTATTCATATACTATTTCATATATAAAAAATATATAAAAGATTAGGCTGTATGGTATGATACCTTTGCCTTTCCAGTTAGAAAATTAAAACTACTACTGAATTTGCTTGTTTTGTTTGAAACTTGTAAAACATAACCTACTGCTCCTACTAGTTACGGTATTAAATTTAAGACCCCACCTGTATTTTTTTATAAAATGAGTAACAAGATTACTAGCGATTCAGATGAAGAGAAGAAACCAGTTTTAATAAAGAACGCTACAGACTTACAACGGCTTAAGCTTGAAAAATTGATGAAAAACCCTGTAAGTAAAATAATAAACAAAAACCACAGCTTCAGTAAAATTGACAACGTACCGATATAAATTGTAAAAATTCTAAAAGCTATTTGTTTTTCCAATTGATAGGATAAACCAGTTGTTATACCAGATCCTCCTAAATCGAAGAATTTACCACCGCCTCCCGACTTCGTACGAAATGTAATGGGTTCGAGTGCTGGTGCTGGTTCTGGAGAGTTCCATGTTTACAGACATTTAAGGCGAAAAGAATATGCTAGACAGAGATTCATTCAAGAAAAGAGCGAAAAGGTAGAACTTAAAAAAAATAGTTATTACTTTATGTTAATGTATATAGTCATCTAAACATTCAATAGATTTGACGACCGTCCCTTGTGAAGGAATTAAGTGGCGGTTTTGGTTGCAGAAGACTTGGGCAACTTCTGGATTTTGCTTATTGCAAGGCGGCCAGCAGATTTCTTGAAAGACCTAGAGTGATGCTTGTAACATCACACACCTCTCACCTCACCTCACCCCACATCTGTTTATCCATTGTGTTTTATAGGTGTTTTTGAATATTTTTTTGTAACCAAGTGTGATCAATGTTATTGCCAAACTATTGTCAAGAGGCTACCGCAACCATAACCATTACAGTGTGAATGCCGCCACTGACCCCTACAATTAAAGTTGACACCTCAATTGTATTGTAATACTTCAAACACATAAAACGTATATGTACGGCAGAAATATGAAGGTTGGTGGTACCTATCTGTGCAACTTTATAATACACCACCACTGCTTTTACTAAGTTTTTAATTTATTTTTGATATTTAGTAATACACATTCAATAAGCTTAGGCTTATTTTGTAGTATTGTAATGATAAATATTTATGTTTTTTTTTTGTTTCATATCTTTTTCCTATAATTAGTCATAGTCTGTAAACTTTGTTATATTTATTCAAATTATTTTATTGTAATTGCCTACTTGTTAGTGGTGGTAGTTGTTATTAATTAATATCAGCAATGCTAGGGGCACAGCTAACCCTCCGCCTACCATTGAGCTCATTGAGAAAACATCATTTGAAAAGCAACATGTTATAGTATCAGGGAACATTATGGAGGGAAGTTCATACTTCAGTACTTAATCAAGTTAAAATTGTTCAAGGAAAAACTGGACGAGGAGTATCACAAAAAAATAGAAGATAACAGAAGAGCAGCAGAAGAACGCACTGCTAAGAAACGGGTAAAGAGATTGAAGAAAAAGCGAAATGCAAAAATTAAAGAGAAAAGAAACAAAACAGAAAACAAGGAAGCTGCTTCATCACAATCTGATGTAAGCAGTGACAATGACAATGAAAGTAATGGAAACATCCAGGATTGTGATGGAACTGATAAGCAGAAGAATGAGGATATAGGTTCATCAAAATTTGAACATAATAGTAGAAATAAGTCTGAGAACATTGAACAAAAAAGCAGTGAGGATATTTAACTTTTACTTTGGAATAGACAAAATATCAAGATTAATCTAGGTGATGTAAATAGTTATGCAAGATGAAATTATAAATAAATACAAAATTCCTTTAGACATGTTTTATTAAAGACTGATATGGAATAATTCATACAAATAATATATGCAATAAAAAATAAAAAGTGAACTGACACATCTAAGAATTATTTTAGGAATTTCATTTTTTATCTGAGTAATATAAAAATAACATTTAGATTCCATCAGATAACCATTTCATGAAATAAAATTTATTTTTATATATGAAATAAAACAAAATACAGTTATATTTTTTAAGATAGTTCGTTATGCACTATACTTAAAATATTTAAAATGGTGCAATATAACCATCATAACTAAGTTCGTTTACAAAAAAGTATGGAGGCATTACTGGGGATGCAATTGTATAGGTATCATGATTATAAGCCATTCGGCCCCAAGTAGATTCTCTGTCTTCACGGATCTTTCTTTGTTTACACCAAGGTATAATTGTGAACCTGAATGTAGTAATTTGAAATTAATATCGAAAATAAAATTCATACTAAATTGTTGGAAACAACACTGAGCTCAATAGTTTTTCATTTCCATGGCAATAAAACAATGTTCCAATCCTTATTTCCTTTTGATGTAGAATGTAAGATCACCTTGACTAAATTGGGCAAGTTGTCTATTTTCTTCATTAAGGTAATTTAATAAGACATCACGTGTTAAAATTCACTTTAGTATTTATGGGCTACTTGCAACCGCTTAAAAAAGGTAGGTGGTAAGTTCATTTGCCTATCTACTGCAAACAATGCTTTGGGTATATGCGTCATAAAACTGGCCCGACATTATATACAGAAATATATTATCTAAATATATGCTTACCCAATTAAGATTATTGTTAATGCAACAAAAACTGCAGTTAAAATGAGTGTTTGCCAAAATTCAAGCATATTAAATTATTTAGGAATATCTTCAGTTGCAATTAAGAATAGCTATTTAACAAAAATGATAACTACCCTCCAATTAGAAACTATCGTTTATTACCATTTTGAAAATGTAGTCTGGAAAGCGCAATATACCTAATTTAACGTTTAGAAATTAGATTTCCTTAACATCAAACTCAATTAATATTTGCAATGTGGAAATAATCATTTTGCAATTAATTATTATTTTGTACTGTAGTAGTCTACGTCATTACGGATTCTCCCGATCCATTAACGGTGCTTTTAGGTACCTCAAGCACCGGTCACCGTCCTCACCGAACCCGTCGCGTCGCTGGCGACGACGGGCTCGATGAGTAAACTAACCCATAGACACAGCCCAATGAGTTTCTCGCCGGATCTTCTCAGTGGGTCGCGTTTCCGATCCGGTGGTAGATACTGCGAAGCACTGCCCTTGCTAGGGCCAGTGCTAGCAACACTCCCGGTTTGAGCCCCGTGAGCTCACCTAAACTTTAAGGAGAAGCTGAATAGCCCCTCAGGGCTATCAGCATAGGTAGGAATAAAAAAACTAGTCACAGGCAGCAGACGGGTACTTTATTTAAAAAAAAAGTGAACTTATTTGTGATAACGAAAGATAATGTAATCCTATCAATTTCTGATAGTATTTGTATTTGGTTCGATATTTCGATCCCATACAAGAGAGGGCCGTTCAGATTTAAAAAAAACGTCTGGTTATTTTTGTGTTGTCATTGTAGGCAAACAAGTTCGGCCCGCCTGTGTAAGGCCATCGTCACTGATGGACAGTCGTCCACGGCGATTCTGATAGAATAAAATACACTACGCTCCAGAGTCGAGCATTATTTTGTACAGCATGCTTACTAGGAATGTTCCGAAGAATTAAGATGAATCCGTTAACGTTTTGCATTGCATCCAATTGCACCACGCCACTAGCTGTGCTCATCCAAACCATCTGAATAACAGCATTAACCGACAGTTTGTTTTGAGCGCATTCAACTCTTTAATTAATCTGTAAGCGAACGCAGTGACATGTTCTTCAAATGGAGATTCCTCTGTGGTAAGTAGGGGCTTGGCTATGCCGCTGGCATTGTTAAAGATCAGGAGTGATGGTAGTAGCCACACACCATCGAGTGGGCCGTAGGACTGTATTAAAAAAAAACGACACTTAAAATCAGTTTATTTATTTATTGCGTAATACAGAGAAATAAGTAAATTACAACTAAGGTACATTTTTATTGAACAGAGGCCATGACGCTATCCTCGTTTTTCTTGAGAATCACGAATCCCTCCATTATCGGCGAGAGTGGTATGTACTCGTCAGTCGCCAGTTCTGCTCGCTCGCCGAAGGACAGCAGCACCGGCGTCGTGTGAGTGTGGGAACCGGCTATTGTCTTCGGTGTACCGGCTTTTCCGATAACATCCACAGCCTAAGGAATATATTTATTTATATATTTTTTAATACGCTTTTATTAGCTTCAAACGTATGTATGTTTGTAACGGAATCTTTGAACATGATTTTAACCACCTTCAAAACGCCGGATTAACTCGAAATTTGGTATACTTATTAAGGACCGATGACAATTTAATATTTAAAAATAAAGAAAAATAAAAAAAAATATTGAATTTCAACTAAAAAATGAAAAAAAAAAAGTTTAAAAAACTAAAAAATACGCTTTTATAGAAAATCCAACTAAAAAGTGAAAATAAATTTTAATAATAATTTATTTATTTATTAAATTAATTTTATTAAATTAATAATTTATTAAATTTTAATTTTAATTAATTGGGATGGTTTTCAGGATATTATCAAAATAACCCTTCTACTCATATCTGTTCATCAAATATTTATAACTATGCACCATGCAAATACCATGCACCGCACGCTTTTTTTACAATAAAATATTTTTTTCTTACACTATTTTTAATTCAAATGTATTAAAATTTATTATAAATTTTTTAGTTGGATTTTTAGTTGGAAACTATTATTTATTTATAATATGTAAGTATATATATAGCAGACGGGCAGGTAAGTCTTAAACGTAACCGTCGCCCATGCCGTCGAGAATGCATTTTTTTTTTTTGTAGCACATGGCTCACCTTATGGTAAGTAGTTACCGTTGTCCATGGACTTCAGTAATGACAGGAGCAGAGCCAAGCTGCTGCTTACCGTTAATCATTTAATCGGATTTAATCCTATAAATCGGGTGTTTTCAATAAACAGATAAAATGAAAATAATCTCGACATTACCTGTCCCACACGCACGCTGACGTTCAAGGGCTGAAGATTTTCGTCGAGGGTGACCAGCCAGCGGGGTTGCATCGCAGTCGCCAATACGTACAGCAAGTAGTGGGATTTGCCGAGGATTACTGAAAATAAAACGCGTAAGCACACATAGTACTATATAGTGCATTATGTCATCATTATTATTATTTTGATATGTTTTGAACGGTATGTAATTAAATTTGACTATTGGGACAGATATGTAATTGAAACATGAACAGCTGCACGATCAGTGAGCGTATTTGATGTATGACGCGCGGTACTTGTGGTAGGACCTCTTGTGAGTCCGCACGGGTAGGTACCACCACTCCACCTATTTCGGCCGTGAAGCAGTAATGCGTTTCGGTTTAAAGGGTGGGGCAGCCGTTATAACTATACAGAGACCTTAGAATTTATATCTCAAGGTGGGTAGCGCATGTACGTTGTAGATGTCTATGGGCTCCAGTAACTTAACACTTACTAACTTAACGGCTCCAGTAACCTGTGCGCGATTGAAGGACACGTGCCTGCAATCTAATACTAGTTTGGAAAGGGAATTAGCGCAACAAACCCGTGCGTGTTTCAAGGGAGCACTGTCTCCTATTGTACACGGGAAAGGAAATACGCCACCAGGTGGGCTGTGAGCTCGTTTATTCACCGAAGCAATAAAAAATAATGTGTTCTATCTCATTCTCTCGCCGGCTGGATCCTATACATTTATGTCTTTGTGTCTCTATGGACTTATTTTTTCGTTTCGTTTCATTTCGTTTCATCAAGTTTGAAATCATAACTATTCTAAAGAAGTTTCACTTCAAATATAACTAACTGGTCTTGCAGTCGAGGAAGGCGGTGAGCACGACGAGCAGGCCGGCGAGCGCGGGCTGGTTGAGCAGGCGCCGGTCCGCGTGCGCGGGACACAGGGTCACCGTGCCCTTGCCGGCGTGACACAGCCCCTGCGCCAGCCGCACCATGAACAGGTGCACCGGGGACTTGCCGTGGTACAGCGCCAGCGCACGCAGCATCGTCGCCAGTCTGCGATCACACAATGCACATATAAACAAACGCATGACCATTACGCGGCTGAAATGGTTGGGATAGGAAGCTGCACACGAGATGGTACGGACATGTGATGAGACGAAATGGAAATGATGATGATCTAATGAAATACGTACTCAACAAATTTCACGATTTACTTCCACGGTGAAGGAATAACATCGTGTAATAAAAATCAAACCCGCAAAATTACAATTTGCATAATTACTGGTGGCAGGACCTCTTGTGAGTCCGCGCGGGTAGGTACCACCACCCTGCCTATTTCTACGGTGAAGCACTAATGCGTTTCGGTTTGAAGGGTGGGGCAGCCATTGTAACTATACTTGAGACCTTAGAACTTATATCTCAAGGTGGGTGGAGCATTTATGTTGTGGATGTCTATACCTACCCGTGCGGACTCACAAGAGGTCCTACCACCAGTGATGATGAGTAAACTGCACATACTAAAACAATGCGTATACTATGCATAGAAATGGTATAGGTTACCTTGCGTTGTTAGTGCCGGCGCCCACGAGTCCCATGGCGAATATGGCGTTGTAAGCGACGTCGTTATCAGAATCGTGGGAGTATTTATTGAGCACGTCGATGACGGAGAGCTGCGGGTTGGACACGGAGCACAGGGCGATGGCGAGCGGCACGGCGCGCCGCACTGCCGGCTCCCCGTACCTACCCTGCGTTACGATACTTTTGTTTAATGTCTGTTTGGGGAGGCTTAACGACGGAAGGGAAGATCTTTCCCCGAGCTGGTGATATTGGCTCGGTAGACCGAAGGTCCAAATGTTGTTGTTCGGAACTTGTATATATGCAAGGTTATATTGAAAATGTCGTAAGCGAGATTCAGGCATCTGTCAAATAAGTTGCGTTGTAATGATGGCTACTCGCCATATCTGCCGTCTAACCGCACGCAATGAATAGAGTGGATGAGTATTATCGTTATGAATAAACACGTAAATTAACCCACAAACACAACCCACTGAGTTTCTCGCCGGATCTTCTCAGTGGGTCGCGTTTCCGATCCGGTGGTAGATTCTGTGAAGCACTGCTCTTGCTAGGGTCAGTGTTAGCAACAACGTCAGGTTTGAGCCCAGTGAGCTCAATTACTCGCCCGGTGACGCTGATATGGTTTCTCAAGACAATCATCAGCTTAGGTAGGAAAAATAAAAGTTATGAATCAGGCACTCTCAAACAACAGCGTAATTAAACACAACATATTTCCATGAGGGCGACAAAAAATCGTAGTAGTGACCACATAAAACTTTGAAGGGATTATTTAGGCGTTTATCACAGTCGAATGTATCCAGGTTTCATTGTATTAATACAAATCTTTAAGAGTCTTCTTATACGTTAGTTCTTTTTGAAGGTGGCGGTAGTTCTTTTTAACGTTCAACAAGTATGTATAAGCCGCGCCAACAAAGGAACGAATCTAAAATGGCGGCAGCGATCATGCGCTCTCACTCTAAGCTATTGCTGTCTTTAGTCGCACACGGCGCGTACTGCATGCAAAAAAATATCACTTCTGACTGGTAAATAATATGGCCTCTCACAAACGAGGAAAAGTTCTTCACAGTGACGCACGCGTGCATAACGTTATTAAATACTTTGAAGAGGAAAAGAATCTCGAGAAATTAAAGAAAAGAAATTCTCATTAGTTTTCTCATGTTTGTTTACAATAAACAACTTTTTCTTTCTATCTCTCTTTTTATTTGTTGACCCTACCATCTGTCAGTGCAGGTACATAGACGCCATTTTCGATGCGTTTCTTTATTGGCGCGGCTTATACTTTCATTTATGTTGAATAAAAAAAAAAAAATTGATTTGATTTGATTTGAGCTTCGTACCAGTTGTCCGAAGATGCGGGTGCACATTTCGGCGCCCGTTTCCTCGGCCAATGCGATGACCGCGACGCCAAGGGTCGCCACGGCTTGCACCGAGGACAGCTCCTTGTTGGCTTCCTTTTCCTTATCCTTTTCCTTGTTTTTGCTGTCTTTTGATGATTTACCTGCGTATAGGTAACATAATATAGGTGCCTGTCAGCGACGCACTCCACCAAGCTACGAAACGGGATCGACGGAGACAGCTGGTTGACGGAATCGGACTGAGTCACGATCCTCAGCAGTGAGGGACCGATCGAAGAGAGAGAGAGGTAACATAAAATTTAAACAATCAATTCAACTGCATTGGATTGATCACTATCTTAAGTTTTTTTTTTATTGCTTATATGGGTGGACAAGCTCACAACCCACCTGGTGTTAAGTGGTTACTGGAGCCCATAGACATCTACGACGTAAATGCGCCACCCACCTTGACGTTTAAGTATTCCTAACGTATGATAACTTTACAGTATAAGTATATCTGTTCTAGAATCACATCGAAACGTTAATGATGATTTATTTACCTTTGGATTTGTCGTCCTTTGAACTGCTCGGAGTTGCTGTAGTTTCTTTTGCGTCCTTCTTGTCTTGTTTCTTAAAAGCTGTGTCTTCAGTTGACGATTGTTCATTCTGAAACAAATTTTCATATACTAATTCTAATAAACTTGATCTGGGTATTATAGTCGTATAAATCTATCGCATGCCTACTTTTATACATGATACCCTGTTTAGAAGTGATAAATGTTCCAAGATAGTTCTGCAGCCTCGCGTGTTAAAATGGTACAATCTTACGTAAAAGCTGCATTTTTTACGGCTTCGATTTGAATAGTCAATAGTAAGCTCGCTTCATTCTTACAAAAAATAAAATAATTAGATATAATCGGAGTAATTGAATAAAGAACAGAAATACAATGATTAATGATATAATTATACAAATAAATTGGTAGACAAGTCTGCAGCGAAGTTCCAAACGCCAGTTAAATTTGCAATGCAATAATCGAATTGCATCAAAGATTTTAACTGTAAATTGATGTAAAAACTTGCATTGCATCTGCTTGTAGCCTATAGAATCAATTGCAGTTCATTATTGAGAAAATAAGAATAATTTTAACTGACTCTGTGGTATAGTAGTAATCCTGATTATTATGGTGGGTGGGTTCTATTCCCACATTTGTGAGATGAACAAGTTTGTTTGCTGTTTGTATAGTTTTTTTCTTCTTTATTGCCCTTCTATGCATACGGCCCAACTGATGGTTAGTGGTTACCGTCGCCCATAGACTTCAGAAATGCCAGCGGCAGAAGCAAGCCACTGTCTACCGTTATTATGTACCTATACATATATGTATATATCAGTCTCTGGTTCTCATATTACTGTGACCGTGTGTAGCATGTCCTCGGTTATTATTACTGTTACGCCGCTAAGAGTAACGCCATCTATCGCCGAATAGCCGAACGAATATAGAAGGATCAGTAACACCTAGAACGCTCGAGAAGTACAACGCCATCTATTGTCAGATAACGGAAACACACATCGAAGGTACTCGGCTTGTGAGGAATGTTCTCGACGTTTCTAGGGATGTCCTATCGACTATAAAAGCGTTGCAGAAATGATACGCAGTCAATGAGTAAAGAAGTGAATTGAGAATTTTAAAGTGTTAGTGAAGTGCTTAGCGAATAAATGATTTCTATCTTTCTCTTTCATTCTTTCAGTGTTTTAAGTGTTCTAAGTGCTACACAGTTTTTTTTAATTGCCGTATAGGCAGACGGGCGTACGGCCCACCTGATGGTGAGTGGTTACCGTCGCTCATAGACGTCAGCAATGCCACGGGCAGAGCCAAGCCGCTGCCTACCGTTCAAGTTGTACTTTGGTGGAGCATTTATTTATCCCGAACCCCAGCGCGTGTAACATTACTAACATCGGTTTCGTAGTGCTTGGAGCAGATGTGCAGCATCTGTTGCACCACGAGCACGTCCCCGGTGCCGGCGTACGCGCACATGGACAGCGTGGTCTGGCAGAGCGACTGCTGCGGCTCCGGAAGTACTTCCAACGCGGCCATCGTCGCCTCCGTGCGCTCCTTGCAGCCTGCGAACAAACATCACTGTTGAGTTCGTGCTCGCACTGAGGCCGAACCAAAGGCTAACTTCATAGTAAGTGAAGTAGTATTCCTTACTTTCGGACCGAATGGTAAACAGTCGACGTCGCCCAAAACACGTCATTTCGGATTTTAGGTACCTCAAGCACCGGTCGTCGTTCCCGTCGAACCCGTCACTAGCGGCGAAGGGCTCGGCGAGTAAACTAACCCATAGACACAGCCCACTGAGTTTCTCGTCGAATCTTTTCAGTGAGTCGCGTTTCCGATCCGGTGGTAGATTCTACGAAGCACGGCTCCTGCTAGAGCTAGTGTAAGCAGCCTCGACAGGTTTGGGCCCCGTGAGCTCACCTACTACGCTGATATAGCCTCTAAAGCTTAAGTAGGAAAAAAAAACTCACTCTCAGCTCACCCGGTGAGTAAGTTATATCATAGTTGTATTTTTTATTTAGTTTGTTACTTTACAACATTTATATGTTCACTTTGGATAACACTACTTTGGGTGAATTTTAGTAATTCTATTTTATATAACATCTACAATTATACTATGAATAATTGTTTTTAAAACTTTTTGGGCTTTGCATATACATGCTGCTATTTTGAAGTTGATACAATTCTCTGATGTCATAAATGTATAGCATGTTACGATTTTGAAAGCAGTAACGCAACTCACCTAAGAAACACAGCCCGAGTCCCAAATGCAGGAACCTGGCGTAAGTAGACGAATGCAAATCCTTGTTATCGTCAATCAATCGCTGAATGATTGCACAAGATACCTGTCAACAAACACAGAATATTTTATTTTTGTTTTTACACTTTTGAAAGATTATTATAAATTTATATTATATGACTTCCTGTCCAGACTTTCAATATTTTTGTGATAAACTATATTTATTTATTTATTATATTAATAGCTATATTTTAGTGTACTTAAATAAAGATTTTATGCTTGTTTTTTTGCCTAGATGGGTGGACGATCTCACAGCCCACCTGGTGTTAACTGGTTTCTGGAGCCCATAGCCATATACAACGTAAATGCGCCACCCACCTTGAGATATAAGTTCTAAGGTCTCAGTATAGTTACAACGGCTGCCCCACCCTTCAAGCCGAAACGCATAACAGCTTCACGGCAGAAATAGGTGAGGTGGTGGTACCTACCATGTTTTAATTTAGATTAGTAACATTGTCATTGTAATGTAATATGTCCATGATACATACATCGCCATTGCACGATCCAACGGCGATGAGCCCGCAGGAGATGGCGGCGAGTGCGCAGATCTCGGCCGGAGCGGTCGTGTCGTTGAGCACGGGAAGCAAGTGGGACAGCACATCTTCTCGTTGTGTGCCCGCATATGCAATACCTAGACCTGTTTACAATATTACGGTAATAAATATAAATATAAACAATTAAATAGATAATTTGCATTACGTTGACATTTTTTTATTCATAATAAAAATCAAGTACAAGTTGTCCAAATTCTTAAGTTTATAAATTAATACATATGCGAACCAAAGTAAGAATTGTAATGTAATACGCAAGCTTATCTTGAAAATGCATAGACCTATATAGTAGGGACACGACATATTGTTCTATACGTATAATTGCTTATATAAATAGCACCCATTTTGAAGGCACACACATAAACATATATCTATCTCGTTCTTACTCAGCACTTTAACTCGCAGGAAAACAATATAACAGTATTTCAGTTTGTACATAAAATGAAACATGAATATACATAAATGTCTAATGAGGCCGAAAATCCGCCATGTTGAGCGCACCAAATGTCATTGTTACGTCAGTTCGGCCGTCTGTTTTGGGTTGTACATTATTTATTGACTTTGATATTGATTTAATATGATTGCTTATATAAAATTTATTTTGTCATGCTTAAAACATACAAAAAAAGTAATTAAAACGTATTTTATAGGATCTCAAGAAAGTCGATGCCCCAAAACTATTATCTATATATATTTAAATTCATTATGGAGCCCTCATCCGAAAAATCCACCATTTTTCGGTCGGAATCTATTGATCATGACACTAATCATAAATACCTCTTTAAAATATGTCATCAAAACATATTTAGACATTCTGTTTAGATATTTCGGGAAAAAGACTACCGACAAAATCTCTTCGGAACTATTTAAATAAAATAGTTTTATTCCGCAGTGAGTAAAACACTATTGTAAATTCACAAGTCACAAGGAATGACGTTTGTAATTAATGAATAAATGTTCTGTACTTAGGTGGTTTTTTTTCACGCGGTCCCTTGATAAGTTTAAAATTTGAATCACTCTCAAGTGAAAGTGATTCAAATGGTGCGGCGCACCTTCCTTGAGGTGCGCTGCGGTAGTGTGTTACGGACTTTAGAGTCAGCAAAACAATTAAAATAGATTGTAATAGTCTAAGAAAAACACGTACTCAAAATACGATAACATTTAGCATGCTAGAAATGGGCAGATGGCACTGTACTACGCCATATCTTTATGTTTTGCGACAAACGACAACTTTATAAAATCAGTGTAGCAACTTTTAGAAAACATTATATCGTTTGCTTGGCAAATTCGAAGGACGAACTTGTCTTAGATTTCACACATCTAAATCATATCATATTTGCACATAACAATATACCTACTTACTTCTCATTAAAGTATAAATTCTACAAATAAATAATACTCAACAATATTCAAAATAAAATGAGCCAAGAAAGTTTATCGATAAAACCAGATAACATTGAAATCTTTTGTACAGCACTAAAACCGCCATGTTTTGTGGTCAGATGACGTCACAGTGGCACGAATTTTTTGGTGACGTTTCATTTCCATAGGTTTCCTACTTCAGTGTGAAAATGTCGTAAGCGAGATTGAGGCATCTGTCAAATATCTTGTGTTCTCTGATGGCTACCGCCACAGTAAATATTGCATATAATTATGTATTGACTGAATTTATTTTCTTTAAATTATACAAATGTAGTTTACTATAAAAAAGAGCGTCACCATACCCAAAACACTTCCGATCCTGAGATTGGAACTGGAATGCAGAACATAATCGGAGAGCAGAGCTAAGGCTGGATCACACTCGTTCCTGACACCGCAGTTCACGAGACCTAAAGCCAGTAGGGCACCAGCCTTGATGTGCTCGTCGGCGGTATACAGGTATTTGTCGATAGGCGTTAGACCACCGTCTACATCCCACAAGTGAATCATACCAAGGGACGCGGCCGCTGAGAGCATACCTATAAAAGAGAATTAAATATAAAAGAGAATTAAATATAAAAGAGAATTAAATATAAAACGAATATAACATTTTTATCCTGATGTAATATAGTTAGTGAAGTTTCTAATGATGTAATGAAAGATTTAGTACCTAGTTCTCATAGTTTTTAATTCTTCAAAATTGTGGAGTAATAGTCATGTTACTGGTAATAAATAACATATTTAAAAAAAAATTAAAAAAAATAATACTTATGCCCAAATGTTACTTCTTATGCTTCATATACATATATTCAGCTATAATAAACGAAACAATTTTTCCATCAACCAGTCTGGTTGTTGAACTGTAAATTTAGGACTATTAAATACTTTACTGCTGATTTTTGTAATTATACATCTTTAAGGCTTAGTTATTATTATGAGCAATTGTTGGCTATAAAAATCTATTAACATACAGCAGACACCCACGGCGGGAATTAAAGAACTATCCTACCTTCTTTGTCTGAGCCCTTCCCAGAACCGACCCAGAAAGTAAGGAAGTGCGACCAGACAGACCCACCCAGGTCACTGATATGACATAATGTTATGAGGTGGCCAAAATTTAAATTCATAGTGCTAGCACATTAATTACAATATTAATGCAAGAAAAACAAACCATGATCCTTATTTTTGTACATCCATTTGTTCCCGTCATCGGTTGTGACAAGTTTGTCGCGGCCAAACCCGGCATTCACAAAGGCGTTCACAAATGTAGCTGACAGGTTCTGTCTAGCAGAGTCTACAGGATGTTCAGTCAGTAAAGATGGACGAAGAGCTGATCCGGCCGACTCTAACCATGTTTTATAAACTTCTTCTGGAGTTTTCGGTTCCATAATATCAAGCTAAATAAAATGACATTTAATTACAAACTTATAGAATACACTGAAAGCAATGTTCATAATTATGGCACACAAAAAATTACAGTACCAAAAAAATTATGTGGAAATCAGAACTAGAATTACCTCCCTTGCCAGACTTAGAAAATGATCATTGATATGAGCGTTCAGTAGAATTGTGCGCAGATCTTCATCATCCACTTCTAATGGTATGTATTGACGTGCAAGTAAGTAGCACAGTTGCTTTTTTATTAAACTGAAAAAAATAATCATACATTAGAAAATATACCTTTATAATAGTTGTTAATACTAATTTTTTATCACACGTTCTAATAAATTTTTGGTGACACAATTGAAATAAGACACTTACTAAAGCTGTGTGTGTATTTTGCATAAAGTTAAATATCATTATCATCATACCTAAATTATTATGTAAATTATTATTTCTCTAAGCATTTGTAAGTAACTTACGGATCATTACAGGCGTTGAACACTTCTTCACATTTAGCTTTCTCATGAAGTTGCATAGCTACAAGCATTGCTCTTGGGTACTCTCCAAAACGAAGGTATGTATCTAAGACACCTTGTAGTATTTGTGTTGACTCAGGTTCAACAACATAACTTGCACATCTGAGAATTATTAATCAAAGGATAGTAATAATATCTATAATTAAAAAAAATTATATTTGCAATTGTAAAACTCAATCCAATTAATTTAATTTAACTCATTTAGTTGTTATTAAGAAAATTATAAAAAAAATTAGCAAATTGTTAATTTGTTGTGATTTTAAAGGTAAAGAAAGAAAAAACAATCTTTACTCCAAATAAAATAAAACATTTACCCAATAAGATAAAGGCAGACTCTTGGGTAGTTGCTTTGATCCATATGTTGTGTCAGCAGATCAAGTCTATCAATTTCCATTAACAGATCACAAGCCTGGATCTCAGCTGAGTGTTTCATGTCAAATGTGATAACATCACGTACAAGTGGCAACAGTGAATCCATGTTTTCTATATTCCATTCTTCAGCAATTTCACCTTCCAATTGCCTGTGTAAGTATTTTTTATTTAGTACATTTTTAGTCAAGTGTAAACACAATAATTCGTTCATTTATTTTGTTTCAATTTTATACTTGCCTAACATATTCATGTCCCCAATCACCTACATTTGACAATGTTCCTAGAAGACAATACTTCAAACACTCTCTCTTTTCTGCAACTTCCTAAATAAGTGTATATAATTTTGCTGTAGTTTAATGTGTTTTACAATTTGATTGTCGTTATACTAATGAAATACATTAAAAATAGGGCTATATTTCATTTAAAATTGTATCACAATAAGCAGAAAGTAATGACATGCAACCAGTTGATAAATTTTTTTGTTTCCTTACCAGAGTACCGCTTACGCCCATTGCTAAGACAGAGATAACATCAGCACAGAATTTTTTCGTTTTTTCATCTGTAATTTTTTCGTATACTTGTTTCAATGCTGGATAATGTTCCCTTAGGAATTTTAGAGGTTTAGGTACAGAAGTCATAGATGTTGTTGACGTCCTAATGAGATTACTTAGCATTTGTAATGCTGGAAAATATAAATCGACTTCATTGCCCTGGAAAAAAAATATTGAGATGTGATTTGTTATAGTAAAGGTTATGATGACTTGATGAATAAAAAAAAAAGCTAATTTCAATACTCACCAAAAGCTTATCGACTAGCATATTCAATTCCTCCTGTAGGCGTTTGTCTTCCTCGGACTAAAAATATAATTCAAATTAGAAGAATGCATTAGTAGCATTTCATTTTATTGATTTCAATTTTTATTGGAAGAACTCACAAGATCATCATTTGGAGCCACTGCCGGCTCAGCTTTTTCCTTCTTTGGCTCATCAGTTTTATTTTTCACAGTCATTTTATTAACTTATCGTTTCCTTTTTATCAAATAGAACAAATCACTTTACCGACTGTATGTATTGGTAATAATAAAACAGAAGTGCAAATTTGACAAGTCACTATTACGAAGGGCTATCATATTTAAAAAAGCATTTTCTACCATACGGAACTTTTAATTCTGTAAAACCTACCATACCTCTACCATCTTCGACAAAGGAACTGAATAACATTGAAGGTAATAAAATGATCTAATTCCAATAGATCATATAAAAATATTTTTTTTAATTTGTTAGTAAGTGAAAGAAATCTTTCTGCACTTATTGTATGACTGCTGCGCAATTGGAGCAAAAGATACAGTCTTCGAGGAGAATATTTTTTTCTCTCGAGGAGGTGAAAACAATGTATTCAAGGAAAGTTAATCCGACTTATAGTGGATTTCGGTCTCCACAAAGATGTCTAACACTATGGGGTAATCAAAATAGATCTATGAGGGTTTTTTTTTTTTTTCCTACCTAAGCTGATAGCCCTAGCGGCTATGTCAGCGTAACCCTAACTTTAGTAGGTGAGCTCACGGGGCTCAAACCTGACGATGTTGCTAACACGAACCCTAGCATGAGCCGTGCTTCGCAGAATCTACCACCGGATCGGAAACGCGACCCACTGAGAAGATCCGGCGAGAAACTCAGTGGGCTGTGTCTGAGAGTTAATTTACTCGTCGAGCCCTTCGTCGCAAGCGACGGGTTCGACGAGAACGGTGACCGGTGCTTGAAGTACCTAAAAGCACCGTTAGTGGATTGGGAGGATCCAAGATGACGTGTTTTGGGCGACGTCGACTGCTTTCCATTCTGTCCGCAGGATCGGGAATGTAGTTACCGGCGGCCACGATGAGAGGGTTCTCGTGTCGTGCCGCTTTATCGAAGTGGATAATTAATTATGAGGGTCGCATTAGATTGTATATTTATAGTCTTGAAGTTGTCGTGGCCTAAAGGATAAGACGTCCGGTGCATTCATGTTGAGCGATGCACCGGTGTTCGAATCCCAGGCGGGTACCAATTTTTCTAATGAAATACGTACTCAACAAATGTTCACGATTGACTTCGACATGACATCTATACTAATATTATAAAGAGGAAAGATTTGTTTGTTTGTTTGTATTGAATAGGCTCCGAAACTACTGAACCGATTTTAAAAATTCTTTCACTGTTTCATCTTCTTTTTTTTAATTAGGGATCTTTACTAAAACTCCAATAACGTAACGCAAGGTGTAAAAAAATTACCTAAAATATTATTTACATCGCGTGCGCTGCGAAAACTATTGACGATAGAATAAATAAATAAAAAATATTTCAAGACATTAGTCTCATATTGTGTTGGTATTACAAATAACTAACGAACTATGTTAGTATTTAAATAAATCAATCAACTCCGTCCCCGGCAGCCCCATCAAGCAGCATGAATCATAGAATAAGCAACTTGATGAACCCACCCAGGGTCGGGCCATCCAGTCTTTCAGCTAGTCGTGTAATAAAAATCAAACCCGCAAATTTTAATTTGCGTAATTACTGGTGGTAGGACCTCTTGTGAGTCCGCACGGGTAGGTACCATCACCCTGCCTATTTCTACCGTGAAGCAGTAATGCGTTTCGGTTTGAAGGGCGGGGCAGCCGTTGTAACTATACTTGAGACCTTAGAACTTATATCTCAACGTGGGTGGCGCATTTACGTCGTAGATGTCTATGGGCTCAAGTAAGTACTTAACACCAGGTGGACTCGTCCACCCATCTAAGCAATAAAAAAAAGTCTACCAATAAGAAGAACGACATCGCCCAAAACACGTCATCTCGGATCCTGCCGATCCACTAACGGTGCTTTAAGATTCCCCAAGCACCGGTCATCGTTCTCGTCGAACCCGTCGCTTGCGACGAAAGGCTCGGCGAGTAAATTAACCCACCCAATCTTCGCAATGGGTCGCGTTTCAGATCTGGTGGTAGATTCTGCGAAGCACGACTCTTGCCAGGGTTCTTGCTAGGACTTTTGTTAGCAACATCATCAGGTTTGAGCCCCGTGAGCTCACCTGCTAGTCCGGCGACGCTGACATGTTATCTATAGACCATCAACTTAGGTAGAAAAAAAAAGTAAGCGGTGGGAACTTATGATACTCGAATATCCAATATTAGTGATTTTGTACGTTTTTCTACACACACAAGCACTATCATAAAAAAAGATATGCTTACATATCAAAGAGAGGAGACAGGTAAAATGATACATCACCTTTAACGTTCCTGACAAAACCAAACAAAAATACCTATTCTATAATTACATGTTGGAGCTGTTCTTTTTTATAAGTTTTGTATAAGTATTCTTATCAGTTTTCTGGAGCGGCTTTGAAAGCATGTGAATTATTTAATATTTTTAATTTAGTGTTTCTTCTGGCTTAATCGTGTAATGATGCAACTTCTACCCTTTAGACACATTATTTTGTTTTACTGCATTTCATTTTACATACATTATAACATAAGGCAACGCTTAAACAATGGCATTGGAAAAAAAACAATTGTTATCTTGAAAATGTTTTCAAATTAGCTTACGGTGGTAAGGTATATTTTTAGATAATTTATAAGGAATTTTGTGAGCAACGCACGATTTATTTAATAATACAATATACATTGTAAAAGAAATATCAGCTTCAAGTTCCGAGGCTGGTTTTGAGATCCATGAAATTCTAGTGATGACAATGGCCTTTAATACCGAGTGGGCTGTGAGATAGTCTACCGATTTACAAATACAATAATATGTGTACATGGTCATCTAGTGATGATAGAAGAGAGGTTTACACTCGCTCTAATATAAACTAGAATACAATGGATATATATATATATATATATATCCAGAAGAAATAAGGCAAAAACCTGGATCGCGCTAGTGACATTTTCAACATAAGCTTCAATACTGAATATACACTATACACCCTATTTGGTTCAAAATTGGCGACTCCGAAGATTTTGTATTTTATTTCTAAACTGGTGGCGTTCGATGGACCAACTGCGGCTTTCACCTTTATACAATTATCGAGTCATCAACGTTAATTAGAGTAGTTATCTTACTCCCGCAGCTCAACGTATATCATCAATAACGGCCATGCCACCGTAAGCCAGTATCATAGCCCCAACAGGTCTATTGCCGCTGACTCACTCTGCACCTTAGTCCTACGGCACATACCCTTGGTGCCTGACGCCGATTGGAAATTATGGTCGAACTATTAACGTGGGTTACACAAATCCGGCCGGCACTATACTAAACCGGATTGGTCCTGGCACTGGTATTCAAGCATATAGCATCACAGTATTTAGGCTCAGTCTCGACTCAATGAAGATTTCGAGCAGCGCTGACACTTGTAAGTTAATTTAGGCATGGATACCACTAATTAGGAAGAATATTAAGATTGTACCAAATTTACGGCCAGTAGGACGACCTACGGTCTCGGAAAGGGTAATTGCTAGATTTCATAGAATAGAAGCACAGAAAATTCATTAGCAGATAGCTGGAGGATGTAGAAATTACATTACAGAGATAGTGGACCGGAGATGTGCAGAATTGCCTTCCAAAATTATCTGCCCAGCATAGAAATCATGACGGTCGACAGCAGTAAGTCTTGTTCTATATGAGCGAAAACAGCGGAAAGCTGCCCCTCCCAGATGCTACAGTTTTATGTCCAATGATGAGATTATTATTTTTCGGGCTAGGTACCGAAGCGCATGCATTTCTGGCTGTAGGGGGCGCGCGGAGTTTGTGGGTCTTGACTTGTAGATATACGGAGCAGGCTGTTTTTAGGGCCCTACTCAAAAATCGACTCTCTTTGTACTCTCTCACCAGACGTCCGATCTCCGTGGGAGGAATTGAATATGGGTTTCCGCGGTCAACACTGCAATCAGACTCGGGACGAGAACATCCAACCGACGGATCGTCGAGGTGATCGAATCGTCTCATTCTCCTGACGCCAGCGCGCTAGAATGACAGTAGCGTGCGGCGCAGCCTCGACCCTGTCAAGTCGCCCAGTGAATGTTCACTGACGTTGACTCAGCTATAAGCTGTAATCGCATCAAATTTACAAAAATTCCCAACATTCTATCATCATTTTATAACATGCTAAACAACGATCACATACATTTTCTTGACGATTCTTATAAAATTACCGTCTTGTATAGTAGGCGCTAATTACTACTGGAAGATCATAAAAATGTTGGAGAAGTGTTTTCCATGAAACATTTATGTGATACGTTTATGATATGTTATCTACTTTTGAATAAAGTTACTCTAATCTAAACAAGTCAAATGAAGTAATGTAAAAAAAAAAAAAAAAAAAAAAAAAAAAAAAAAAAAAAAAAAAAAAAAAAAAAAAAAAAAAAAAAAAAAAAAAAAAAAAAAAAAAAAAAAAAAAAAAAAAAAAAAAAAAAAAAAAAAAAAAAAAAAAAAAAAAAAAAAAAAAAAAAAAAAAAAAAAAAAAAAAAAAAAAATTTAAACTGCAGACAGAAATATACATTATTCACTGAATTATTTCCATTTTAAAAAGAAGTCTTCAAATGGCTTTGCAGAATAAAATAAAATCTCGTTTAGTTTTCCAGGAACCGTTGCCGCATTGTGTTCTCGGTTTATTAAAGTGGTTACTTATATCAGGATCCTCTTTAGTAAGTTATAGTATGTTTCATAGAATCATATTGCATTTTGGCGATGGTAAATTTCAACATCTGGTAATTTATAATGGGTTCGCAGCCTGTAAAGAAAGAGAAGGAATCATTAAACTTAAATTAAAGAGCTCTATACTTCGCGGCAACATTATCATCAAATAATTGAAAGCGGCGTATTGCTTACCTATTATATCATTGAATCTAAACTTAGTACATAACATTCTTATCTACCAAATAAGAGCTTTAACCAGAATAATCCTTTAAAATGATATGTAGCTCATAGTGAATTTGTAAATTTTAACTTGTAGGGTATTTTGACATATTATAAATTTACACATTAAAACGCACCACTAGTTCGTCACTTGATTTCACTTTAGCGACATTTACTAAGAACTTAATGAAATTTGTATTTGAAAATAATCTCCTTTGTTTTGCATGAGATTGGTTTAAAATTAATATGTTTTCATGTTAAATTTATAAAATGTATAATTTATGTATCTCGATGGCATAGAGAGTAATAATATACAGGTATGGTGTTGTAAAATAAAAAAAATCATTTTATTTTTAAAGCTCACAAAGCTACAGGATTTGCTCATTAATATGAGTTCCAATAATTTTTTTCTTTCAGATTTAAAAATGCATCGTTTCCCGTCGATGTCTTCCATTAGATCGGCTGTTAGGAGTCGTAACAGTAATCGATGTTCAATGTCAACTAAGCCTCATAAATCTCTACGTACCATAGATGAGATGCCACATAAGAAATCATTACCAATCATAGGAACAAAATTTGACTTATTTTCTGCAGGTGGAGGAAAAAAGTGAGTTTTTTTAATATTGTTTTTTTTCTTTTTCGGATCGACGTACCTAACCGTAACAATGGACCATTAAGAGCCTCGTTAATCTAATACTTGGGTACTGGTTCGATTCTAGGCCGGTATCAGTTTCTTTGTTGAAGATATTTCGTATTCGCATTTGTAATAGTTCTTTTTTCGTATGTGTTTCTGTTTTTTTTATTGCCAAAGGTGAGTGAATGAGCTCACTGCCCACCTAGTGTTAAGTGGTTACCGGCGCCCATAGTCATTACTGTGTGAATGTCGCCACTGACCTTCAGATATGAGGTCTAAATCTCTACTGTATGTCTGCTCCATCCTTTGCACCGGAAAGCATTGCTTCTCGACGGAAATAGGGAGCGTGGTAGTACCTACGCGTACGGGCTTACATGATGACCAACCACCAGTAAATCAGTAGGTACTTACCATAACACAAAATCGAAACCTAATCTAGTTAACGCTTTGTACGCCGACCACTTAATTTTTTTAATAGTTGATGGTTCACAAAATTCGGAAATCCTAATGGGAAATCATGATTTTTAAATATTCATAATTTATGGTTAGCTTAGCAACTGTTTCGGCTTCTATTCATCTACCACGAGGCTTGTGGAGAATATTAAATGGTAAGCAGCAGCTTGGCTCTGCTCTCGGCATTGCTGACGTCCATGAGCGACGGTAACCACTTACCATCAGGTGGGCCGTATGCTCCTCTGCCTACAAAGGTAATAAAAAAACAACCTCAGCTTTCTTTTGACAAAATTTTGATATTGAATTGTTTTTATCTTTACCCAAAAGCTTTTTACTAAGTTTTTGTCGCTAAGTTGATTCCGCCCTATGCCATGTTTATCGCATCGCCCTTAATGTTAATAAATTTTATTAATTTGAATCGAATATATTTATTTATAATTTAAAATAACTTCATAATGTTTTCATGAAAATTAATCTGAACTTATTTTCAAAGGAGACTGCCTGTTTTACCTGTTTCTTTTTGTCTCTGAAATTTTAGCGTTTCACAAATTTGGCCGCCCCTCCTATCATGCGGCCCTAGGTCCGAGCCTCACGGGCCTAGGCGTAAATCCATCCCTGTTGCATACTAAAAAACCCCAAATTTTTAGCTTACACAAATATATCGACATGCGTCACAAGCAATTAGGACCTATATTCTACGAGAGATTAACAGGAAAGACAAAACTTGTCTTTATCAGCGACCCAACTCACATGAAAAGTTTANGCCGCCCCTCCTATCATGCGGCCCTAGGTCCGAGCCTCACGGGCCTAGGCGTAAATCCATCCCTGTTGCATACTAAAAAACCCCAAATTTTTAGCTTACACAAATATATCGACATGCGTCACAAGCAATTAGGACCTATATTCTACGAGAGATTAACAGGAAAGACAAAACTTGTCTTTATCAGCGACCCAACTCACATGAAAAGTTTATTCTTAAATTTAGAAGGAAAATATCCGGCACATATTCTACCAGAACCGTGGGTACTATATGAAAAATTATACGGATCAAAAAGAGGACTTTTCTTTATGGACGGAGAGGATTGGTTGATTAATCGACGAATTATGAACAAACATCTACTCAGAGAAGATTCAGATGTATGGTTACGAGCTCCTATAAGAACAGCTGTGTTTCACTTTATATGTAACTGGAAACTTAGAGCTCAAAGTGGCAACTTCTCTCCTAACTTGGAATCTGAGTTTTATAGATTTTCCACTGACGGTATATTAATTTTAATTTAACTATCCGCCTGTAAATAATCTACGGTCGTTTAAATTTTAAATATGTTTTGCTTAAAAATTGAGTCTACGATTGTTATTTCAGTTATTTTAGCAGTTCTTCAGGGGAATAGTGCACTATTAAAGCCCACGCCAGAATACGAGATGTTATTGTTACTGTTTTCTGAGGCTGTCAAGAAAATATTCTCAACGACTACAAAATTATATGCTTTACCCGTAGAATTCTGCCAACGATGGAATTTAAAAGTGTGGAGAAATTTCAAACAATCCGTTGATGATTCCATCTCTATCGGTAACTCAATTATTGTTTATGTTGAATGTTTTTCACTGAAGGACACAATAGCGAAAGACGACATCATTATTGACATATAAGGCTTATATTATTGCAATAGTTTGTGCATATGTGAGCCAAGATCACGCATTTTTTTTACTATAGATCTTACACTACGAATATTATTTGTTCGTCCTACCCAATATTGGAGATTTTGAATTTTAAACCTATAATAAGGTGGCGTACATTTTATGCCGCAATGATGACCTGGAGTTAGGTATAACAATAAAACTACCTTTTTTATATTATGGCCAATTCCGATTTATTATGTCATCTAATACTATAATTTAGTAAAAAATATAATACGAGTAGAACCGCACACAAAAAGTTAAAAGAAGACGATGCTCAGAAGACTGTATTTAATAATAAAAAGTAACGCACACATTTTTGCTGCTCGCTATCTTTCGAATACAGTTATTTTGCTACAATTACTCCCAACTTTTAAGTAGGTAACTTGATTTTACGGACACTGTAGAAAGAACCCACCTTCTGCGGTGCCTTAAATACATTAAAAAGGTAGTTGGGTCCCCGTATAATTTATTACACTGACATTTATCTTAGATTTTATCGGGACGATTCGAAATACGTAGGGAATACAGACGCTGTGCCCCTATGTGAAATTATGATAATTTATTATGTATCGTTGTCGTGTCTGTCATTAATAAATCGGCATATTACGTTCCGTTATTGTATTTAAACGATACATTTTCATCATCTTATGTTCTAATAGCTCAGAAAATTGTATACGAAATGTTGCACACAAAAGACGCTGGTGACGGTTTGGTAAAAAGACTAAAGGATGAAAATATGTCTGATGAATTAATAACAAGAATTGTTGCTGACTTTGTCATCGCCGCTGGAGATACGGTATGTTAAACATATTTTTTAGTTAACTATGATGGTGTTGATTATATTTTTTTATACACACATAGCTTTTTTATTGCAGACAGCTTATACATCACTTTGGATATTATTTTTACTTTCAAATAATACTGAAATCTTAACTGAAATGAACGACAACGACCAATACGTGAAAAATGTTGTTAAAGAGGCAATGAGATTATATCCTGTAGCACCATTTCTTACAAGAATTTTACCCAAACAATGTGTTTTGGGACCTTATTTGCTCGAGGAAGGGGTAAGTTTTTGGTTAACTATTTGTTGTGATATTTGCTGAAAACAAATACGAACCTGTACGCGGAATGGTAATCGGATTACCATCGCGCCAGGTCTTTTCGGTCTCGGTTCCAATCCGATTGTAGATTCACGAAAGCAGCACGAGTAAAAGGCTTCAACATATGCAACGCGAATCGTGCAAATTAACTACATCTCGCCACTTATGATACGACACCCCACTCGTTTTCTTTATTGCCACACCTTGGCCTTTTTGACTGACGGGCGGCCCTGAGGTGGTCTGGGCGCAAGGGCGGATCNGGGGGGGGTCATGGGGGTCATGACCCCCCCCTAAGCTGGTTCCAGGACCTAGGTAGACCACATATTGAACATAATGATTTTAGGACCACGGTTATGGAATATAAAGAAGCTGCCTCATTCCGGGCGTGATAGTGCTTCTCTGGATGTCTTCAAGAGAAGATGACAATATGTACGTGTATATGTACAAGTTATTATGTGTTAAGTTTTTCAAGTGTACAATAAAGAATAAATATTTTTAAGTACAGTACTTACGTACATTAATAAAATACCTACTTTTTACTTGTATCTATTGTTATCAAAATTAAATTATAAGTTCTTGACTTGACCATGACTATGTGACCCCCTCCTGGCACTAAAGCTGGATCCGCCCTTGTCTGGGCGGTGCCACACGAAAGCCCGCTAATTCATAATCAGTGTGGGTCGTGAACCACGTTACCACATTACCTGTTTGTAGTTTTTTGTAATGACAACATCGATTTTTTATAGGCCTATTCGCCTGCCCTCAAACCGACATTAAGGTATTGCGAAAATTTTATGGGCAATAGATTTTTTTTATTGCTTAGATGGGTGGACGAGCTCACACCCCACCTGGTGTTAAGTGGTTACTGGAGCCCATGGACATCTACAACGTAAATGCGCCACCCACCTTGAAATATAAGTTCTAAATCTAAGGTCTCAGTATAGTTATAACGGCTGCCCCACCCTTCAAACCGAAACGCATCACTGCTTCACGACAGAAATAGGCATTATAGTGGTACCTACCCGTGCGGACTCACAAGAGATCCTACCACCAGTAATAAAATGTGGTTATAATAATAAAAGGTGGTGGTTGAAATATAAATTATTGGCGGTAGTTCTTTTGACGTTCAATAAGTATGTACATTTCATTTATGTTGAATAATTTTTTTTTGATTTGATTTGATAAACACTAAATGGACATATGGACACAAACTAATATATTTCATATTTTTTTCGGCATATTAACCGATAAAATAATAATTTATGTAGGTCTAGGTACTCTCTTTTTTCTTCCAATCAGATTTCTTTTACTACAATAATAGGTATGAAATATATGGACGATTGTAGTAAGTAGTTCTCCTCAAATGTAAATTATTTAATCAATCGTCACTACCTTTTTTCACTTGCGTATTGTCTTAAGCTTTCGCGGTTCTATATATTGTAATTGTAGTCTAGTCGACAAGTTAAAAATGGTGTTAATTCGACATACTACTGCTCAAATTATGTGGTTTAGCTCATTCGATTCGGAATAATGTCTAGACCATTGTGCTAAAAAATTGAATTAGCACATAAAAAATTCCAAAAGTTATTAACAATTAAACACCTCCAAAAAATAGCGTTTCGTTTATTGCTTATTGTCCGTAAACTATAAATATTTTCGAAATTTGAAAAAAAGGTCCTTAAAGAGGAGGAAATTTAGTAAAAAAAAGTTCCAACTCCCGGAACTGTAGCTCCATTATTTATAATTTTAATTTAACGCTGAAAATAGCCCGCCGCGCGCCATTGTTAGGTTGCGCGCACGGCCTCGAAAGCGAGTACGTCACTTAAAAAATTTTTTTTCAAGTACTTAAAGTTAATTGAAAAATCTAAAAAAATTATTGNCTGTTCGGCAACAGAGAAATCTATCAATTGCTGCAATCGTGAAATGGCAAGAGCAAATATACAGCAGTATATCAAATAGCTACCCAGTTTCTTCAATTCAAGATGCATTATTATACTATCATGAAGTAACAGGTCTTCCTTGGTGGGCGGCTATTGTTACATCAACTATTTTAGTGCGTACTCTGATGACATTTCCATTCAGTATTTATCAGAATTACATTTTAGCTAAAGTAGAGAATATCAGCTTAGAATTAAAAGATTTGGTAAACGATTTAAAAAAAGAAACTGCAATAGCTAAAAAATCTTTGAATTTAACTGACAAACAATGTGCAATTTTGTACAAAAGATCTTTGAAGAAACAATGGGTGAATTTAATAGAAAGGGATAATTGTCATCCCTTCAAAGCAAGCTTAGTAATATTGATCCAAATCCCTATATGGGTCTGCATGTCTTTTGCATTGAGAAACTTGGTGTACCTGCAAAGTGGAGATCCATCTCTGTTGATCACATTTATGGAGTTGTCAGCTGGTGGAATTGGTTGGATACCAAACTTAACAGAACCAGATCATTCTCTAATATTACCAGTAGCTTTTGGGTTTATTAACTTAACTATAATTGAAATACAAAGGTTATCTAAGCTTAGGCAACCTTCTAAAATGCACAATGTATTCACAAATGTTTTCCGAGTGTTTTCTATAATAATGATACCTGTAGCAGCCAGTGTTCCATCTTGTATGTGTTTATATTGGACTACATCAAGTAGTATAGGATTGATGCATAATTTAATACTTCTTTCACCAACACTGAGGAGAAAATTAAAAATACCAGAAGCACCAAGTGAAATCGACAGACCTTATCAACATATAAAAGAAGAACTTCAACAAACAATAAAAAAAATATTGCCGAAAAGTTTAAAATAAATTATTATGTAGTATATACATATGTATTTTGATTTTATTCTTTTTAAAATATAAATAAAATATTTCTCACACCATAAAATATTTTCCATTAATATGGATTGGATACATACTTTCACACAATCCAATAATAAAGATCTTGACAGAATATTATAAATGGTCAGTGAAAAAATCCAGCCTATCTCATAGGAACTTCTGACATCATCAGGAAATAGTTTAATCTGATGATTTTAGAACCAGTTCAAGAAGGAGAACTGGCATATATATTGGAAACTTCTACAATTAAAATAGTACCCTACAAAAAAAAAATATAGCATACTTATTGTTCTACAAGTATTTTGTAAGTCCATATGAGTACATACTTTGCTTATTGTTACCATTAAGTAGCAATGCATTCCAGTTTGAGAGATAGGACAATCCTTGTACTATACAACAATATAGTTTAAGGTGGGTGATGATATTCCTTAAGTGATATCTGTAGGCTCTGGTAACCATTTCAAACCGGGTACGCCGTGCGCTCGTTCTTATTTCTATGCAATAAAATAAAACTGATATTATGAATCTCCCATAAGCATACCGATAGCTTTTCCAAGTAACCTATTAATGCTTCACAGTTGAGTTAGTAAGGAAATTTAAAAGCAATCTACGTTCTCGGCCTATAGCAAGTCTATCCGCAAGCACCTGGTAACCTGCAAGAACTTCCAGACTGAAACAGAACTGCTTATGGACCCTTAATGAAATGGGTTGGCATAACACTGTATCTAGTCTGGATGGTTGGACAATCTGATATTAACCGAAACTAGAACGCTGATAAGTCCGCGAAGATAGATTAGAATAAGACAATAGAATTTCAACTAACAATTCTAATGAAGATAGTATATAATTATTACAGTGACTATTATACAGGGACTATTACAAAATCAAATTCACCATGGAATGATGTAATTTCCCAGGGTTGCACAAAGAAATGACTCTCGAAGTGAAACTAATACAGACGAAGCCAAGGCTTTATAGAAGTCAGTAAAGTCAGTCGTTTGGGCTCTCAGGAAAGTCGGCATTGGCGAGCACATACCAAAAAAAAATTTAGCTGACGATGCAACTTGCTGAACCTGCCAATTCTGCATGAAGGTGGAAACTATAAATACAAATAGGTAGTTTGTGTGTACGATAGCATAGTAAGAACAAGAATCAATGGTTATGCATTTTCCAAGGGTTCAAGCGTAGGGCCGTTGTTTGCCCAGCACTAAGTATTAAGGATAAGATACATAATTACAAGTTGACGCTAGGGATTTGGTGCACCAGTGTTGAAATTTTTTGATGAAAAAATGTATGTCAGTATTATTCGATAGGTGGCAGCAATAACGAGTTTTTCACTCGCAGCCGTATTTGGTAATTTTTTTCATTCCCTTAAGTCACTGGACAACTGGCAACAGTTAGTTGGAAAATATGTGAAATATAAGACCGTAACATCCTCTAGCTACAGATACTACTTTTTTTATGATTGAATCATTACTGGTGGCCCTTAGGCCTATGCAGTTTTACCAGGACAGATGGGCGAGTAAAGGCTCAGCCAGGCGGGGAAGGATTTGCTAACAGATGCCCGAGCGCCTCTGAAGGAACCCTAACAACTAAAGAGCAGTGAGATACTACTTTCTCATCACCCGTTCTTACTAAATTTTTCTTACCTAACTTAATCATTAACTTGAGTACTGGATGTGACATGTTGTAAGCCCGCACGTATATCCCCCTTTTTTTTTCTGCCCAAGCTGATGGTCATATGAGACTATTTCAGCGTAGCCTCAACTAGTAGGTGAGTTCACGAGGTTCAAATCTGAACCCTAGCAAGAGCAGTGCTTCGCGGCATCTACCATCCACTGAGAAGGTCCAGCGAGAAACTCAGTGGGCTGTGTCTGTGGGTATCACCATTATGCTATATTTTCGTCGCGAAGCATTCGTCCATGCGGCACAAATTTTTTGTTACCTACTGTAGTGTACTCCACTAACGGCTTAACTGTGGATTGTGAGCTCGTTTGTCCTATGGGTAGCATGTTTTGGTTTTCTTTTTTAGAACATTATTAATTAATTCCGCTACCACTCTACATTCGATCTAAGTCTCTTAACGTAACGTGTGTAAGTTGAATTCGACAATGTCGACCATTCGACAGGTTCACAATTCCGTCCACCGGAGAATGGTTCTTTTATTTTATTTTGAAAAAAAGTTTGAGTTTTTCTGATATAATAAGACGTGTATAGGATGTCCGACGTGCTCGCTAATAAAATGTAAATAATTTGTTAGTACATTTCCAGACTCCAGTAATAGCTTCAATCTATACATCGGGTCGAGACGAACAAAATTTTAGCAAAGCAGACCAATTTTTGCCTTATCGATGGGACAGGAACGATCAACGAAAGAAGGATTTAGTAAATCATGTACCATCTGCCACACTGCCATTTGCCTTCGGCGCCAGATCATGTATCGGTAAAAAGATGGCTATGCTACAAATGACAGAATTAATCAGTCAGGTAACAATAAAATATTTAACTTCTTGAAATATTCAATCATTTGTAGTCAACGTGGCCTAACGGATAAGACGTCCGGTGCATTCGTGTTGAAGCGATGCACCGGTGTTCCAATCCCGCAGGCGGGTACCAATTTTTCTAATGAAATACGTACTCAACAAATGTTCACGATTGACTTCCACGGTGAAGGAATAACATCGTGTAATAAAAATGAAACCCGCAAAATTATAATTTGCGTAATTACTGGTGGTAGGACCTCTTGTGAGTCCGCGCGGGTGGGTACCACCACCCCGCCTATTTCTGCCGTGAAGCAGTAATGTGTTTCGGTTTGAAGGGTGGGGCAGCCGTCGTAACTATACTTGAGACCTTAGAACTTGTATCTCAAGGTGGGTGGCTATTTACGTTGTGGATGTCTATGGGCTCCAGTAACCACTTAACACCAGGTGGGCTGTGAGCTCGTCCACCCACCTAAGCAATAAAAAAAAAAAAAAAAATCAGTAATAATCGCTCGTACCTACTACTTAATGAATAGGTACGTAATATTGTAGATGCGTTTCAGGACGTCGGTTGTGGGATTTACAATAATTGAAATTGTATAATTTTTTTAGATAAAAGTTATTCCTTTATAAAAAACTTTAAATTTTTGCAGATTGTGAAAAATTTTGACCTGAAATCTATGAACAATTCTGATGTGGATGCTGTAACTTCACAGGTGTTAGTGCCGAACAAAGACATCAAAGTTTTAATACTACCGCGTTCAATTTCTAAGTAATATATTAGTGCGTAAAGGGTGTCATATTTTCACCTATTTTATCTATTTGATTAGAAATAATGAATCTAATAATTTTAATAAATTTGGACATGCTAGGATAATATTTAATGTTGAAATTAAATTTATATAATGAATAATTCATTGGATTTGAATACGACATAAATTTATTTCTAATTGTATTATTTTATTTTATTTTATGGACCGACATTTAGTGAAATTGTTATCAGACAACTTTCAAATTTAAAGGTTTAGCAAATAAATAAATATTTTGTATTAATAATAATTATTATTATATTTGTTTTATTTACTAACACTAATCTTAATGGCAGTATAAATCACAGGCATATTACAATATACATACAAAAACCCTAACATAATAAAATAGCGTGACAGATATACACAGACAAAAGGTCGAGATAAGTACTGGGTTTGAGTGACACAATCAAGCCTTTAAATAACTACTTTTTTCTTTCTATATACAATCATATACAATGCCGTCCAAAAGATTGGAAATACAGCTGTTTTTATACAAAAAAGAACGTTGCGATACTATGACGTAAAATGTTTTTTTAGATTGTTTATACAAATAGTATTATTACATGTTCAACAAAAAGATTTCCTTGATTTTGACGAAACACCTATTTTATCCTCACCTCTGCCGGGCCCTGCCTCGTTAGGCACGGAGCCTATACCCGGGGGCTCGATCCGCGACCCCGTAAGAAGACGCGTGGACCCGAGAGCAACTTAATTTATGACTTTCGTGACTGTTTTTTTATAAAAAATATAATATAATTTTATAATTATTGTTGCTAGTTCTAACTTTATTAATTTGGTCGCACTTGCGAAGGTTGTGATATTAATATTGTCTCTATTCAGAAGATTTTAACTAGGTACTGCTTTTACCGTACTTTTTTTTCTAAAAATCGCAAAACATAAGCTATTTACACTAGAACAGCGAAGGACTATTTGTTCACGAAAGTCAAATTGCACATTCGGCATTTCTTGTAAAGGTACAAAGGTCTATTAGAAACTACGCTTGCTAAAAAACAAGAAAGAAACTGGGAAAATAAAGATAATTTTATTCGATTTCTCTAAACGGAATTATCACTTAATTGCGTCTCTATTAACCGCAGCTGTGAATTATCGCGAACAACAGACATTTCAATAACAACAGTTAAAATACATTTACTATTTGCGGGATTAAGAGGATTTGTTGCTGCTAAAAAAAAGTTTACTATTAGAAAGCCAAAAATAGACCAGAATTCGCAAAGGCACATACAAGCTGAAAAGTAAAACAATGGGAAAATATATTTAAGCGACAAATAAAAATTTCAAATTATCAGGTGCACAGTTACTGTTGTGTATCTTCGTTTACACTACACACCTGTGTGCTTAGTGCGAGTTTTTTAACGCTTTCGATAGCGTAAAAGTTAACTCAACTTTTTATGCAGTTGGAACAGTGGGGCACTGTAGCGGCAAACGTAGGCAAACGTTCCAACTCAATACAAATTTGATATGGTGGCTTACGGGCTTACCCTGACAGAATTTCTTAGTACTGGCCCTAGTAAGTGTAGTGGTTCACTGAATCGAAGTCTCGACCCACAGGAAATCCGGCGAAAAACTTAGTGGGTTGTGTTTATGGGTACATTGTCTTTATACAATCACCTTGCAAAAGGTGCATCTGAGCATCTCATAGATTCTCTTATATCTCTCGTTATTTTTATATTTTTCTCTCCCCCTCATATTTTAAGACAAATACAAGGTTTAACATAATATTTATACCTTTCCCTGATTACTCATTTCTTTTTATTTATGTATTTTTTTGTTTAAGGTGGACAGATGAACCCGCGGTCAACGTGTTACGTGATTACCGGAAACCATTGACATCATAACGCAGATGGCGCCCTTTAGCTTAAGACATGAGGGCAAACTCTTCATTCGACAGTACAATGATTGTATCTTTGTTTTTTTTTTGTTATTGCTTAGATGACAGGTCCACCTGGTTCTAAAGTGGTTTAGGGGTGACGTTTAATACTTATGGGTTACCGGAACCCGCTTATCGGAAGGTAAGTAGCGCCGCACCCTTGGGGACATGAGACACACATAATGGCTGCCCCACCCTTCAAACTAGAAAACGCAAGTTTTTTTGAAGCGGTTGCTAAACGGACATACACAATAGCATTACACCAGCCCATATATTAGATGGCTACAATTTTTATTAGATTGTTCATATACCAAAATTGTGAAAATATAATATCATTTGAGTAGCTGCCTTTGAATCATTGACTTGATGTCCTCCAACCACGGTTCTCTATATTTTAGACCTAAAATAGTTTCAAATGAACGAGCTCGATCTATTTCGTCCATTTTCCCTGTTAATATGTAAGCAACAGATTCCACACACAAGAAACCCATTCCTTCGCTGAGAGACCACACATAAATCTTATCGGCAGTTTCAGGAGTCATTTGAAACTGAAGAATAGCACTGCTCAGTGAAACCTTTAAATTTTCAAACAAAAATCTGTCGGCGAGTAACAAAACTTCTAAATTTGTTGCCAATTCATCTGCCAAAGGAAAAATTTGAACATCACTTTTGGGATTATTCAATCCGCATTGTAACAAAGTAAAAAGATATTTAAGAGCTGGTTTCGTTACGTTTTTAAGTTTGACACATTTTTCAAACGATTCCCTGAAACACCCCATTAGCATGGCACTGAACACTTCCGAGTTTTGACACAAAAACACTTTGTTGGCTTGAACTGTCGACAAATCGTCCAACTCAAAGGTTACTATATCGTCATTGGACAAATTATCGAGTATAGGATCGTAGCTAACGCAAACTTGATCTTTAAATTTGTTCTCGAGTATTTTAGGGTCCTTGATATGTAGATTCGTGGCTAATTTAGATAATGCTGTCACGCACGATTGTAGGTCTTCTTTGGATTCGGAAATTATTGAAAATAGCATATTAAGAGCGCTACAGTCGATGAAATATTTTTTCAGCGGTTTTTCAGTCCTGCAAAAAATGAAGTGGTACAGGTTAATGGTGATAGGTGATTTCGACCTACGTAATTGAAAGTAGTTAAATAAACGAAACGTCAAACAAAACTTGCAATACGAATTGAATTCGTGAATTAGAAACACGGCATACAGTTCACTGAAAATCAAACGACAGAGTTGCAAACGTGATGATGCAAACAAAATGCAAAATGTGTCTCATGCAAACACAAACAATAATATTAATGAGCTTTAAATAGTCTCAAACCATATTTGAAGAGACTCATACGGGGAACGTTAAAGAAGTAAATTCAACGGACAGACGGCAACAGACGACCACATAAACTAGTAGAATTAAGCGTGTCGCCCATATTTTAACCGTTTAGTACTACACAGGTCTTGACCATTCAAACGGGCATGCATGACTACTTTATAGCAGAAGTTGGCAGTGTTACCAACCCGTCTGTGCTTCTTCCCTATTTTCCTTATCAGTCCCTTAAAAGTTTAGAAAGTATTCTTTTAGCACATGAATCTATACTTAGTCCAGAATGGAATGCGTTACTCACCTTACGATGTACGGTAATGTCAAAGACAGTGTTTGTTTCATAGCACAACTACCTTTTAATAGCTGGTAACTGATTTCACCAATACCATAACTTGATTCAGCTAAAATTGTTAACTGTTTCAATAATTTAGTACTGAGCCGTATAATCTGAAAAAAATATATGAGAGAAATTATAATACAAACATTAAAAATATGCAAATTCAAATTTGGATTCACAATAAATGTTATAACCTACTTGTTTACATTGTTGGCATTTGGCAGACGGATGTTTAGAGCTAACCGACATACTGTGCAGTCTTAGCGCTAATCTATGCCTTAATATACTTTTCAAACACAGGGCGTTGCTGTAAAATATTTTATTATTATAAATTATTTTGAACCATTGTAAATCGACATCATCATCTTGAACTTATTTTTTTAAATTTACAGAGATATCTTGTTTAATTTAAATTGCATAATATTTTTTTTATCTGGAAACCCATCTCGTGACAGTGTATAACTGTTATGTGCTTATCAAACAAATTTGGTTGTAGTGACTCTAGTAATACTGGTATTGTACCAGTAATATAGAACTATCGAATACAGTTATTTATAACTAGCGGCCGGCTCCGGCTCCGCTCGGGTCTTTAACAAAAAATTCAACGATATTTGACGTTGTTTTATTTTTTTAAATAAAAGAACACTTATTGCGGCATAACTATAATAGTTAGACATATGCTTTCACGACACTTTTTGTAAATAATAATGTGTTCTACAAAGTCGTAGTTCATTATTTTATTCTATCATTAATAATTTTCGCAGCGCACGCGATGTAAATAATATTTTAGGTAATTTTTTTTTACACCTTCGGTTACATATTGGAGTTTTAGTAAGGATCCCTATTTTTTTCCAAAATGATTACAACCTAAGCCGACTTAATCTAATAGGGGTATGGCTTTAATAAAGAATAAAAAAAAAATTTACAGCCTATGTCACTCGGGAATAGTGTAGCTTTCAAACAGTGAAAGAATTTTTCAAATGGGTTCAGTAGTTTCGGAGCCTATTCAATACAAACAAACAAACAAATCTTTCCTCTTTATAATATTAAGTATAGATAAGTATAGATAATAATTCACCAACCTCAACACTCGAGCTAGAATACGAGCGGCGCGACCCAAAGGCCTCTTACATCTTTCCACATAATCTAATAACGCGTTAAGGCAACCCTGTCCGGTAACCAGTTCTAATGTATGACTAGAAGTAGGTTCGTCTCGCAGTGTTCCAATTGAACTGCACTCTCCATGGGACACTCGAAATAATAAGACTAGTACACAGGCTATGCGCGAGGAAGTTGTGTTTGTCTCTTCTGAAAACAAATAAGTGTATGGATTTAGAAGCGTCTGTAGTCTAATGGGTGAAGGGAATGGTGTAATTATGTGGGGTTCAAATCTTGGGACATGGTGTCAAATGGTTACTGGGGCCCATAGACAAAACCTCGAGAAATGAGGTTGAAGTCTACAGGTACTTACAGGTAACTTAAACATTGATCTCACACTAAATGCTAACACAATTACAGGTACCGACTGCATGTATTGGTAAAAAAAGCGGTTCATACTACAGAAAAAAAAAACTATATATAACATTACATGTATCATTTTATTATAATATTTGAACCCTCCTGGCTGAGCCTTTGCTCGCCCACCTGTCCTGGTGAAACTGGAAAGGCCTCCGGGCCACCAGTAATCCTTCAATCATAAAAAAAAAAAAAAAAAATATTTGAAGTACCAACCTTCATTCGCAGCTACTTCTTCTACGCTATCGTCGTCATCCATGATAAGCTCGTCTAAGTCCTGAGCAACTTGCGCTGCGTTTAGTTCTGACACCGAGTTATGTGTAGTCGCCAAGTCGATAGCCTCACCATCTGGTTCACTGCAGACCGGCGAATAACGACCGGATACCTCTGAGTCCGAACTGTCTGTAAAAATTCATCAGTCCTTGATCAGATTAAGACGACTTTGGGATCCAGCATCAATGTCGCTATCCACTGCGCGGAGGACAGGAGTGAATGGAGGAACATAGTCCTAACAAAAGTGCTCCGTAAAGGTCACGACCCTCAGCACTGAGAAATACGACGCACGGAGAAGGAGAATGTCCTTGATAAGGTGATAGGGTATGCCGATGTCCTTGCTCTAGGAGAAAGAAACCGTCACGTAATAGACGCGTTCAACTGCCTCCAACAAGAAGAGTTTGGGATTGGCCTTCGTGTGAGCCACGAGAAGATAGAGTATCTTCACATGGGTCGATACAAAAACATAAGACGGAAGCGAGAAGACCTAGTTGAATACGAGGAAAGAAATGAGGTACAAAAGAGTGGCCAAATTCCGGTACATTGGCTGCAGTGTAACAGACACCAATGACAGGGAAAACGAGATTGAAATACGTGTACGAAATAGACTACGATGCAATGTAGCCCTACATTCGGTTCTCTCTTCGAGGTTACTAAGCAGTCGCACCAAGATTTGGATATACAAGACTATAGTCAGACTCATCTTATTGTATGGATACAAAGTATGGACGCTTGCACAGTAAGAAGAGACGAAACTTCTCGTGACTTAGCGAAACGTACTGAGAAATATACTAGGACTAGTTCAGAGAGATGACGGTTCTTGGCGGGTCCATAAAACAAAGAGGTTGAGCCAATATTCTGGTGGAGTTGAAGGTGCGGAGGCTCGGATGGCTCGGGCATGTAGTGCGGATGGAGCATGATCGGGCAGTGAAACGGGGGTTATCAGAGGGACACCGCCCCGTAGAGAGGCCCAAGTACCACTCACTGGTCGGACGCTGTGGAAAAAATATACGTGAGCTCCAAGTGCCGGACTGGCAAGGTGTTACGCAGTACCGCGATGAATGGCGGTGTTTATTGTCGGAGGCCAAAACCCACTTTTGGGTCATAACAGTAGTAGTATTATGCCCTTGCTCACAATATGAAACTAAATATTACATGATGGACTTTAGCTTGTCCATTCATGTATATACATCAAGATTGTTAGGTAAACGCTTTTTTTTATAATGACCTAGTATTTTCAGTAATATTGGTTTACCTTCTTGCAAACTGAGTGGTGAGACAGGACTTCCAACACTACTTGGACTCCACTGATAATCCGTCCAATATGATGGTGACATAGAACTTCCTTCCCCTGTGCTAATTCCAGATTCAGGGCTCCAGTCCCATCGAGCCCTCTTACTAGAATAGCTTTTATTTTCTGGACTAAATCCAGATTGATTCCCATCTGAATATGGAGAAAGTGGACCATAATCTGATCGATCTGGACTTCTTGTAGAATGGGAACTATAGTTTTGAGAAATAGATGGCCATTCAGGACTTTTTGGCTCCCAATAAACACCAGCTGACCAATCTTTACTTGCCATTCTTATTAATTGAGTTTTCTGCAAAAAAAAAAACGTCATATTTTGCATTTTAATACATAAACAGATTTTTGACAAATACTCACATTTTTTATTTTGGGACTACTGGACTTAGCCCTTTTAAGGCATTTGCGGCGTGGTGCAGATGATTCATCTTCACTTTGACTGTCTGTAGCATCACTTTCAACAGCATCAACAAATCCTACTATCATATTATCTCTTTCGATGACTACTTTTAATTCATCTTCACTTTTATCTGATATTGCTTTTCGTCGAGTAAATAAGGTACTTTTTCCTTCAGTAGAATTGAACGTTTCAGCACTAGTATCTTCAACTCTTTTAGTTTTGTTTGGATTTTTTTTTTCACTTGTTTCATTTAAGACTTCACTGTGCTGTTCATAAGTATGTTCATATTTCATTGTACTTAAATAATTAGTTAGTTCATCAGTTAAAACGTTAATAAGGCCTTCATTTAATAATATTTGGAATGCTAGAAAATGATAATTCATGAGATTACTTAATTTAAAAAGATTAAATAAAATTTACTTCACACTTACACATATCATCAAAAACGTATTGGACCAGTGCATGCATGCAACTGGGATCAACTCTAGCAGCTGTCAACAGCAGTGGAAGTCCACCACAACGCCTCAAACGAGATCGATTCACTGACTCTCCACTTAAATGAGCAAGAGCACGTGACGCACCTTTAGGCCACTGTGACACATCTAAAATAGGGTTGAAAAATGTACATGTAATTAATTAAATATGGAAAAAGCAGTGAGTCATTCAGTAACAGTTATTTGCAGAACAATTAAATGAAATTTAATTGAAAGTTAGAATAGTTCCATGTTATTGTAAATTTATATTTACCAGAGCTCTTCTGCAAAATTCCCACAAGGCATTCTACTAATCCTGCCGTGCCCAGCAAAGGCCTGCATGAGGACAAGTAACACAAGTTTATGAGGCTTTTTAAAGCTAGCGACTCATATGAGTTTGTTAAAGCAGTAAGGCATTGATACCCTCTTCCGTCCCCTTGTATCTGTAAGTAATAAATAGGTCATGAGTAAACAAAGAAAATAATTTAGAATATTTTTAACATGATCTACCTTGTTGATATTATAACCACAATTCATAAAGATCACACAACAAATGTCTAGATAATGAATGTAGTATTTTTTTTCTTTTTACCTGTTCTGCACATTGCACTGTAGGATGAGTTGTGAAAAAGCCAATACACTTTAAAATTCCAATCACTAATTCTTCTTGGCTCTTTCTCAATCCATCTGTTTCCTTAGAAGAACTAGATGATTTGATAATACCAGCTGATTCACATTCCACTGTCAATAATATGGCTATACAGCGCACAGCATTCAAACTAAGCATTTCATCTCTCTTATCAGTTACCATCCACAAATGTCTGAAATAATTTGTTTTTAATAATAATAATGACTTAAGGAAGAGTTTTGCTTTTATTTCATATTGCTATTTTGCCTTTTCACATTAAAAGTGTACAATTTCCAAAAATATTCAAAATTGAGTTAATATGCGTAAACATTTGGTATCACCAGTATTTGTCTCATAAATACTGTCAAAAGAGCATAAGTTTAGTTTTTTTTTGTTTACCTATGTTTTGTCTACTATTAACAAAATTAATACATAATTTTATCTTACTTTACAAGACAGATAAATTAATTGATAAAAAATAAATGTTGCAAATATGATTAATATTAAAAATATTACATGTTGAACCTTTAAAATACTCTCCTGTAAATTTAGTAAGTTTTGAGATTATAAAGTTTTAATGCGAGAAGATGATTTGTAATTAAGAGAAATTCTCTGGTATGGTTAAAATAGTCTACTCTCAAACATATTCTGTACTAAATATTCATAGACGATAACTGAATTAAATGAAGAGAGATAATTTTGTACCTCATTGCACGAACAGCCATCGTTTTAGTAGCACAAGATGTACTTTTATCTCCATTTTCAATTAACGTGACCAATGCCGAGACAACACCATGGTTATGGAAGCCTTCAGCATTACTACTTCTCTGTGCTAAGTTACCTATTGTACGACAGGCTCTACCTACAATACTGTCCTTACATACAGTTTTTAAAATTAATGTTAACGGTCCAAAGATGTTGAGTTTCCCAACCTGTAAAAATTTAAGAAAATAACTTAAAAATTGATCATGAAATATATTAATAATTAATGAAATATATCAATAATTTTCATACTAATATTATAACTTACGGCCAAGCTACTTTCTTCTTCTAGACAACAATTACCAAGTATGCTGAGCGTTATGTCAAGAAACCTTTCATTGGGTTTCCGTAAATAGGGCAATATTAATTCTAAGCCTCGACACTCCCTAAAAAGCTTCACTCCAGCCTCAGTTACGATTATTTTGCTTCTAATTTTTAAAAGTGACTCCTGAACACGCTTAGATGTTGAGGATTTTAATCCTTCCAAGACAGTTTTAACATATTTTTTATCCATTCTTGAGGCGTTACCAAGTAGTCACCTGTAAACCTACTTGGGTAAACTGATTTAGATAAATGTGAGATTTAAATTAATTTAGATTTCATTATTAAATTGCTTTTTTGTAAATACGCTTATACACATTATTTACAATTTTGAAAAATAAAAATAATTTATTTTAATAAAGTACTTTTTTCTCTTTAGCAGCCATGAGACAGGCAAAGGGAATATACTTTTTTTAGATATCACATTAAATGTTTAATGATACGTGAAATGAAAGCGTTGTTGTATTTAAAGAATGAAATTAAATTTTAAAAAAATTGAATCAGAACAACTGTTAACTTAAGTTAACCTCCCAAATTAAGTGTATGACGAAATGAGTAAACTTATCAGTCTAAAACGGGTGGGTCACAACATTTCTCTTGTTTCTGCCTAAAAACGTAACGGCTTAGACAGTACCCAATTCTCTTAACATTGTATTTTTTTGTAAACTGCCATTAATGAACATCTAATAAATAAATTAAGGCTTAGTTAAGGCCAATGGTCTTCGAAGAAAATCTAACAGATAAGGGGAAGCTGCTCGTTAGCACACTCGCGAATGCTCTTGAGACTAGATCAAAATATCTATAAGATTGATTAATTAATCAGTTAAATGTATTTATCTGATCTCCATTAATTAAAAACAGTTTACGGTGTCAATGTCTCTGTCACCTATTATGTTTATTGTGTTTAATCTATAGTGTCTGAAAATGTATAGTACTCTGTGGTGATTTGTGGATTTAGTGTTGCGATTACGAAGTTTTGTAGATATTTTTATACTGAAAATAAGATTGTTAATGTTATATTTTTTTCATAATGCTATGTTGTCATGAAAACGTTTTGTGAGAGATGAGTGTATACGGGGATTTTCAACGTGTTTGGGTCCAACGTTTTCCAGAAAGCGCTTTGCCAGCGGCCTGGGAGGAAGATGTCAGGGCTAATCTAGCTAAACACAAACAGAAAGTTGCTATTTTAAGGGAGGAATTAGAAAAAGAAGAATTTTACGTTGAATACTTAGAGACACTTTTATCAGATGTCGAGAAACATAAGGCTGCATCACAGGATAACAAAACGACTCCGCCCTCGGGGTCTGACGTGAACGAACTCGATGATAAGGTTTCCGAAATAAAGCAGGTAATTATTAGGTGATATTTTAAGGATCATCAAAGCAGACTTTTTAAAAAAAATGTTTTTGTTTAGTAATTCGTAATGCTTTCTTTATTGCATTGAATTAAGTACTCAATTAATCACTATTGTATCAACACCACAAAATTTTCCTAAATTATTTACCAAAATTTATACAATAACATGAAATAAATAGTGAATCGTTAAATCATAAATGTAAGATGCCTTCTTATGTAATAATAAAATAGAGAATTGCTTGGGTCAAGCTCAGTAAATAACACTGCTTGTTTTATTCAAATTTTGACCTCAATTATCACAGCTAGCATGACTACTCTGATTTTTATTTTCATTTTAATATATTGCATAAGATTTATTATAAATTAAACAATAAAAGATTTTTGAATTTTTTTGAAAAAGTGGTCAAATATTCAATTTAAAGAACAAACACTACCAATAGTTACTTTTTTGAAGTATAATTAAGGATTTAATGTACGGGATTTTATTGACCAAGTCAAAATATGTACAAAAGAACTAAAATATACAGAATAATTGAAAATACTTGACAACTTAACTATGTCATACTTAAAGTATAACAACACACATGAATCATTTCAATTAATACTAATTTCACATAATAATTATAGTTTTGTTTACTCCCAAATAGTCAATAATAATTAGGAAGTGTTGATTAACCCACTTTTGTCATAGGTAGGTATAATATTTTTAATGAAACTCACCACTTTGAATGTTCAAGAGGTTGTTTTTACCTGATTAGTAATGATTTTTAGAATATTTATGTACACAGAGTCCTAGTTTGGGGGCAGATCACTGCAGTTAATTTGTTTGTGATTATTTATTATTTATATTCATGTCTTTATGTGGTATCTCTTACTCTTTGGCATTGTGAAGCCTTCTAATGGATTTCAATACATGTTAGTATCTTCAGGTTTATCTCTGTTGTGGTACATTGAGTATATTATTTTATCCTAATATCTTAAAAAAATTAAAAAAGTCACAATACTATAATGTAGAAAATTCTATTATGTAATTCTATATAGTATGTATAATACTATTGGTTCTATTAATATATAGTATTTAAAATCAAATAAATTATGAAATTGAACAAAAAATCAGACTGCGTTAAAATTGCATACTACTAAACAAAAACAATGTGTCTTTGCAAAGGTTCAGCAAAGAAATAAACCATATTTGTGTAAAGGCAGTTGTTTTTTGTTACATAAAATAAATCATTCTTAATATTAACATTCATTGAAAATTTGCAATATCATACAGTATAGTTTTGCCTTTCTCATTGGAGATTTTCATGAGGGATGACGAACACATATAAAGTGGGCCACTGTCTACAATGTCAATAAAAAATAACATTTTGAAACCCAATACTAAAGTATAATATATTTAAAAAAAAATCTATTCCCAAATTAATAGACATGTTATAAAACCTACATTGTGTCATGCATTAATTCATGAATGATTTATCAATATTTAAATTATGATAATGTAAGCAGCACCTTACTGTTAATCAATTAATATGTATTGTTGACCAAGCTGCTTGCTTTGTGAAGCGTGTGAAAACAACTGTTGTGCTCAGCCATTCTAATTGCTTTGAGTAATTGTAGTAACTGTTATTTTATACCTAGCTCAGTGACTAACAAAGTGTAATTTTTAAAGAAGCGCATGCACTGAGACGGGCTTCTTGAGACAAAAAATTCAAATTAGAGAAATCGTTGGACAAATACAGTGGTTTAAGGTAGCAAGGATATCTGAACCTTGTGTAAAATGATTAATATAAAGTCATCGCAGCCTAAGGGATAAGATGTTCAGTGTACTCATATCACACGATGCGATTATGCTGATGTTCAAACTCCATAGACGGGTACCAACACTTCTAATGTAATATATACTTAACTCATGTTCACGAGTGACTTGAACGATAAAAAAATAATAACACCATGCAATTAAAATCAAACCCGCAGAAATGCAATAATAATTATACTACTTAATTAACTCATAGAACTCAAATCTTAGGCGGGCGACATTCACGTTTTGATGTCTGTATCTCCTGGTGGTCACCTACGACCAAGTCGTCCGTGAGCTCATTCACCTGTTTAAGCATCAAATAAAAAAGATAATATCATACAAACTTCAGAGCACTTTTCAAGAAACACATATTTATAAACACGACACTAATCATCATCATCATCATCATCATCATCATTATCCTGCCCTTCTCCCAGTCACCTGGGGTCGGCGCAACATGTTTTCTCCTTCCATACTCTTCTATCATATACCATTTCTTCGCTCACTCCCCTCTTACCCATATCGTCTTTCACACAATCTATCCATTTATTCTTAGGTCTACCTCTTCCTCTATATCCTTCCACATTCATAGTTAACACTCTCTTACCAACTTCATTTTCATTTCGTCTCATCACATGTCCATACCATCCCAAACGCGCACTCCTCAGCTTCTCTGTCACAGGTGCCACTTTCAGACTTCCTCTAACATATTCATTCCGTATTCTATCCATTCTCGTTACTCCACACATCCATCGCAACATTCGCATCTCTGCTGCATGCAATCACCTTTCATCCTAGCAACATGAGAAGGAAACACGACACTAATCAAATTTTCTATATACCCAGAGGCTCCAAATCATTATTATGCTGTAGTGTACTTAGTTTCATTTGATAGCGTGCATATTGTATGTCATGATCAAAATTAAACTCGCCTGATTTCAATAACGTTAAAAAAATCGACTGATGATATTCCAACTCCCTTCACTTATAGCTTATCTACGCAATAAGTAAAATTTCATGACACGCACACGTTATAAATCTCGTAACGAAAAAGTTTGAATCACAACTTGCGTCTGTGAAACAGAGTATGCGTGAGTAATTATTAAGTCATGGTTTCATACATCTAATCAAAGTTAAATTGATAGCGTTTTGTCTTATTAATGTTAAGTTGGCGCTATCAAGCGCAACGCTTCGAATCGTTACGGCGCAAGCGACTCATTGAAACACGTTAATTTGTCTTCAGGTTTCAAAAACTGATTCGTTATCGAAAAAAAGCGATTTGAGCTTAAATAGTAATCATGACAATTCTATTGAGGAAGTCATTTGTGAGGAGGTGCAGCTTAGAAATAAACAAATGCACATCGCTGAGAGAAGTTCAGTCAATCAGTGCATTAATGAACTATCGTCAAACCTCGTAGCAACCGAAGCGGCTCGTCGACGATGTAATAGTGAGATTGTACACAGAACTGAAAATAATCAAGACAAAGGTAAGATTTTTTAGATTAGAAATATTAATCAAAGTTTAGCAGAAAGGTATCCACGTTAAATTACATTTATATACTTTATAAGTTCAGAGTAGCGATGGGTGATTGTTACATAAAATAATTGTGTTTATTGATTAAATGATAACAGTCTATCGTTTATACTGTCTTGTTAATTGTCGATATCCAGTTGCTGTATTAGCGATTCAACCACTATAATCTATTGTTTATCGACAGTGAACAAAGAATTGATGCTCGGTCACGCAACGGTCAATATCACTGTCGATTCACGCAGTTATTTTCTGTAACAGTCACTCATTTCTCATTTCATAGGTGTTAGTGTTTTTAAGTAATTAATTATATTCAAATACGTCTCAATATCGATTTGTATATTGATCTTGTATTTGTATAAACGTTATTTTTGGTATTATTGTGGATTGAAGCCTTACTGCTAAACTACATACGTCCATTTGTTGACTGTTGGACAGTATCTATTGGTGAAATATTAACAAAGATAGTTAAACTTAAACAATTAATAGATAAATTTAAATTGCAAAGTACCGGTTAACAAACCTATTATAATACATTACAGTAGCTGTAGATCAAACAAGTCATAGTCAAAGTAAAAACCGTCCAACGTCACAAACTGGTGATTTCGTAACCGTCATCGAAGTAAATGGTCTGAAATTAGCAGAAAATGCATCTAAGAAATCGGAAGAATCGCCCCAGTCTTCAGAGAGTAGTCCCGTAGATCCTGTTTCTGTCGCCAAGAAAAAAGTACCACCTAAGTAAGTGTTTTGTCGATATAGTAAAAACAAGGAAAGCAGTATTGAAATCAGTACTACGTATATAGTTTTTTATTTATAGCTATTGTAAATAGACGTCCATACAGCCTACCTAATGGTACGCAGTCACAGTTGCTCATTTACATCAGCTATACCAGTGCCGGTTAGCCGCTGTTTACTACTAAAAGTAGTAAGTGATAACAATGACGACAATGAAATGTATACCAGTGGGATACACCCTATAGGTACGCAGAAAAACGTCTCGAATGATAAATAATAGTATGTTCAATTATCGAACGATCCGAAATGTAATATGCATATTCCAACTAGTATTGAGAGTGAGAGAGAGCGAGAGTTTGCTTTATTGTACACAAAACAAATATGCAAAACTTTAAATACAAAAAAGTACAAAGGGCGGTCTTATCGCTAAAAGCGATCTCTTCCAGGCCATCAAGTGGACAAGAATCACTTTAGGATACAAATTACAGGCGATGTACCTAAAGATTGAAATATTTATATACACAAATACATATACATACATATATATATAATCTAGTAAGTCGAATTTTAAGCTCAAATTACTGTGCCTATTTCTGCCGCGAAGCATTAACGCATTCTGGTTTAAAAAGTATACGCTGTTCCAACGTGAACTTACTGCGTGATGCGTCATACAAGTATGCGATTAACTTTTAGGTTGGGCAAACTACAAAATTGACCACATTTATTTACTTTTATGTTTTGTATGGTTCCGAATGCAGTTAATGATGAGGCAATGCCACAGACTTTTAAATTTTTTATAGTATTGTGAATTTATGTATTTTCAGTGATAAAATTATCACTTTTGTTTCCTTAAAACCTTACCAGGATTATTACAAAAATAATTAAATTTTGTAACTGATCTGAAGTACATTTATTTTCTATTAGCATTCAAATTTTATTTATATCAATAATTCATAATATGTAGTATATTTGTATTTTGGAAAATTTTCATGTATTTACGGCATCGGCGTTCATCATCGGCGTTTATTCATTAACTGATAAATATTATCTTTAGATAATAGATAGTAATCCAATTTATAGTTTTATGATTAAAAAATTGCCAATTCAATATAAACGATGTCGTGTTTTAATGTATTCTTTGTACCTGGGTACATAAGGAAACCAGGCTTGAAACATTCAAGTGTGCCTTTAGTGAGAAACGTCAATTGCGTTATCTATGAATAAAAATATATCCTGACTCACTTGCTGACTCACCACGAGAAACCCAAACCACAATGGCAGTTTTATTTTGTATTAATAAAGCATACTAATCGTGATCTTTTTACCTTATACTATTTGAACCTAATCCTCCCGCTAACTCCTTATCTTGATTTGCCCCCATTTACTATCCCATGAAGGGTTGACGTCAGGCAATCCGTGACTCGTAAAACTGTTACAAAGTTGTTTGCTGGCACGTGTGCTAGATAAAGAACAAAATGAAGAACATCAATATGAAATGGTTTAATACACATTAATCAAATTTATTTTAATTTTACTTATACTTTTATTTTTTAATTTAATCGTATTCTACATATACCAATAAGGAAACGGTAAAGGAAACTAATAAATTTTATTTAATAGACCTCCACCGAAAGTGTTCAGCAAACGCGGAGTTTCACTGCCAGAGTCTGCTGGGGTTGACGACAGTCCGCCCTCATCACTCGGCCGGAAGATACGCAACGCGGAATCCCGGGAGTCTATTGCAAGTCGAGCATCGACACCATCAATTAGCGAAAGGGTAAAATTATTTTTTCTCCTAAAACTACCTTTCAACATCCAATACGTCAATGTCGTATAACTATATATTTTTTTTGTTCCACAGAACTTTAGGTGTTTTCATTTCTCATTTCACTATGATGATAAAAGTATCCTCAATATACTAGATACTCTGTGAAAGAACTAAATGCCCGTGAATAATCGATACATTCGGCTTGTTCACGGTCGATTTATGACACTTTCGCGATATTTTAACATTTATCTACAAGCTAAAACTAGTTGAGGTGACATAATATGGAATATTATACAACTGTAACGATAATTAGTAGGGTATAATTTGGAATGAAAATTTATATCCTATATGTACTTTTAAATTTATTCCTGTTTTTTATTTATTGTCCATGTAAGCAGACCAGCATACGACCCACGTGTTGGTGGTATCCGTCACTCATGGACGTCAGCAATGTCAGGGGCACAGCAAAACTGCTGGCTAACACTAACTGCCTAAATCGTGCTCGATTATAATATGATTATATACTTAATTACATTCCGAGGCCATTTTCGAGAAGAAATAATGTATGCACATTTACTTTAAATATATAACCATGTTTTTCGATTAATGTAAATTATAAATTAATTAGTATATTGCAAAATATTCTGACTAATTTTTTTTTATTTTAAGGTAAAAAGTTATGAATCAATCAATTCATTATCATCGGAACGTAAACGTTCTGGTGGCGCCGCAACCCCGAGGTCTATCGACGAAGAGGTGACATCGACGACTCCTGATTTGCCCGAAGGAACGGATGCGGACAAATCCGCCCCGCTGTCCTTAGAAAGTATACCCGCATCTGTCCCCATTGCTGAAGATGAACCATATTACGACCAAGTGCCCACCGACGCCAACGATGGAGAATACGTGTACATACAAGCAGGTCAATTAAATTAATTTTATTCACTCTGGTAAACGAACTAAAAACATTTATCGATTGATATGATTTTTAAAACACTTCCATACACGTAATACTTTTGTATATAAAGCTGACTCCACCACCATGAGAGTGAATAGCTAGTAAATGAGAGAGAGAGAGTGAGATAATACCTGTATGTTAAATAACCTTTGCACTTCCCCAATATATTGTTATATATATTTAATTAATAGATTTTGTCTAATTTCACTTTTGAAGTAACAATTCCATGGCACGGCTCCACTCACATTAAATTTCAAAATAAAAATAAAACATAATATAAATTCACACCAAATAGGAGCTCACCATGTATTGGTTTAAATAGGGGTTTTAAGACCACAAGATTTTACCCCGAGGAAACATCCAGTAGTTTTTGGGTTAAGTTCTAGAACTAAAACAGTAATATGTTACTGCCGTACATAATTTATTGCTGCTGCAAATGCAATGTAAGTTCTTCAAATGTCAACAAGTAACAATAAATGAATACTACAACAATAAATAGTATAAATTAAATCACAAAACTACCGTTGGACCTGCATCACGCATAAACTACTGGGTCGAAGTCGATTTTTTATTTTACCTCTTAGTCTCTTGGTATATGTTAAAAAATCAATAAATGGCGGTATTACTGTTCTGAATCGCATTATGATTATCTTAGATGGTTTTATATAGAAATGCATTTTCAATCGCCTGCTTAAGGCCAACGTCCATGCCAAATTGAAAACACCGGTTCTCGTCCGATCAACAAAGTCAAGCAACGTCGGGCGTAGTCAGTACTTCCGGTCATCGTTCTCGTCGAACCCGTCGCTTGCGACGAAGGGCTCGGCGAGTAAATTAACCCACAGACACAGCCCACTGAGTTTCTCGCCGGATCTTCTTAGTGGGTCGCGTTTCCGATCTGATGGTAAATTCTGCGAAGCACGGCCCCTGCTAGGATTCGTGTTAACAACAAAGTCAAGTTTGAGCCCAGCGAGCTCACTTACTAGTTCGGTGAATCTAGAATAAGCCCTCGAGATTACTAGAATAGGTAGGAAAAAAAAAACTACTAAGTCCCTAAGTACTACGACAGCTTTATAATAGTTATAGTAATTTTGTCGGGCAGGCGGCACCGGGTCGAGTGCGGAGGAAGGACCGAGCTCGCAGCCGACGCCGTCCGCGCCGCCCGCGCCGCGCCTCGACTCACCGACCTGCACCATCGCACCGAACTACGTTAACATACATTATTTTATACAGTAAGTGTCCTATTCTTTGAACCGACTTTTTTTTTATTGCTTACATGGGTGGACGAGCTCACAGCCCACCTGGCGTTTAAATGCGAAGTACCCAGAAGGCGACTATGAGGTAGTTATATTGGCTACATATGTTCTAGATTCTAGAACACGGGTTTCCCTGTATCCATAATGTCCGCGACCGCGACTGTTCGAGTCTAACGCTTTGGTCTGCGACGGCGGCTCGTTGCTCTAAGCTATGAATATTTAGGGCGGCCACTACAGTAAGTGGTTACTGGAGCCCATAGACATCTACAGTTGTAAGGTCTCAGTATAGTTATAACGGCTTCCCCACCCTTCAAACCGAAACGCATTACATACTGTTTCACGGCAGAAGTACGCGGTGGTGGTACTTACCCGTGCTAGCTCACAAGAGTACCACCAGTAGTTACGCAAATTATAATTTAGCGGGTTTGATTTTTATTACACGATGTTATTCCTTCACAGTGGAAGTCAATCGTGAACATTTGTTAAGTATGTATTTCATTAGAAAAATTGGTACCCGCCTGCGTGATTCGAACACCGATGCATCGCTAGATACGAACGCACCGGACGTCTTATCCTTAAGGCCACGACGACTTACTCTCTTGTGGCAAGAGTGCGACGACACTTTTACCAGAAATATACCCTAATATATTATACTGTCAAGATTAGTAGCTTTGATCGTAGTAATAAAAGTTAATGTGGTATATAATAATAAGTAACAGAAATCGACATAATTACTTCGGAGCGCCACGTAGGGCACCGGTGACCTACATGACAGTCAAAGGGATAAGGAATAGATACATACAATCGTTGTATAAAAATCCATTTATGTTGGAATTATGAGACGGCATATTTCGATTCATTTCAAATAGAAAACAGGATGAATTCGTGTTTTACTAATTTAAAATCATTTGGTCCTAAAGGCAAGCAGCTGATGCTGCAGAAATGTCTGAGGGAGTCACGGATATGGCTGATTCAAGTGATACTCCTCTTCTACTCAGAACGATATCATCTGATAATGAAACCAATGCAACACCTCCATCGTTAAGGAAATTACAAACCCAGGTAAGTTTTGTTGCGTTTGACAATATTTATTATCTATGGTTAAGCGGTGATGCCTTATTTAAATTATATTTATGCCTTATTCGTATCTCATAGACGCTAATTTGTTTTACGAAATATTCGTCTTGAAATGTGACCCTGACCACTTTAATTATAATGAACTGGATCAAAATACACATAGACGCTGATTCATTTATTTCAATATTACATTGTTTGTTTGTGACAAGGGTTTGTTTTCTTGAAATAAAGCAAAATACGCGGTGTTTCAGTTAATTCATTTATTGTTTTAGTAAGTTACATAATTATTAAATATCTGATTTTAAGCTATAAGATAAAATTAAAATTAGTTTAATTGAATGATAAACGCGAAAACTTTATATAAATCGTAAACATTCATTATTTATTCCGAATTTTATTGAAAAGTTCTATTTCATTATTTTCGTTATTTATATCATTATTAATCTGAAATATGTTATTTGTAATTAGGTCCAATTTGAAGAGGTCTGACTTATTTGAATAACATTCATGGTCGTTTGTCAGCAATTTGTACTTGCAGTACTGAATTTTGCAATCTCTTCCATCGCAGTTTCTGTAGTAACATTCTCCAGCTATACATGTTGCTTCTAATTTCAAATTGTCAATCAGTCTGTTCATAAGTTCTGTTGCGTAGTCTTCCAATAGTCCGTTGAGATAATTATAAATCATTGTATCCATTCGATTGAGAAATAAAGATCTCGATAAAGAAGTTCTGGAATCTAAAAAAATAATAATATAAGATTCAATTATTCACATCCATAGCCCCTTTTTTGTTAGCTCCGTTAGCTCGCCTACACGGTCTGTGAAGCTACCTTAACTAGGTTCCAAGCAGTAAGTAATAAAAAAAAAGCCATAAATACAATAGTTCATGTTATGATATCTTACTAATAAACAAATCAAATTTTATGAGGATAGTGTTAGTTCTTGTTAAAATTGGCCTGACATAAATAAAGCCCCAAGCAAGAAAAAATATGTGTACTTACTTGATCAGTTGCAGCGCTGTTAATCTTTACTGCCCAAATTATCGGTTCCCATAACTGTAGACGATAAAACAGCTTCCAATTCTAAGGGTCGTTCTTCGACCGTGGAATTATTTTCTTCAAGTCCGTTAGCAATTGGCACAGGCGAGGATTGTAGGGTCGATATTATTATTGTTGTTGTAGGCTTCGACGTTGACAGATCGTTTTCTGGCTTAGTGTTAAGCTCTGTAGGTCTCGACGTATCTGCGGGCGTTATTGTGTTGTATTCTCTACACTCTCCGGTAATATCGGTGTCATAAATATTACAGGTAACATTTCTGCAACTGATTCTGTCGCATTTCATAGTTGTACAAGTTTGATCATTGCACCATATTGTAACGTTATGTTTACCGATTTCTATAATGTTGTCTGGTCCTATAGCGAGTAATTGATCGCTACCCGGAGCTAATTCCGGTTCACCTGAACTCCACCATGTGAACGGGTAAGTTATCCATCCCCATATAGTCGACCCGATCCCACGACCCCGAAACGGGTCATCTGCAAGCGATGTTAGATGGATTAGTGATAAATTTTGTGCAAAATGCTATAGAAAGGTTTAAAGAATGTAACTTACGTTCAGTCGTCGGTTTGCTTAGACAATCGTGCACTAAGCACAACAAGAGAACTCCCAAGAGTTTATTACAGATCATGTTGCGGTGCAGGTATGAATGCTACGAGAACTTAACGGGAATAAATGTTTGCAGAGTTCCAACTCACCTTTTATATGAGCGTCTCCGCCTTGTGTCCTATCTGTCTGGAGATAAGCTTTTCTCGGGAATGTTTACCTAACGAGCTTTCGGTGCAAACCGCTTATGGATATTTTATATTTGTGATGTAGTTAACTTTATTAATGGGGAACTGAATGTCGAAATAATAGTAGTGAAGAAATGTGATGAGGATATTTTTTTTAAAACAATTAAGTAGTAATTATATTTAATAAAATTTATTTCGTTTAAAGTATACGAGATTCAAGCGCACCATTACTCAATGCTTCAACTTTTTGAGTTATTAGAAAACCGGTAAAATATTTTATACATACAGTAGAATTAGAGTCTGAACCGCTATTAACGTTAACTTCACACACAATACAATACTTTTTAACATTTGGACACACTAAAAATCTACACGTTTGCATTGATTCATCACAATAAGTCAAAATTTTTTGTGCAGCAGGTTTTAGTTCAGTGTATGTAGATTTCATAAAATCACGAACTTTGTGTATTATTCTGGTAGCGTTCCATTTACTTGTATCATTTTCTTTTATAACATCACGGAATGGAGTAATCACTTTATTTTTTAGATTTACAACATGGTCCTTTCTTAGGTGTCTTTCGGTCAGTTCTCCATTATTTTTGAAGTTCAAAATTTTCGTATTGTCATTGATTTTACTCCAAGGGTTGTAGAAATATTCTTGAACATTCTTGGGAAAAAAAAAATAATTATTCGAAATAATTGATCACTAGTTAGATAAAATAAAACTTACTGTATGTTTTAGTTTCGTACTTGAAATTTGAAGTAATAAATAAAGGGAAAAGAAAAAAAATTTAACAATCATCATTTTTAAAGGGAATTTGGAAAGATTCAAGTTGCGATGAAGAACATTACAAACACATTCCTTATCAGAGCTTAGTAAAGGCATTTAGAATTTTAAACAAAGCTGTTTCGAATGTTTATGCTTGTCGATTTATTTTGTAAACCCGCACCTTATCACATATCGTTCAGTTGCTTTGTTTTTTACAATGGCTCGCGGAATCAAGTTCTTTGTTTAAACATTTAAATTTTATGAATATTTTTTTAGCAGTCCAGAATGTTATGCATTTTTTCGCTATGCATAATGTTGCTTTTCCAAATAGTTTTCCTAACATTCTATCTTGCAAAATGTCCACTATTTCAAAACCAATATTTGAAGGTAAATCCATAATCGATTCCAGTGACGTAATGCTATCTGTGAAAATAAATATGCATTATCATTCGTTGCTGATCGTTTATTATATAATTGATACTTAAAAATAGCACATACTCGTACCTGTACTATTCGATCCTACACAATGACCTTTGTTATTTAATCTTTCTTCTGGTTTGCAAATCCTATGAAAACAAATTTTATTTCCACATTTCATTGAATGACATATTTTTGTAGAACAGAATGTTAATGCACCGCTTAAATATTTTCCTACGAACGATAGAAATGCTGGAGCTACAATATCGATATCGTTCCAGTCGACTTCGCCAAATATAGCTTGTTCTAATGCTTTTGTGTGATTACGTCTTATAGTGTCTTTGCTTATACTAATTCTTGTTTTATTTTTCTCCCTTTCTAAAATTATAGCCGTTAGATCTCTAGTATTATTTTCTGTCGATTTCTTTTGGTTGTCGGGCCAATGTAACAGTTCCTCATCGACAAATGCCCATTTATCGGCTTTTTTATGTTTAAAAATCTTTTTATCAAGTTTTATTGAAGTCGCGTTATTATTTTCCTTAACTACTTTCATTTCATTTATTGTTTGATTATTTGATAATATTAAATCTGCTGTTGTTGAGTTGCTTAACAGTAAACTTCGTTTTAGACGCGTGGTCGAAGGTTTTGGTGTACTGTTGTTTATGTTAGTAATCTTAACGGTATTTTCAGTCTCGATGCTGTTTGGAATTGCATGTGTCACTTCTGTTGCATTCTCATCTTCGTTGTTAGTTATATTTATCAGCAAAGAAATACTTTCATCCGTATGTATTTTTGTATTATTGGGCATTTTGTCTGCTATGAAATAATTTTTTTCAGTAATGTTTTGTGTACTTTCAATTTTCTTCTCAGTTACATTTTCATTTTCTATTTTATGATCGTCAAATAATTGATGTGGCTGTATTAAAATTTTGTGTACCGTTATCATTTTCTTCTTGTGCTTTTTATTATTATTAAATCGGGTTTTTTTCTTTTTGTGAACTGTAATTTTATGCGATGCACCGGAATCCATATTTTTCTGATTAGCAAACATATTCAAAGGCATTGGAAAATCTAAATAAGTTAATGGAATGCTTATCTTGCCGCTTTCCGAAGATTCGTCCTGTAATTGTTTAGTACTATTTCTATTATATAAAATTTGTGACAAGTTCTGCAACGACAAGGTGACTTTTATTTTGAGATTAATAGCATCTTTGAATACATTTGCAGTTTCGTCTTTATTACTCTTTCCATACAATTTACTGGAAATAACTGTATTAGTTTTTTCGTTACTAAGGCCCATTCCAGGAACATATTGTATAGGATTTAGACATTGTTTGCAATCACACTCGCATGGAACTTTATTCATTTTGCAGTAACATTGAGATTGTATCCAGTCATAAATCGGTTTGAACTCGTTTGACGGTGACTTTTTGTTTTGCATTCCGTAATCGTGGTATGCAGATACATCTGATTTTGATATGCGTTGAAGATTCGGTACGTAATTACCATTTTGGTTGGACGGCCAAAATAAACTGAAAGACCTGTGCTGTGAATAAGGGTATCTGTAGTACTTCGGGTGGTCATAATTAGAACTGTAAGCGCCAGATTTGACTGAAGCTTTTGCTTTTACTTGTTTTTGTTGAGGAACAAATGCTATTTCATTTTTAGATTTGTAATTTTCGTATGCCCTTTGTTGTTTATGAGCTCTTTCTAAGTATTTGTAATATTCGGAGAGTAAGTTCTCAATGTTATCGTCTCCTTCACTCTCATTATCTCTGCTAACATCCGCTGGTACATTCTGAAAGATAGAATGTATTTTTATCTTAATACTTTACAGATACCACAGACGTTTATAAATGTAAGGCCGTAGAAGGTACTTACCACGTTATTTTCTAATTCATTCATTATGTCTGCTATGTCACTAAAAATTATGGTATCGTAAAATGGACTTGCTTCGATGTCGTTGACTTCCAAACCTAAAATTCAAAATGATCATTTAGAACATTCAATCATGACTATAAGAAATTTTACGATACTAGTTTTTATTACTTACTATCTGATTCACATTTACATATTCCCGCAAGCACAGCGCTAACAAAAAATATCAGGAGCCTCATGACTCTTGCGTGGCCGATAAATGAAATAGGTTCGTAAAGTCACGCTGGTTTTATCGTTTACAAAATGATTTTGGATCCGAATTGTGTTTCAAAACAAACCCTTTATGTGCCTTTTGTTTAACAACGTTTGTTTAAATCGTTTTTAAAATGTTACGTGGTTTTGTATTTTCACGTTATGTAATGTATGATTGTGTGTGTGTGTGCGCGCGCACGAAGCTACTAAATACTATTACTATTTTATTTCTATCAGGAATCCAATATCAGTAACAATGCTGAAGCGGAACGTCTTACGATGCACCGTTGTATCATCACAAGTATTATTGAAAGCGAAACTGTTTATGTGGAATGTCTCTACGTCATGGAAAAGGTAGTTCGTTTATAATTTTTATGTCTGACACTTTACTGTGTAACACTGTCCAAAAAAAAATACATCTAAATTGTATGTTTGATTACAGTACATGAACGCTATAAAAGCGACATTGTCTACGTCACAACCAGTTATAACGGAAGAGGAATTTAATACGATATTTTACAAAATATCAGAGCTTCATGAGTTACATAAAAGTTTTCTTGAAGGCTTAAAAGCGGCTGTGGCCAGTTGGGAAGAGCCTCTATCTGTAGGGACCCATTTTAAGAAGATGGTANAATTGTATGTTTGATTACAGTACATGAACGCTATAAAAGCGACATTGTCTACGTCACAACCAGTTATAACGGAAGAGGAATTTAATACGATATTTTACAAAATATCAGAGCTTCATGAGTTACATAAAAGTTTTCTTGAAGGCTTAAAAGCGGCTGTGGCCAGTTGGGAAGAGCCTCTATCTGTAGGGACCCATTTTAAGAAGATGGTGAGTTTCATATTATTTTACATAAGTTTTTGGAGCTATTAATTTTAACAAAAACTGTATACAGACTAATTTTATTTTATTACGACTACATAAGCTATACAACCTATATTGCTATTTAAGGCTCCCGCCTTATTGGGTCTAAAGTAAATTTCTATGACAGCTTCTGCAGTCTTTGTAATTAAATATAGTGGAAACTCCATGGAAAGGCAAAAACATGATAGCTTTGCGGCTTCTAAAACGCAAGACAATAGTGCTAATTACTACCGAGTTGTGTACATAACATAATAATTGTAAAGGGCATAGTAAACATATTAAATGGTCTTTGTTCTTTTTAAAAACGAGGCGTGCTGAGAGTACTTAGCGGCAGGCAGACTGGGCTATGCCTCTGGCATTGCTGATATCCATAAGAGACGGTAAACACATACAATCAGGCGGACCGTACACTCGTCTGCCTACAGAGTATAAAAAAGACGCAAAAATTATCACCATTGATAAAGATTTTGGATTCGCGGTTAACTTGTTCTCTACTATAATTATGTTTTGGCCACTGTTACAAAGTAGAAAAAATCGCAGCTCGTGTTCTATGATCGACCCAAGACCAAGACCTCCGACCACATACGATCGGAGGCCAAGATCGGGGTCATAACGCCAACGCAGTAGTAGTAGTAATTCTATCGTGTTTTACTAGTTCAAATGTTATATTGCTTAAATAAATACAGGCGGAAAACATAAACGTGTACGGTGCATTTCTGCACAACTACGGTCGAGCGACGGACGCGGTGCGGCGCCGCTGCGCCACGTCACAGAACTTCGCGCACCTCACGAAGCAGATCTCGTGCCACGGACAGCCGATGTCGCTCGACGACCTGCTGCACAAGCCCGTTGCTAGGGTGCAAAAAAACGCGCTTGTTCTACATGTACGTATTCGTGTGAATGGATTCGTGAGCACTACACGAACCTCGGGACTCATCACTGCTTCCGAAATATGTAGGATGGTCCTTCGAACTCGTTTCACCAGTAAATAATATTTCTATAATTCTAATGATATTTCCATTTGTATAATGTTCAGTTTCTGAACGTCAAAATGTCAGCGAGCGACGTCCATCATGACACCAATTCTCTTTCAAATGCAGCCGCCAAGAACGAACGCATCAATTTTATATTTCTCTTATATAAAGTATATAATTTTTCATATAAAAATACAATAAATATCTAAAAACAATAAATACAGTCCGCGCTTAATTACCACAACGCAACATATGGTCCTTCGAGCCAGATTTGAACCAGCGAACTATGGATTTACAGTCCACTGTAAATGTAAATTACAACGTATAGTGACATTCCGATATGGTCTAGTAGCACGATACCTGGCTTTCATCCAGGAGGCTCTGGTTCGCTTCCCGATATCGGAACCACAAATGCTGTGTTAATTGAGTGTGGACTGTATTTATTGGTCTGACATATTTATTGTACTTATAACTGGGTTGCCAGTCGCAACCGCCATTCGAGCAGCTGAGGACCGGACGAGATGGAAACAGCTCACGAGACAGGCAACGGTCAAGTTTCAGGGACACGACATTCAGCAATGAAGAAAGCGACGAAGAAGAAAAGAATATATAAAAAAATAAAGACTTAATATAAGAGAAATATAAAATTGATGCGTTCTTGGCGGCTGGATCTGAAAGAGAATTGGTGTCATGGCGGACGTCGCTCGATGACATTTAGACGTTCAGAAGCTGAACAATAATGTTACAGACAAATAGATGTACAGCAAAATAAAATCTTATCGAATAAAAAAAGCGAATGTTATTTTAAGTTAATATATTAACATAAGTATTTACCTATTTGAAAAAAAATATTGTTTTAGGATCTTATAAAATACACGCCAGCAAGTCACCCTGATCATGCCATGTTGACGGATGCTCTGAACATGACACAGCATTTCTTAGACGAATTCAATATCATACAGACTAAATCCATGTTCCCTGTAAGTAACTAGGAGACCATTCATTTATGAAGCACTCATAAAAACAGTTTGTCGTTTTAACTATACCCGTTATTACTCTTACAGAATGCAGATAGAGCACAGAGAAGACTGGTCAAGAATTCATTTATTGTCGAACTGTCAGATGGTCACAGAAAATTAAGACATTTGTTTCTGTTCAACGATGTCATAGCATGTGCCAAATACAAGGTAAGTTTTAAATATTTATTGGATTTAAAAAAGCAGATTAAGTGCTAGTGAAATTAGCACCCTGATCAGCTAGAGAATATGTACTTACTGCGTGTTGGACAACGACTTCCACAACGAAGGACTGGCAAAGATCAAACTCGCAAATCTTATAAAATAGCCTAAAACTGTTGGTAAGGTGTATTGTAATCCTGTACAGATGACGTAGATGTATGTATGCCTATTTCTATCGCGATGCAGTCATTCATCATACAATTGAATGAGACATCAACCAATAGGTAGGTGGATGGCGAAATATCCGCTGTGATTTCAATGGGATTTGGTAACTGCTTAATCAGGTAGGCTGAGCTTGTTTACCCATCTACATCATAAAACTTATGATCGATGTATATATAATATGTCTGTATGAATTGTATTTATTCCCTTTACCTGTAAATTTTTTGTTAATGGATGTGGTAGGAAAATCTGAATACAATGATTTTTTGGCGGGAACGCGAGTAGCGAAGTTGTGTGAATTATTTCATTTTGTTAATTTAGTGTTTCTTGAGGTTTAAATGTGTAATAAAATAAAGGTAGTTTATTAATTGTTTTGCAACTTGCATTCTTGCTTTTCGAAAATGTCTCAGTAAATAACCACCTTTCTTATTCTTCTCTGCTCCCTGCTCCCTCCCCTGTACTGTCAGGAACATTTATTTTACCGCTATTTATTTTTGTTATTTACTTTTTTTGGATTAGTTAATTTTGGTAAGTTGTCACTAAGAGACATGACGTCGTGTGCCAAACGTAAAGACGGCACGTCTCGTTCGGAAAAATTTTAAATTTAGAATTTCGTTTTACGCGGCTATCGTATTTGCTTCGCAGGCGTCCGGCCGCGATAAGTTCACATTCGAGTTGAAATGGTTCATCCCGCTCCCCGACATCGTGGTCGTAGACGAGGACAGCGCGGGAGCCGGCGCGGTGGAGGCCCGCGAGACCTCGCCCGCTAACATAGTGGCGCTCAAGTCGCAAGCCTCCACTGTGCGGGACCAAATACTCGCGGAAGAGCGGGCTGCCACCGATGACAAGGTAATTTAATTTAAAAAAAAAAAACACTTATATTTTTTTGTTTTTTGAAGTGCAACTTCGAATTCGACTCCCAATAAGGTTGCGTTAAACGTTTAACGCTACCATGGAATAGAAAAAGATGCTTGGCACTCGAACCCATGCGCGTAGTATACCTGTTACAGGCGTTAGGAACGAGTAAAGTCCTATATTTTAGTATTTCAATTTAAAATATATATAATATAAATGTTGAAGATGTCGCATCACTTATACACAGCATTCTCTATTACAAGAGTAATCTGATTTAAGGATGAAAAATGAAGAAAATCACAATACTACATATCGAAAAAGAAGTTTCACTTCATTCACGTGCACCAAGATGCACGCGCACCGTTTTTTTTTGTTTCGTATTACTAACAGTTACAACTACTACTTTAAAAAATACACACTTAAGATATGAGTTTTGTTAAAAATAAACATGAGTTTTGTTAGAAATAAACTAATAGGCAGGTAGCCACTTATAAAACTGTGTAACAAATAAACCTCAAATGTTGCTAATATATTATAATATCATTTTCATTACTACTTTGATATGTTCATAGTGTTTTTTTTATAATAATAAAAATATAAAGGAAGATAGCCATAATTGTTTATTGTGCTCAAAATTATAAAAACGTTTCAATTTAATAACCATTTATCTATCTTATATATTTATAAGATTAATAAGCTTCTTATATAAGAGTTATATATATAGTTATACTATTTAGTTAGTTATATATGTTGTATTGTTAAAATAAAAACTTCAATGTGTTGCTCTGAAAGAACAAAGATTTATTTTATTAGTTTTAATCAAGTTATCTTACGTACCATATTACACTATTACACTATAACACTAACACTAACCTGAAAAAACAAAGAAACGACATTTAAAGTTTATTTTATAATCTTGTAGTTATCTAAATAGAAATTAATTTTATTAAAATTTTACGAAATGTCATATTGTTTCTCTGTCAAGGCTGCCGTTTAGATTTTACAACACATGCGCGGACGTTCCAGCACGTTCCATGTCGTCAGCGCATGCGTGACATAATTCAAATTAAAGAAAGGAACAAGACTTTCTTTACATATTAATTGTTAATTTTTTTTAATTAGAAAATAAGACTGGGAAGTAGAGGCGCGGCGGAGAAACAACGCAAGAAACTAGCAGAACTGGAGGGGCAGTTGGTGCTAGCGTCACCCAACCTGGTGTTCAGGGTAGGGGCCCGCGCTCCCGGGGCCGCCACCCTACAAAGACAACACATATTCTTCCTCAGCTCTGAATATGAGCGCACGCAGTGGATAGACTCTATACATGCCCTACAGGTTCGTGTATGTTTAAATTATTATAAAAAAATAAATTGTTGCCTTAATTAAAAACTCCTTAATGCTCTAAATATATATGTGGGATTTTAAATTCGGGGTGGGCCAGTTAAACGCTCGATCACTTCACAAAAACTCGATGCTTTATTTCGTCTTATTATATATAACTCCAATACAACGTCTTTCGTCTTCCGGCTTACACTGCGTCTGAGCGTCGTCGCGTCCGGAAACTATTCTCCTGTCGCTTATCAAATAAAACTCGGTGTCTCGCATTCATTCGCCACCTTTCTTAGTTCCTAACACGACATCTCCTATCTCTCTCACTCAGTCATGCTCCATATCTGTCATTCATCCATATCGCTCCATTCCGTTCCTACATATATATGTATATATATTTTGTTCATTAACTAATCAACAGTGACTAGTTAAAAACTGATTATTGTACGAGTATAACGCACTTGCATAAAATCCTCTCGTTTTTTTCCTACCTAAGCTGATGGTCTTGAGAGGCTACGTCAGCGTAACCGGGCGAGTAGGTGAGCTCGCAGGGCTCAAACCTGACGTTGATGCTAACACGAACCCTAGCAAGAGTCGTGCTTCGCAGAATCTACCACCGGATCGAAAACGCGAGCCACTGAGATCCGACGAGAAACTCAGTGGGCTGTGGCAGCGGGAGTTAATTTACTCGCCGAGCCCTTCGTCTCAAGCGACGGGCTCAACGAGAACGATGACCGGATATCCTCCTGTTTACTTTAGTTATAAGGGTTTAATTTGTGACAAATAAAAAATATTTTTTTAATTATTTTAGGCTTCTTCAGCCCCACCAGCGGGTTCTAACAGTATATCCATGCTCGAGTTGCAAGCCTGGGTGACGGCGTGCCGCAGCTACCTACAGACGGACATGGGCTCATATTTACTGCGCAGCGGTCGTGACGACTCCTTGCTGCTCGGCGATTTGCAGTTACACATAGGGGGCATGACGTCACCGCTGGACACCGCGGCAGGTGCGTTGGGATTACGTTCTGTAAAGTAATATAGATAACGCAGGTTAATAAAATAGTAAGCGAAAATAAGGGTATGGTAAGAATGAACATAAATTAATAATCAAATATATAAGACAGGTGGGGTTTATTAGAACAAGACGAAATATTGTTAGTAGATAATAAAATATCAATAATTTAATTATAATAAATATTAGGTAATAAAATATTAATAAAGATATAATAAACAAGAGTAGGCCATAATTAGGATCTTCCAAAGAAGGAGTAGAGTGGAGTGGATAGGATACAAGTTAAAAACTAAATACGAACCACATGTAAAAAGACTCTGACCTATGTTAGGGGAAACAGAAACGCCCTGTGATGACGGGTGTCTTAATATATAAAAAAAAGATGCATGGTGTCGTGGGACACCGGATAGGAACGAAGTTCCTTATTATAAAAATATTAATTTTAAGTTCTATTCGAGGTATAAATAAAATAAAACTGGAGGTTTCGCATAAGAGTTGTTTGCATAAGAGTTAGTGTATTGCGCAAACGAACGCTCTGAGATCGTGGTCAATGAACGATAAAAAAATGTGTTATTTTTTGTACGTTATTACAAAGTTAAGTCGTACACTGTGTGCATTACTAATAAAAATCTTTCGTTACGGACGTTTTTTCCCAGTTAAGGTACCCCTCCGCATCGACCCATAAGGAACTTCGTTCCAAAAAAAAAAGTAATACAGATCGAGGTTTCGTTACTCCCTACATGCTAATAAATTTTCTAAAACTATATATTTTATTATATATACAGGTGATCGAGGTCACGGGTGATCTGGTGCTAAGTGATGACCGGAGCCCATAGATATGAACCCCCCCCCCCCATTTTGAGATTTAGTTGTATGTCTCAATTGTTTAGTAATTACAATATGCAAGTTTGATTTTTATCACAATTTTTATTATTCAACGCGGAAGTCATTCTTGAACATGTTGTTACGTACGCGTTTCATGACAAAAAGTTGTCGCTCGTTTATAGTCGCATTGCTCGGTGGCAAAGTCGATACGAGCATTTTAGGCGTTTTATCAATTAACGCAATAGTTTTTTTTTAGGAAAAAAAAGTGTTTTGTTTTTTGGTACGCTTGGTTGTAGTCTTATATTGATGACTTGATCTAAATAATGGAACAATACATCTTCGCACCTGTCGCATTCATGCAATAAACATACAGAATAATAAGTTTATTTTTTGTCTTACAGACTATTACATAGTTGTGGAGGTCGATTCTTACGGACACTACTTCCGCAAGGCAAAATCGAAGTTAGTATGCAGAAGCTCTCAGCCGAGATGGAACGAGAGCTTCACTTTAGACCTAGAAGGGTCACAGAACTTACGTCTGTTGTTATATGAAGATGCGGTGCGACCAGTCCTTCGAGGAAAATGCACTATCAAGGTTAGCTCGTGTCATCAGTGTTACGATAGTATTATAAACATACACTAATACACACACACACAAACAAACAAACAAACAAACAAACAAACAAACAAACAAACAAACAAACAAACAAACAAACAAACAAACAAACAAACAAACAAACAAACAAACAAACAAACAAACAAACAAACAAACAAACAAACAAACAAACAAACAAACAAACAAACAAACAAACAAACAAACAAACAAACAAACAAACAAACAAACAAACAAACAAACAAACAAACAAACAAACAAACAAACAAACAAACAAACAAACAAACAAACAAACAAACAAACAAACAAACAAACAAACAAACAAACAAACAAACAAACAAACAAACAAACAAACAAACAAACAAACAAACAAACAAACACACACACACACACACACACACACACGGTCGTCGTGGCCTAAAGGATAAGACGTCTGGTGCATTCGTGTTGAGCGATGCATCGGTGTTCGAATCTCGCAGTCGGGTACCCATTTTCTAATGAAATATGTACTTAACACGATTCACGATTGCCTTCCACGGTGAAGGAATAACATCGTGTAATAAAAATTAAACCCGCAAAATTATAATTTGCGTAATTACTGGTGGTAGGACCTCTTGTGAGTCCGCGCGGGTAGGTACCACCGCTTTGCTTATTGCTTATTTCTGAAGCAGTAATGCGTTTCGATTTGAAGGGTGGAGCAGCCGTTGTAACTATACTTGAGACCTTAAAACTTATATCTCAAGGTGGATTGCGCATTTACGTTGTAGATGTCTATGGGTTCCAGTAACCACTAAACACCAGGTGGTCTGTGAGCTCATCCACCTAACGAAGCAATAAAAAAAAAGGAATAGCAATGTTAGCCTATATTTTAACAAAACTGTTCTTTATACAGTATGTACAGCAGAAATATATTTATCTAGTGTATTATTATAAAACTGTAGCAAAAGTATAACTGAAAACTCGCATATTGTGCAACGGACCTTTCGAAATGAAATGAAAGAAAACAAATACAAATGGACATGTTAGACCCAAAAAAGGCACGTTCAAAAAATATATTTAAAATAAATATAAAATCATATCAAAGGCTATTTGGTTTAAGTACGTGTTTTGCAACTTTACAGGAGAGCCATTATAAGTTTAAAATTTGGAATAAATATCATAACAGAAAAAATCTTCAGCTATTTGAATGTGATAAACGTAAAAGGTCTGAAAGCGGGTTGCGTTATCCGCGCAGGTGTCGCGCGAGTGGGTCACAGAAGGCGGCGTGTGTCGCACAGTGTCGCTGGGCGGCGGGAACCTGCCGCTGCGGGTGCGCCTGCTGCCTCCCGAGCGGTCCGCGCGCCGCGTGCCCAACGCCAAGCCGGGAGCACTCTTCGGAGCTAAGATCGCGCATGTTGCCAGGTATGTAAAATATATTTTACTAGCGACCCACCCGCCTTCGCTTCGCGTCAGAAACTGTAATTTATTATTGATTTCTCCACTATTTAATGGATGTTATTATACATATAAACCTTCCTCTTCAATCACTCTATCTATTAAAAAAAACTGCATCATAATCCGTTGCGTAGTTTTAAAGATTTAAGCATACATAGGGATATAGGGACAGAGAAAGCGACTTTGTTTTATATTATGTAGTGATTGGGAATAACTACGTAAACGCAGTTTTTTTTTATTGCTTAGATGGGTGGACGAGCTCACAGCCCACCTGGTGTTAAGTGGTTACTGGAACCTATAGACATCTACAACGTAAATGCGCCACCCACCTTGAGTATAAGTTCCAAGATCTCAGTATAGTTACAACGGCTGCCCTAGCCTTTCAAGCCGAAACGCAAACTTCACGGCAGAAATAGGCAGGGCGGTGTTACCTACCCGCGCAGACTCACAAGAAGTCCTACCCCCCAGTAAAATAGTTTTTTTTTTTAAATTGGTTCAGCAATGTAAAAGTAATTAATGTTTTAATTTACTTTAACAAAGCAGAAAAGTTAAATTGCAAGATATTTAATTCCTTTTCAATTTTATTGATTACTTTCAAATTTCGAGAATATACTTATGTGGTGTGCTGTGAACTGGACGACCCTTGTGGTATAAAAAAAAGGTCCACTGATCATGATTATAAGTTGAAACGAACAATTAGAAAATAACAATAATAAAATGATATTATTTAACAGACGTGAAAAGCGCAACATTCCTTTCATAATAAGCGCGTGCGTGCGGGAAGTTGAAAGACGTGGCCTTCACGAAGTGGGAGTTTATCGCGTCTCCGGGAGCGCATCGGATCTCAACCGACTGAAGAAGAGCTTCGAAACTAGTTAGTATTCGTTAATGTGAATGTATCCTTCCGTTTATGGAATGCACTACCCTTAAGCATCAAACAATCGTCCTCGCCGGAAATTTTCAAGCTCAGATTAAAATCGCACTACCTTGCACAATAATATGGTTCCTACGATATAACTGTACAAGTTGCTACTTCTTTTGTATTTACTTGCATATTTTTTTGTATTTATTTGTATTCAATCGTATGTAAGTATATCTTATACCTATTGTATTTATTTTTCACATGTGTATATAAGTATATATTTTTATGTAAGTTTATTAAGATATAGCACCGTCCAGTTTGCTTATTCCTCTCCCTGCAAGGTTGCCTGGAAGGGATCGCTTTTAGCGATAAGGCCGCCCCAATTTATGTCACCATCTATTATTTGTTTTTTGAGCTTACTCTGTACATGTGATGTTAAATAAAGAGTTATATTATTATTATCCTTATTACCAAAAATTTACCATCAAAAAAACATTTATCACCTTACCTACAAACATATTAATAGTGAGCAACAATCATTCGGCATCACGAAAGAAAGAAAAAGAAATCTATTCCATTTTACTTATAATACAACAAAAAAAGTTACCAGTCTGACTGATTTTTTATCAAATCAATTTAACACATAATTTCATATGAAATAAATTGATTTTATCCATATTACACGAACAAGTTTCACTGTCTACAGATCCCTACGAAGCAGAGCAGCTATTAAAAGAAGTAGACATACACTCCGTGACGGGAGTTTTAAAGTTGTATCTAAGAGAACTGCCCGAGGCCCTGTTCACGGATGCACTTTACCCTGAACTTTTGAAAGCTTGGGGATCCGTACAGGTAAACGTTCAAGTAAATTATTTATCATGTTAATTTTATTATTAATAGTTAGTTTATTTATTTCATTATTATTTGTGGTCATAGGTTAACAAAGATTAATTAGGTTAATATTAATAAATATATCACTATGTCCTGCTAGTAAAGCGTACAATTATTAGGTGTAAGTATAATCTACATAAAAATATTAAACTTAAATTATAATTATTTCACTCTATTCTACTTTATCATCTAAATTATCTAATGTTTTCGTCTAAACATTCTGACATAGTATAGTAAGCCTTATCTAATAAAAATACTTGCAATTTTCGCTTAAAATCTTGTAAATCTACTGTCTTCAAAAATTTTATAACTAGTTAGTTTATTAAATATTTTTGTTGACATACTAAAAAAAACTCTTGTCATAAAGGGCAGTTCTATGAGGTAGCGAAGAAATCTTTAAAGCATTCCTAGTATAGCCAAAGAGATTTTATTACAAGCTCATACATACTATAATGCGAAAAGACTTTTTCCCCTACCTTTTATGTAAAATGATTTCACCGGTCCGGTGTCAGCATAAAGTATACCTACTGCGCTTACCAATAAGCCGTAAAATGTGTTGTGAGCAGGCACGTTTTGGTACCACTATCATGCCGCAGAGCAATGCAACTGAGAATCCCATGCCTCAAGTTGGTTGGCGGCGTTCACTTTGTGATGTGCATGGGCTCCGGTTAGCGACACAATATTAGGTGATTTGAGAGCAAATGTGATCCGCTACAACGACGACATTTGTAATCAAAGTTGAATATCTGCTTGTAGGTATCAAGTTAAGTTAAGGTTATCAAGTTAAAGTCCATTTCGACCTATCGCGTTTTGTAACATCACTTCATAATATTTCAATGTACATATTAACAATTAAAAACGGTTCGAGTGATACGCTGTTTACTAAAAAACAAAATTCACATTATTAATATTGATTCATAAAATTATTGTGTGTTTTTTTAAAAGGGTGTCGGAATTTCCGTTGATTCTGGACCAGCACACACCAGACGTCACGCCCTGTTGAAATGCTATGCTCAGTTACCGGATCTGAACAAAAACTGCATCGACTTCCTTCTGAACCACTTCGTCAAGTAAGTACTCTGATGACACTATAACTGTAAGGATAAACCATAGAGGAATATGAGGAGGAAATATGTCGCACTTCTCATTTATCCTAGAATATAAATTGATAAAGCTTTATAAAAATTTACAAGGTTTAAAAACGGTTTTAAGTATTCTTATTAAATTGTTTGAATCTGTTATATGAATATTATATTGAATATGTCATTATTCGGTAGTATTGTTATGATGTTTATTGTACATACTGTAGATTGGGGGGAATCGGGACCCTTTTCAAATCCAAGACAAATTTTCAATGGTTTCCGGAGGCTTAAATTTTTATATAGGATGCGTTATTATACATAGTTCATTACAAAATATACACAAACTGAAAAACCTAGCTTGACCCGATTCACCTTGGCTTTGGGGTGAATCAGGTTACGTATGGCGACAATAGTTTTTCGATAGGGCTAGCAAGCACTATTTAGTTGTTAGGCCTATTAACTTTTTAATTGTATTTAATTTTAATTGGTGTAATTAACTTTTTAATATCTTAATGAGTTTCAAAACTTTGACGATTAAATTAAACTATTTAATATTCTTAAATCTATATATTATATAAAAATGAATTGCGGTTTGTTAGTCTCGCTAAAGCTCGAGAATGGCTGGACCGATTTGGCTAATTTTGGTCTTGAATTATTTGTGGAAGTCTAGAGAAGGTTTAAAAGGTAGATAAATATGAAAATGCTCGGAATTAAATAAAAATAACAATTTTGTTTTCCCTTTGATGTGTCCTACGTCGGACGGATTCCTTTTGTTTATTTTAAGTTTATTTTATACAAAAGTTTAGGTGTTTTATTTATCGATTGGGGCACTACGAAGTCTGCCGGGTCAGCTAGTGCTAAATAAAAGTCATTTTCAGTTCAACAAAGTTAAATCTAACAACTCAACAAAAGTATTGTGACCTCCCAGATTCGTCCCTATTCTAACTCTAGTCTCTGTTCCCCCCAATCTACTGTACTATCATATTAATTTTCGTATTAAACGTGTATAAATAATTGAAGAATTCGTAACGCGCACAGAGTGAATCAGCACGAAGGCGAGAACAAGATGTCGCTGCACAACCTGGCGACGGTGTTCGGGCCCACGCTGCTCCGGCCGGCGAGCGGCGGCGGCGGCGCGGGCGGCAAGCAGCGCAGCGACCCGCTGGCGGCCGGCACCGTGGACGCCATGGCGCAGGCCGGCATCCTCTACTGTCTGCTGCAGCACCGCCAGCTCGCCGCGCAACTCTCCTCGCACCACCGCGCGCCGCACCACGTGCTCGACTGAACGTCCGCTCACCACGCAATCTACCACGCGACTCTATTACTTGTTTTTTTTTTTTTTTCTACCAAGCTGATAGCCTTGACAGGCTATATCAGCGTCGCCTTAACTAGTAGGTGAGCTCACGGGGCTCAAACCGGAGTGATGCTAACACTGACCCTAGCAAGAGCAGTGCTTCGCAGTATCTACCACCGGATCGGAAACGCGACCCACTGAGAAGATCCGGCGAGAAACTCAGTGGGCTGATTAGTTGTATAAGCCGCGTCAATAAAGAAACGAATCGAAAATGGCGTCTTATGTACCTGCACTAACAGATGGTAGGGTCAACAAAATAAAAAGAAAGATAGAAAGAAAAGGTCTTTATTGTAAAAAAAAATTTAAAAAAAGAGAATATACTTTATGCCCTGGCAGGGGGAGAGGTGTCTCATCTGGGATGCAACTTGCGTAGATACTTTTGCTGCCAGTCATCCAAGTCGCACAAGTCGAAAGTGAAAAAACTCGAACTCAACAACAAAGTCAGAACTGATATTTTTTTGCAAGCAGTACGCGCCGTGTGCGACTAAAGACAGCAATAGTTTAGAATGAGAGCGCATGATCGCCGCCGCCATTTTAGATTCGTTCCTTTATTGGCGCGGCTTATAACACCGAATATTCACAACTCCATCTTACTTACATTCTGAACGCGACTGTTAATAACTACAACGAAGCGTCTCTACAAAACATACTCGTTAACATTTTTAAAATGAAGACAATGAGTCAGTTGCAGCAAAAGTAATAATTAACGCTTATTCAATTATGCTTAAGGATTTTTCATAAAGGTTATGAAATTTGTCGATCAAAAAGTAACTGAAGTAATAAGTACATATAATTCTGTATTAATCCGAATTCGTGACGCATTGAGATCCCTTAATGAACTCAAACGGTATTTACATTCCATTATCAATTACAAAACCGACTGATTTCTGATATGAATTAAAAATATTTATGGAATGAATGTGTCGCAAAATACGGTCGAGAAAATGATTTTCAACTATTGATAATAGAAGTTCCACGAAACAATATCATATGACTTACGAAGTTTTCAATTAAATCTTCAGATAGGTACTTCTACTTGACAACCTTAGATACTTATTAACAGTTGAATTGAGACACTGAAATACGATTTATGGAAAATGGTTTCGGAATGTCCCCATGATGTATGTGTAGACAGGGCGTCTCGCATTTGAAACAACATTGAAATCAGAAATGGATGCTATGTCTCAGTATAAACATGTTACAGTAAAAACCAGATGTATGAATCAGATGTTTTACCTTTAGATCGCATTAACCTTTGGTATGCGGGAGAGGTCGCATATCTCCACCGACTCTGCTACAACACAACCCGAAAATTTAATATTTTCGAAATGATTTTTGCCCATTACATTATTATTTGATGTTAGAATAACAAATGCACCTTGTTAAGTTAAATTTTATTGCTAAAACATTTGTTAACTTATGATTCGCAATGGAATAAAATTGCAACACAATCGTGCCATTATGAATATTCCGTTATTTGCAGTATTATTTATTTTATTTATTATTTATGATGGTAAAATGTCTATGGAAGTTGACAGTTTTAAATCACCCTAAATTCAATTGTCTATATAAGGTCGAACATGTCATTGTGTCGGAAGGAGACTGAGCAACGATCCGTACTTACACAAAATACGGCCAGAGCACTGAATATATTATTGATGCGCATATCAAAGGTTAAAAAAGGATGTTTTCATGTTTACTCATTATTTGAATGTTTGTCATGATTTGACTACTACGAGAAATCATAAGCACGGCGAAATAATTTCAGTTAAGTAATTTTTATCTATCATTTAAATCAAATTCTAGTTTGAAACTACTTTTCTAGAAAATTTTAGTGCTAATAGAAGTATTTATTTCAATAATAAAGCTACTTTAGTAGTCAGAATGAGGCGTAGTCTAAAACTGGTTTTTACTGTAACTAATTAAATGTATTAAGAACCTTTTTAAACGCTCGTTAAAATTAATAGAATATAATGAATTTTATATGTATTTTTCGACCGATTTAAATGAAATTATGGCCTATCGTTCAATATAGAAATAAACACAAAATTTAAGTCCAAGTTTGTCGCTAATCCTCACAAGAAAAAACGTCCAAATTGGTGTAGCCACCTGGTGGACATTACGTTTTCAAGCACATTCTTTAATATGCGGATTCGACCTTACGCTGTGATTAAATAAACAAAAATATGTATCATTTGCGGAAACAGCTCTCGTGCCATCTACCGTACGCGGTAAAACTATAGCCAATGCTTTCATTGAAACGTTAAAAAACGTTCTGTAAAGTTCCAAATCTAATGGATAAATGACGCGTGAATACAACATACAACAATAGATAGAACACGAAGCAACAAATCTTTTTTTTATATTAGACCTAAATCATCAATGTTAACAATGCAATGAAGTACAGGGTCCACAATTCCATTTTGACTTCCTAATATTTTGCATCAATTTAACAAGTGAACATGGTTTCATGTACCAAAAAAAACATAGATTAAAAATATAAATAATATGGCAATACTTGAGTCGTCTATTATCAAAGGTGGCAATCTGTGCATTTGGACAAAAAATGTTATTGATATGTCAATACAGATTGATTTGAATATAATCGTCTCCTTCAAAGAATACGGTTCAAAACCTGCATTAAATAAAGGTTAATACTTAACCTGTTATTTATCTAAGATGTCGTTCAGAAGAATTTTGTGACTGCCAATGGAATACAGAGTCAATAATTCGTTTTTCTGATTTACCAATAATTGTCCAAAAGTCACATTGCCGGCTTTGATAATAGTCGACTCACTTGTCGTTTGATTAAGCGCATATTCGCTTGCAAGCCGGTTCTAGTAAGGCCAACATATTGACAGATCCTGTCACATAACTTAATAGAATTTTTTGAATTTTCAATGTTAGTGATCTCGATTGCAGACTGTTCGAAATTATGAAAATTACGTATTATTATGACTTGGGACCGATGTATAATGAATTGATGGTATTAGCGTTATTCGGANACTTGTCGTTTGATTAAGCGCATATTCGCTTGCAAGCCGGTTCTAGTAAGGCCAACATATTGACAGATCCTGTCACATAACTTAATAGAATTTTTTGAATTTTCAATGTTAGTGATCTCGATTGCAGACTGTTCGAAATTATGAAAATTACGTATTATTATGACTTGGGACCGATGTATAATGAATTGATGGTATTAGCGTTATTCGGAGCAGACTGATATTATAAATGTTCATTGTTGGTTTGCTTTCATCAACTGAAACATTTCTAGACAGTTAGTTTTTAGACAGTAGTCGGTTTTTAGCAGCTGTTTGGCAAAGCTTTTGTACTTTATATTTCAATTGTTCAGTTGTATAGACCTTTAAGAGAAATTTAGTCACTTAGTTCAGTTCAGTTAATTCTTTGTACATTTTATTATGTTCAAAACTTTTGTCAAGCAAATTTAATTATTTATGAGTTTAGTGCATATTTTTACGCTGTAGATGATAGTACGTGTGTGCTAGAGTTCGATCGTTTTTTAGCATTTTTTATGCTAGTCGTGTGATTTCTTTTGTAGTTTTTATCTTATTAATACTACATACAGAGTACATATCTAATACATTATAATGAATTCAACGCTTTTAAATTCTGTTTTTCATGACTTTTGATGGGTTTTTTTTTTTACCTATTAGATATGTTCTCGGTGGAACTGCAGCAGCGCATAGCAATCTAAGTTATATATTAAATCATTGTCGTGCATTGATTTTCTTTACAATTAATATTTTTCACAAATAGGCTTAGGCGTAAAAGGTTTATGTTAGTACTTAAAAACAAAATATTACCAAAAAAATAAATTCTTAGAACAAAGCTAATTTCGTATTATAATTGTGTTACTTAGTTGAAAGACATTAACTTTTTTACAATCTTTTATTTTGTTGATTAATATTATGATCAGAACTAAGTTAAGAAAAAATACATGTAATTATTATGGTAGAGTTTTTATTAAAAATTATTTATTTTTCACCAAAGATCAGTCACGGACTACGGATACAGTTAAAGTATTCTCAAATAATATTCGGTTTACACGCTTTGTCTCGCCTGCTCCATTTTGTCTTTGGTGTTTCACGCAAGCCATAACACGCTTAATTAAGACTTGGTAAAGATATACCACACAATTCTTACTATAATTTTTATTTGGGCGCATAGGCTAGTCATGTGCGACACTTATAATAACAAATAAAGGGAGTAACTATTAAATAAGATCTAGTTGTAATAAGCACGATGACTTCAACAGGGCGTGTGGTATATTAAATGCATAAATTAACCAAAAAATTGAAATCTTTATCGACTGCATACACATAAAGCGCGGTCTAATTTCTTTCAGGATCACAATAAATTCCAAAATATTGAGGGAAACTGATCCATATTACATGCACTTCACAGTATCGGGTATCACTACTACGAACGAAAATGAGGGAACACGTTCTAGGTTATAGGAGTCGCGTTGATTAAGAACTAGACATATAATATTGCTCAAGCATGTTTTATTTATGTGGTCAACTTGCCGTGTTCAGAGCGTGTAACCGGACGGAAGAATTGATAGAGGCTAGAGTATCAAATTTCACTTTAATAGATTAAAAGACAAAAATAACAGTTGTTGAACACACTTCATAGGTATGATAGAAAATAGGTCAATAAAATCAGCTGTGCATAAAATATATGCATGAAACATTTTAGTGTTATAAAAAGCCATTTTAGTGGAGTTTGATACTATACCCCTTTGATAACTATTTGCATTTGATTCATGACATTATCACGCGTTTTGCGTTGCATAAAAGTGTTCTAAAACACACACTAAATTCATGAAAAATATCTGTGTTCTTTTGGTATACCCATTAATTATATTATTTTGATGAAAAATACATAAACAAACAATATCCTACATAGTTAAATTTGTCCTTTTATACACATTGTTGTTCTGATTATATTATTTCTGTATTGCAAACTTATTTTATGCAATTAGAGTTCCGAGACTGTTCTCATGAAATAATAGCATCACAATAGCTTTATTTGTAATAATGATTTTATCTTTTAAGAATTCGTGGGCATTTTCATAACAAACTAATCCAAAATTACCCTTTAAAATTATTTTTAATGTAGGTACCACGACTGGCATCTGGTGTGAACTTATTATGTCTTTAAAAATTTAAATTTAATGCTACTATTAGAATAGTAATCTTGAATCAAATAAGTTATATTAAACAAACTTACATTATATAAAGCCACCTCAATCTTCCACATCCACAATATCAATTGAACCTTATTTCACTAAATTATGCATTATACGAAAATTAAAAAGTACCTTCCAAAAATCCAACAACTTAAATTAGGAATTTGGCAACTGAACCTAAATATTTTTTAAATGAAATCATCTAAAGAATGTTTAAATGAGAACTACAAGTATTTGTGATCCACATTATTTAAAATAACTTTGTTCTATTTATTTTTGTATTTCTTTTGTCTAACACTATGCTTGTTCAGCAGCTCCAGTTGTGTTCGCCCCATCTCAGTTCCTGTTTGGTCACAAATTTAACACTGGAATCGGTGTTATTTAAATATTTGTTTGTCATTCCAAAATATTAGAAGGTAAATAAGTATTAAAATAAGTAAACATGTTAACCTAAAAAGTATTGGAAATAAGCATTTGTTTAGAATTAAGATAAAATACATTCTTTCTGGATACTTATGCTTTTTTCATTTGTTCAGCATAGAGCTTTGAAATAAAAACAATAATTTTATCTTCATATTCCTTTATTAAATTGAATAAATATTATAAAGAGAAAGATTACATGATAATTGGTAACTAATACCTAAAACTACATACTGAAAATGTATTTGATTATTTAGTTGTACTACATATTATATTGTTCTTGTAGCTTATAACTTTTCACAACTATAGTAAAGGTGTACCTGTTACTTCTTAAACAAAATTTATTTGCTATATTCCACTATTGCATGCATTATAAGATGCATTACCATAAATTACACCTATTACATGGATTATTTTTGCAACCAATTTTTTTAACATTTTTTTGTTGTGACAATTTTTTTAAAATTGGGATTGGCAATTATTAATTATACTTATTATGTATTACATACTCATTTATCAAATATGTTAGTGTACGAATGCTGTATTATAAAGTAGCTATTTATACAATTAGTTTCATTATTAAAGTTTGTATTACATTTTTGTATATAAATGACACTGTAGTTATGTACTTTTGCAATAAATGGTATTTTAATACATATACATAGTTTACTCATTCTTCACCTGTATATCAATGATAACCTAAAAAACTTAAAGTTCCATAAATAGGATTTGTTTATTCTAGACTTATATAGCTTAAATAAAAAATATACTTGCAACTTTCATCTACTACATGTAAGGTGTTTGGAAAAACAATTATTGAAGCCAGTTATTAGCTCTGGTTTAGAGCAGGAGTATTATGGGCTTAGACATCCATAACCACATAGACTTAAAAAAATAACTACAACTCTACACATACAACTGACTATAAAGTTGGGAATCCCTTTCTCAGCATTTTCATCTCAATCTGTGATTATGTTGGTAGATGGGGGCCTATAGACATGTCAGTCCAGGTGGCCAACATTTCTAAATATTCATTTGATTCCTTGTTAGACAATTCATAGCTTTTGCTTATTCCTTATAGAATCTGCAAGTTTCATCAGGCAAGTACCTTTTTTGGAGGTTTTTTATCACATTTGATCAATAAATCAGCTTCACAAAAAAAAAGCAGCTAGTACCCTATGATGTCCCAAGACTTATTAGCTTTGCCTGTATTATCTTCACTTAGGTCCTTATTTTATGTCACTCAATGAATGGTATATTTATCGTGTTGTTATTTATTTTAGGCAATACTTAATAGACAACAGGTCTTTCTTACAAAAATATTCTTCCATTGCCTCTCTGGATAATAACTAACATTTTTATAACTAATATTTTTCAGCTGTGGTTTTGTATAATGTTTATCTTGATTAAAATAGGTATATCTAAAAGTGCAACCTTTTACAGGTATTTTTCGAGCTTATATTGTACCTTTCATGCCATATTCAGGAGATTTGAAAGGTGCCAATAAAATGGTTAAAACCTATTCTTCCAGTTTTTTTCACTCCTGTTTTGTTCCAGATATTTTTTCAAGTGCTTAGAGATGTGTGGTACTCTCTCATCCATTTGTTCAGCCTTTTCCTCTAACATATTTGCTGATACAAAAAAAAGGTAATCATAATAGTCAGTATAAAAATTTAAGTCTCCTATTCTCTATTCCTTGAATCATCCGCCCTTGTTAACAAATTAAGTAGTGTGAGCATTTAACGGCTATCTTATTTTTGTTTTTTCTTTATTCGAAGTCCGTATAGTTTGGCCACTTGGAAGGCATGAACCAGAATGTTGCAAATATAATGCAACTACTCTCCCAATGTCATACACCCCTTTTAGGAGCAACACAATGTGATCATCTAGTTTAATGGTTTTTGTATTCAACTCTATACTCTGTATAATTTCACAATGTGTTCAATTATTTGGTACATCCAAGGTTTAACAAAAAGTCATATTGAAATAAAAAAATATTTGAAATCCATTTCTTATAGTTATATGACTCATGGTAACTCTGAACTTTGCATGTAAAGATCTATTGAAGGTACTTCAGCTGTATCCTCAGTGTGATATATATAAAATGAAGAAAACAAGACAACCACAGCTGCTAAAATTTTAGATGATCGGAAAGTAACTTTTGTCAGTAATAACAATCCAAAATATGTTAAAACTCTTTTCTTGGCATCATTTACAATTTTATTTTTTTGAGATTCATTCAAACACATCCCTGATATTAATGTGTCACTTTCTCTGCATGTTGAACAATTTTTTCTTCCTGGTCCTGTACATGTTTTGCAGGAATCATCACATTTTTCACATAAAAAGGTGCCTTCTTGATTTATACAATAATCATCATTCTCACAGACCTGTGGCAATGCACACTCATTAATATCCACACAAGTATTTTCTTGCATTTCCCAACCATTACTGCATGTAATACAGTCATCTAAACTCTCTCCTGTACAAGCGGCACATGCTGCATGACAAGGTCTACAACTGGCATTTTCAGAAAAGAATTTTTCAGCACATTCTTCACATAAATTGCCAGAATATCCACTTTTACAAATGCAAGTTCCGTTGCCCTCCCTTGTACCATCTCCGTGACATTTACCATTTCCACTACAAATTTCATTGTTTAAATTATGTGGGCAAGGAGAACAGGATTCTCCATAATGGGACAGAGGACAGCAGTTTTGTAATTTCTGAATACACAGCCATGTATACAAATTAACAGTATCATGATCTTCACTGTAATACCAGTTTTCTAATACATTTTCAGCTACATCTGCTAAAGAGTAGCATTGATCTTTATTAGCCTTTAGTTCAGAACATAAACCTTCTTGAATTTCTACCAAACGAACCTCACTTCGTGCATAGGTTTTTAGTTTAGCTTCTTCCCAAGCAACATCGCCCCCTTCGTATTTTCCTCGTGATGTTTTTTTAAACCAGTAATTGAAGGAGTCTGTCAGAACTTTACATTGCTGACACTCATTCAATACATTAATATTTTTATCGGTTGATGGTGTACTAATTTCCTTACACAGTATTACTTGACAACTAAATAATAAGCACAACCAAAGATATTTGTAAGAGTTGGGGTCCATTAAATATTGAAAATTATTAAGCATCTTGAGATTCGTAGAAACTAGGTGTTTGTATTGTATTCAAGTTAATATTGTAGTCTTCACTCGCAAGTTTAACAAACACCATTAAATTTAAAAATTTATTCAAATTTAAGTAGGTAAGCCAGCGTCACAAAGTACCTAAATCGAGTTAAGACTTCTCTTCTCTGTCTAACACAATATTGATTTTCTAGATTTACTTACTCTGCGCGTACCAGGGGGAGACACGAGACACCTTACTTAGTGACATTTTAAAAACCTGTGGAATGCCCCGGCGCGGCGCTTACATATTTGGGTTTTAAAGTGAAGGAATCCATACAGAGTCCCTTCTTTATTTCGCCGTAAAATCATGTTTTATGTAATTAACATCACAGTTGAAACAATAGGAGTTTTATTGTTGTAGCGGCATAAACAATTCTAAGTTATTATATTAAATTAATATACACATTATATTTCATTTTTCGTTTTTAAACTTTCGGCGGTAAAAAGGTCCCGTGTCACAGACTATCTTCTTTTTCCACCTCTCGTGCGCTCTGGCTTACGCATCACAAAAAGGTGCGTTCTTAAACGCCAGAAAAGTATGACCCACTTCTATTACTCTAACTTATAATAATTGTTTTAAGAGAAATTGTTTTATTTACAGTGCGCGCGGAAGCGCTAGTCACCTCCTGAGGTATGTAATGTTGTTGTGTGATAAGGCCTTTCATTTTGGGAAATGAATTCTACTGTCAGTTTATGGAGGGTAGAGGTAAGGAGAACCGTCTCTGTGTGTAAAAAGTGTCCGTTAAAATCTGTTAAGTAAGATTAGTGCTACAGTAACAACCGGGTAAATTTTAAAAAAGGCACTGAAAATTATTAGAATATGATAGAGGAAACTGCTCAATTCATATTATACCTCTGCCTATATGCTAGCGCCATTCTGGAGGATTTTTGAACTATTATTTAGTGCTGAAAGTGGGACGCTTTTTCAAGCTTCCTCCCATATGAGACGGTTCTCCTTACCTCTACCCTCCATAGTACAAAGTATAAAGTGTATTATCTATGGTATATATTAGGCCAACATTGGAGACTTTTTGGCGGGAACGCGAGGAATGAAGTTGTGTGATTTGTTTTACTTTGTCTATTTAGTGTTTCTTCGGGTTTAAATGTGTAATAATGGTGGTTTATTAACTTTTTAATATCTGTGAAAGTGCACAAATGTGGGAAAATGACACAAAGCTGCTGGACGTAACTTCTCGGGATCCGTCAAAAAGTCCACTGAAAAAATCTTAGTAAATGACCACCATTTTACTTTGATTATATTTCATCCCATTTCATTTCATTTAATTTCATCACAGTTGATTAATGTCTCAAATTAATAATTTCATTTAATTTCACTCCTTAATATCATTTTTCATAAAAATATGAATATAAATTAAAATAAGACATGACTTAAAGGTCTCAGTTACCAGGTCATAAAATCCCATAAAAAAAGAAAAGCCTACATACATTGGCTATCGCTAATTTCTAGACATTGTAAAAGAAAAAATACTTTTTGTTAAAGTTTTGGTTGTCATGCTGTTGAGTACCAAGATTCAAACCTTTCCTCATTTCTTGTCCCGTATGTACATTAATTACGGTAATAATATGCGTAATATGTAATATTCACGAATGATTTAATTTGCTACAAAAATAACCTTAGCCTTGCGGAGTGTCGTGTTAGTTTCAATTTAAAATATTTTAAAACTTTATGATATCGACGTGATGGCTGATAAAATAAGGTAAATATGACTGTCTTATAAAAATAAATAACGTTTAAACATTTGGAATAAAATGCTATAAAACGAATAACACTTTTACATAGGCAAATAACACTATGCAGATAAGTTTTCTAAAGCACATTTCTCACCATCAGTTTAAATGTAGAGAATCACAAAATCAATTTTCTTACAAAAACTGTTCCCTTAAGGTTAATTTCTATTTTATGTTCATAACTTAAAATTTATTAGTGCCATACACTACTAGCACATGAGATACTCTATGAATAATTATACTATCTAATTAAGAACTACCTTTTAACCAGAAAACGATGTTTTTTTCTTTCTAAAATAAACACTGCGATCTGATTGTATACATTATTGAATCTAGTGTTACCTCCCATTATTTCTTTAAATGTAAAACAATGTCTGCTTTAAGTAACGAGCTTTATTTATTTCAGAGATTATCTTTTTATCAATATAATCACGAATTTAAGGTGTAAACAAACAACCTAAAGTCTAAAAGCAACGGGTTACCTTTAAGAAACCAGGCATTCCATTATAATAAGAATATTAGTTTGTGCAATTGCTAGTCAAGGAACATGTAAAGATTTATTTACAACAGGTATCCTATTGTAAATAGGATTAATTTACAATAGGACCGTCTTCTGCTAGGAACCCAAACTGAACTTCTGCTAGGAGCCTAAACTGAAGGTTTTTATCCAAGCAGAGCTCCTTGTTGAATTTTCAGGAGTGTAAGGATGGTGTTTGTAAAATCCACCCCAATAAGTATACAAAATAGATGCAAAATGCAGATGTTGCATTTCCCATCATTTATTCACATAAGCCTTATTAGAAGTTTTCCTTACACTATTATGTGTGTTATAACAAACTCATCTTGTAATCATAGTTATTTCTGTATGCTTTATTCTGCACATGTAGCTTAATGACAACAAATCTATTAACGTCAAACGATGTGACTATGCAAAAAATGAATTTGCCAGTGTACCAATTTTCCTAAGTATATATGTAACTGTTGGTTGAATACACTCTGTATTGTAAGTCTACCTATCTTGACCATTTCTGGTGCAAACTAATCCCCTGTTTTATTAATGGGGAAGACAGGCCTCATATTATAGAATTTAACTTTTAATGTTATGTCCTATGGTGGGTGTGTGAATTCATGTTTTGTGTGGGCTAGGAGTACATCTGCTCACTTATAAAAATTTTAATATCTAAAAAGAGAAGCCTTTCAGTTGTTGTTTCAATATAATTTAGCCTGGCAAAAGATTTGATCTTACGACCCTAAAGTTGAGTAAATTCTGAAAGGCAGGCTGTATACTTTACACTGCATAAAGGCAATAGTTGATTCTTATTCCTTATTAGTTGTCACAACCAAACCACACATAATTATTATTTTTTATCATGAAATTTATCTACTTTTCAGAATAAATTCAAGATTTGACCAAAAAGAGAATTATGCCCCTTCAGATTCAGAAGATGGTTATTCTGAAAATGAAAAGCGATTATTGGATAAAGTACGTAAGAGAAAACATGAGTCTGATAGTGAAGAGGAAATGTATGCTTTCTCTGATTCTGACGAGGAATCAGATCAAAAGGATGATTTGGGAATAGCAGACAGTGATGTTGAAGGACAGGAAAAATCAGACGATGACTTACCTGATTCAAAAGCTTGGGGCAAAAATAAACAATCATACTATGCCACTGATTATGTTGACAAAGATTATGGAGGCTTCGGTGATGATGAAGAAGCTGCTCTTATGGAAGAAGAGGAGGCTAAGAATATTCAGAAGAGATTGCTAGAACAACTTGGAGATGAAGATTTTACCTTGGATTTCTTTACTAAACATGTACAAGACGCTGAAGAAAGAGAAACAGTAATAAAAAGTGATTTGAGCCAGTTGTCAAAAAGACAAAAGCTACAATTGTTTGAAAAGGAAAGTCCTGAGTTTTCAGGTCTTGTTGATGACTTCCAAACAAAACTTACTGTAGCTAAAGATAACCTACATCCAGTCTTGGAATTAGTAAAAGATGGCAAATTACCAAAATGTGCAGCATCAAAGTTTGTAAAAACAAACTATGATCTAATTCTAAATTATTGTACAAATATTAGTTTTTATTTGCTTCTAAAGAGTCAGCGAGTAAACATTCAAAATCATCCAGTTATAAAAAGGTTGTATCAGTACAGACAAATGTTGAATAAAATGGAACCGATATATTTGGAAGTAATTAAACCGCAAATAGATAAAATTCTTCTGGCTGTGAAGAACAACCTTGTTTTGGAAGTAAATGAACAAAAAGAAGCTAAGAAACGCAAGTTAGAAAAACTTATTTCAGAATCAACTCCCAAGAAATTGAAACTTATCAGTGCAACAGAAAAAGANTTGTATCAGTACAGACAAATGTTGAATAAAATGGAACCGATATATTTGGAAGTAATTAAACCGCAAATAGATAAAATTCTTCTGGCTGTGAAGAACAACCTTGTTTTGGAAGTAAATGAACAAAAAGAAGCTAAGAAACGCAAGTTAGAAAAACTTATTTCAGAATCAACTCCCAAGAAATTGAAACTTATCAGTGCAATAGAAAAAGATGAAGGAGAAGACACTGGAGTATCTGATGATGAAGAATATGAAGGGAATGATTACTTTAAAGATAACGATAAAGTTGAAAATGTGCCAAGAAGTAATGAATCTGAAGAAAGTGGTTTTTCAGATAATGAAGATACTGTACTTGGTGAAACAGAAGTTGACCATAATAAACCATCAACATCATCTCAACAAATTGTTACAGAAGATCTTGGAATGAAAAGAGAAATAACATATCAAATTGCAAAGAATAAAGGGTTGACACCCCATCGAAAGAAAGATCAAAGAAACCCAAGAGTCAAACATAAACTTAAATACAGAAAGGCTAAAATCAGAAGGAAGGGTGCAGTGAGGGAACCTAAGACAGAAGTGTCCAGATATGGTGGTGAATCATCAGGCATAAAAGCAAATTTGAAAAAGAGCATAACAATCAAGTAAAGAAATGTATTTATTGAAACAGTACATCTCATATTCATTTCATAATAAAATAATACTTTATGCAAATGTGTATTCAATGCTGCCACCTAGAACAAAAAAAACATAGTAAAATATTAAAAAATAATTTATATTTGTATGATAAACAATATAAATATGACAACTTACAACTTCAACACTTTATCTTTTCCTCCTGATGCCACATAAGCTCCATCTGGGGACCAATCGACAGCATACACTTCATCTGCATGACCTGGAAGATCCAACTCTAACTTCTTTGTTTTCATACTCCAAACTGAAAAGGAAGTTATTGAATGCTGCTGTTACATTAGAATAAAGTACTACAACATTTTGAGTATTTTATTTTAGAAATTATATACGTTTAAACTATAAATGGCTGATTAAATCATACTGTTGAGGCTTTGAACTTACATTACTATTTCTTTAAGGTTCGGTAAGTATGTCCAGTGCATTAAAAATGGTAGTAATTTCACTTCCATATATTATGAATTCAGTACTTGATTCTGAAGGTAATTAAAGGCTTTGGATAACATGTTGACTGAGGTGGAGACTGACCGGCGGTTGGGCTCCCAGATGGGTAGGGTGGGGGAAGATGTGTGTATCGCAGACCACGTCACCTCTATGTCAGATGCAGGTTATTGGGTGACAGGGACTTTTAGTTGGTTCAATTTTGACATGCTCCGCTATCAACACATAATCCTAAGTCAGGCGACTTCAACCTGGCTTAGATAATAACAACAAAATTCATACTATAACCATACTTCAAAGGTTGTCAGAAGCATTAATTGTTGTTTATTATGTTCTTAATTACAATATAGTTTACTTTTTTTTTCTTTTTTTTTTTTTAACTTTTTAACATATATATTTATTGTATTATATTATTATACATCTTTTTTATATTATATATTTTTACAATCATATATTAATCTACTATCCATAACACAATGAATCCTAATTTGGGGCCGCATTACCGTGCGTGATTTATTTTTATTCCTCTTCACTGTGAAAGTCAATCGTGAACATTTGATAAGTACAACTCGACCAAGCTAAGTTTGCACCTCGCTGGTATGCGGCGCTCCGCCCGCTTCCCCGCTCACCTTCCCGCGATCGCCCTGTCGCGTCAGTACGGTTAGCATCTTTGTCGCCGACACGCGTCATACGAGTTTTCGTCTACCTATCCGTTGAGTTTTAACTTTTTTTATTGTTCTTGTTAGGTTTTATGTTGAAGTTTAGTAATATTAATGGACTATTTTTGTTGAACTGTTGTTACTGAACGCTTAACGTTAATTTTTTTTTACTTCGAGATAATTGTTGTGGGCAACAAAAATGAAAGGAAAGGTCATAGACAGTGAAGGGACAAACATAATCCTGAAAAGGAAACATAAAGGAAAATTATTACTGAGCAATTGGGATACAAATTTAAAAAGTGCAAGAATGTCCGGGTGGTTTTAATACAAAAACCCGATATCGTTATATTCTAATGTACCTGTGTATAATATATTGTTAAAAACAATAAATGCAAAGTAAAATATAACAAACATTTGTTAACATTTTTAAAGTCATAGCGAATCCTTTTTTCAGACCATACCTAAGCGGCAGTGTGACGTAATCGATGCGAGGTGCAAACTTAGCTTGGTCGAGCTGTACGTANGGTGGTTTTAATACAAAAACCCGATATCGTTATATTCTAATGTACCTGTGTATAATATATTGTTAAAAACAATAAATGCAAAGTAAAATATAACAAACATTTGTTAACATTTTTAAAGTCATAGCGAATCCTTTTTTCAGACCATACCTAAGCGGCAGTGTGACGTAATCGATGCGAGGTGCAAACTTAGCTTGGTCGAGCTGTACGTATTTCATCCGTAATATTGGTACCTGCCTGCAGGATTCAAACACCGGTATAGTCGCTTGTCGCATCGCTTGATACGAACACACCGGCCGTCTTATGCCACAAGCCACGACGACTGGGGACATTGGATGTATTGGCAACTATCAATCAATAAATTTGTAGATGTATGATTACCTTTCAGTGTAGAATCAGCACTAGAACTTAATAGTAGTCTAGAATCTGCAGACCATGCAACCATGTATACAGCTTGAACATGTCCCCTTAATGTTGTTATAAACTTCCCACTTGCTGCTTCCCATAATTTCACAGATTTGTCAAATGAAGCAGACGCTATAATCCTTAGAATAAAAAATATTTCTAAATTAATTACTTAATTAATTAATTAGTTAAAAGTTAATTATACTAAATCTTATCTTATACCTTTAAACGAGCAATTCTTGTGTATATATATAATCTGAATCTCAGAAACGGCTCCAACGATTTTTATAAAATTTAGTATATAGAGGATTTCGGGAGCGATAAAACGATCTAGCAATTTTCAGAAAACGTTGTTTTATTCGTGTTTTCAATAATCAACTTTATGACTCTTCCCGAAATCTATTGGCGAATAATAATACTATTTTTCATAATTGAGAGCAACTAACTGCTTTAAAGACACAATAACACTAAAGCTATTTCAGCAGATGGCATTGTTAAGCCACCCGAAGCCAATGAGTGTTTCGTTTAAGGTTAGACCAAGAAAATGAATTGTTTATTTATATTATTTGTCTTTTTAACTCACGTGTTCATTTAAAAATGTCTAAACGATCTTGGAATATTTCATCATTTTGTCAATGTGTAATTCGTATTTAAATATAATTTCTAAAAAACAATTTATCAAAAACAAACAAATACCGAGCAACGGTCATCGTCTAGTGGCTAAATTAATATTTGTCAATAAAAAATTGTGGGCCCACACAAGTTCACTTCATAGCATGTATAATAACGTCAGATTATGGGTTTGAAGTAAATGGCGAAGGTGTAAACAAACCAGTGAAGAACACGACCTCAGATTTTTTTTGGATTTCAACAAGACGACAACAATGATTATACTAAAAACGGCAATATTTTTCACAAATATGTTAGTTGTGACTGAAAATTAAATTTGGACAGATTCATCAGTCAGGATCGTTAGCTATTGGGCTGGGTGGAGCTTAGATCATTAGCAGCTTTAAAAGGAAGGCAGTTGCTATTAAAAATATTTTCTATTGAGAACCGAGCACCATGTATACCTTGTATCTGGTGAAAATTTCACATCATTTATAAGTTGTTGATGTCCAGTCATTCTAGCCAGAGGCTTCTTTTCTTTTTCTGGTAGCCAGAGAAATAATGTAAAATCATCTGAACCAGAAACTAAACGTTCAGCTCCTTGTTGGCACACTGCATTATACCTGTCCAATGCTCTTTGCTGGAGAACATTCTCTGAAATAGCAAATTTGTATAGAGTTGGAACAGCTTTCCTTCGTTTGCCGCTAGGGGCGCTGTTTCAACTCCATACTTTTTACGCGATTGAGAAGTTAAAAAACTCGCACTAAGAACACAGATAGTTTAACAAAGTTACAACGTTCTGGTTGTTTCTCTACATTAAAAAAAGTTTTACTATAATTATTTTAAGGTATTATATGAATAATATTTAAATTAAACTTACTATCATCACTATATGCGTTATTGTCCATGACAGGATGAAAAGGTCCAGTACGTAACACATAATCCGTGTTTAGTGCTAAAGTGTTAACCCAATGAGCATGACCTTCTAATGTCCTGCATAACACCCCATCATCTGCCCTCCACACCTTTAGTAGAAGAAATTAAATTACTAAATACAGTCATACATACATACATGTTGTTATAATAAACTTAATGTAAATTGAGAAGATACACAATATCCCTTGTTGATATGTGTAATCTTATGAAATGCATAGTGCATGCCTAACTTGGTCATATTGAACATAGGCACTGAGAGCTGCTGCATACAGTCAAAAGTAGTAATTAGGTAATTATTTGTTGTTATTTTTATTAATACTTTAGTTCTTGAAGTTACTTGATTATTTATTAAAACATTGGTTGATTGTTAATATTGATTAAATTATTTATATGCACCCTTCTTCATTTATAAATAACACACTCATTTGTTACTTTCACACAAAATATCTAATGACCCATATAAATATTTATAACTGTATAAGATGGTTTAAATTTTGATTTATATGATTTACATACTGTTGTTTCTTGTTACTGTTTGTTTCCCAAATAAATAAATAAAAATACCTTGATTGTCCTGTCCTGAGAAGATGTGTAGATTAAACCATTACCACCCCATTTCACCGAAGTTACAGCTTTGGAATGTCCAGTCAAGCTCAACAATGTTAGACATGTTACCGTGTCCCATATCCTAACATCACCATCTTTGGATGAACTGGCAAGTTTTCTACATTCTGGGTTTCTGAAGAAAAGTAATATTTTTCAATCAAATAAGTATAGATAAGACCAACAGAACATGATGTACAGTAATGCAACATTTATAACATAAGCATGCCTATCACATCAATTGATACCATGTTCATAATAAGAAGAGGTAAAGTGACTAAAGAATTTTTATGATATGTTATGATCTCTGATTATATCTCACTTTTATTAAAAACAGTAAAGATCTATAGTCTTTTCAGAAACAGTACAATATACACCAATCTATATTTTATTTCATCATCATTTTTCATTTATTTCATTTATTAAGTCTTCATTTCCACATTGATTTCAAATAGAGCACAGTAGCAGGAGATGGATGATATTAAAACAACAACAACAGTACCTGTGGTAAGGTTCCCAGGCCAGAGCTGTTACCCACTGTTTGTGTCCAAGCATAGGTTTACCAATTTGATTACCAGTTGATGGATCCCATAAAATAATTCTTCCTTGTTTGCATGCTGATGCCAGTTTTTTTCCATCTGGCGACCAACTTATACAGAGTACCCAATTACTATGTCCTAAAACACTATAGTATCTTAAGTTACTTAGTTAAAAAAACAAGCAAAATTTTTACAAAATTTATATTAACACATTTTTTCTGGCAGTGTTTACTTTATGTAATCAACATGTGTTATATTTTTATTTTATTTACAATACTATTTACTTGTATAAGACATATCGACGCTTGAAAGGCAAACTTGACTAAGCAACAACAACTGCTTTGTACATAAATGATAGGCAATAACCATATTCGATGCGCAAAAAAAATATATTTCTAGGTCTATTAAAATCATTTCAATCCTACAGCTACTAGCTAGTCATGTTTGCCTTTCAAGGGTCGATATGTAGTGGGGTGGCACATCCGTGACAATTAATCCTAGTTTGCATTTAAAAAAAATTAAGCTATATTCGCTCATTCATCACATTGTGGCCATATTGTTGAAACCAGGCATTATGATGCTATTATTTAAAAATTACACAATACACAAATTATTCTAACTAGTTATGATTACTGTGTGATTGGTTGCAGTTAGGTGCGCTCATGGGCCCATTTGTAACTTTTAAAAATTTGTTATTATTGCTAATAGAATAGTAAATACCTTTACATACATGTAGAGGTGTCTGTGTGTTCAGATCCCAAAATCTGACAGTAGTGTCACCTGAGCCACTAGCCAGTTTCTTCCCGGAAGGGCTAAAGCACGTAGATATCACTGCTTCCGCATGACCTGGTATTGAACTGGAAATTGTTGACAAGTGTATACATATTTTTATTGGTTCTATATTGAATGACAGAGCAGTAAATTTTATATAATCGGATATGAACCTTTTTAGGTTGATATTATCATCTTGCATCAAGAATCATATCTTTAAGGACAATGGTGGCATTTATTTATTGTGTCTATAGACTCCAGCTAATGCCTTAATGCCTAGTGGGTTATGAGCTTATTTGCCCTCTGAAAAAAAAAACTTTGTACTGTTAGACAAAAGAAACAGATGTCTTAAGAAATCTTAGATAAATGAAGTAACATTTTGAATTGCAGACTTAAAAAATATATTTAGCTAGTACCATGTGTACCATGTAAGCTCATATGAGATACTTTACTTGCACAACTTTTTTCCAAACACTACATTTTTATAATAAAAGTATGTGCAGTAGTTTAAATTGAATGAACCCCTTTATTATTGTAGGCCTTGCTGTAAAGTATTTTGCAGGAAACCGAGCTCCATGCTAAAAGTGTGCACATCACCCATCATGTATAGGTAGTGTTTTTCAGCCAGTGACTATAATCACTCATCATGTACAGGTTGCCTTTGGTGACAGGTAACTATAATTACCATTCGTAGCTAAAGAGTTGGAAAAATTGCATGACTGACATGGCAGCTTTTGATGATTCCTATTTGAAATTTAAAAAATCCTGTAGAAGGCAGTTGTGCCAGTACCATGGCACTGTGTGGAACCTAGATAGGACTTTTGTAAAAGGATATAAAGATGAGGTAACAACCTGATTTGATGTAAATGCACTCAGAGTATAATACATAATTAAAATAATAGTTGGCAGTGAAGTACAGAAGAACAAGATTATTTATAGAAATCAAGCCTCATTGTAAATTCATATTTTGAAGTGTTAAGATTTACATTTTTATCACTCTTACTTACTTTAAAACGTTATATTATTTATGTATATGGTAAAAAAAGCAAATCATACCTAGTACACCTTGTGACTGGTCTAACTCTAAATACAGCCTGTTGTTGATATATTATCTCTACAACCTCTTCACTATTCAAGGTCTTTAGGTCCAATGCATCCTTTATTGTGGTTGTTATTTCAACATCTTTCACAAAAAAGAGGAATGGTTTATCTTCCTGTAATGTGTACACAATTCAAATTTTTTGTTTTAAACAGAATCTGTAATCGTTATTGTTAATTTTTTAATTAAAATTAATATTAAATATGTGCATAAATTTAAAGCCTATCTAGATTATTAGTAAGCATTAAATTATTAATGAAGGATATTTTTATTGAATATTTTTACCTCTTGTAAAAGTGCATTACATATCAGTTGAAGTTGATCTTTGGTTATATTTAGGGGCAAATCCAATGGACTTCCCGTTTCTTCTCCAGTGTCAGATTTAAATTTAGCTTGAATACAGCTCGGTGAATCTACCTCCATTATAGCACCACAAAACTATATCGTGTTAATTTTTTTTAAATAATTTGAATTAAGTTCAAGCTACTTCAATTCAATTCAAGAAGCAAACTTATGAGCTTATAGGCAGTTCATAACCTCAATTGGCAACCTTCTTTTTTGCATTGTATGGGCAGGCAGGAGGGCAGGCATTGGTTTGGTTGGTTGACATTTTTTTTTTTATTTGCATTAATGGACAGTCAAAGGGAAGCTAGCCCAAACTTTGTCTACTTAGAGAAAAGTAAAAGTGAGAGGAGTTGAACAATATGAAATTGATTTTTCCATATATACATCTACCTGAAGATCTTACTTAAAGGCTCCTACTAATTTTATTCATCATCATAAAAAGATATATTTTGACAATTTCAAAACTATATTTAAAGTATCAGCATGTCCTTATTGTGATGTTATAGTATCCACTGTAAATATAAGAATGTAAGGTCTTAATTTTTACGAATTGTCTTATTTTGTTAAAGTTAGTAGTGTTTCTTCTGTTTTATGTGTAGGACGGTTAAATTTGACCCCCGATCCACTAACGGTGCTTTTAGGTACCTCAAGCACCGGTCACCGTTCTCGTCGAATCCGGCGCTTGCGACGCCGCGACGAAGGGCTCGACGAGTAAATTAACCCTCAGATACAGCCCACTGAGTTTCTCGCCGGATCTTCTCAGTGGATCGCGTTTCCGATCCGGCGGTAGATTCTGCGAAGCACGGCTCTTGCTAGGGTTCGTGTTAGCATCATCGTCAGGTTTGAGCCCCGTGAGCTCACCTACTAGTTAAGGTTACGCTGGAATAGCCTCTCAAGGCTACCAGCTTAGGGAGGAAAAAAAAATTGAGTGGATTGGGTTCTGTAGGTTGATGAGGGGCTATTTAAAAAACACACTGCTTCATTATTATTATATTGCAAATACTTTGAACACTGTTACACCATTGTAATATTTTATTTTTATAAAACTCTTAGATGTTGCTGTGTCCGTGTCTAGATGAGAAGTCATTGTCTTCACTGACGAGAAGACAATTATTTGTTTTAAACATTTAAAATAATTCCAATATTCAAAATCTGTAACCTTACATGTGTCAAGTGTTGCCTGCCATTGCTTTCATATTAAAACTCCAACATTTAGTCTTCTTAAAATTATTTTGAACTTAAATAAAGTAAATTAAAACCACTTTACAGACAAGGAACGTGTCATTGGCTTTATTTTAGAAAAATTTTGAATATATGAGCTTTGGTCCCATTGCCTGATAAGAAAGGGATTAAATTTAAAAACTTAGCCATGTATATAATCTATGTTAGGTCGACTAGGCGTTTTGGTAATACGTGTTATGTTTATTTTAATAGTGAATTAAACTGTTGTTGCTACATTGCTGCGTGTAAAAATGAAATTTTTATATATATTGTTTATAATGTGGACTATAGTTCATTGCGATGAACACACACATTCCTATAAAGATGGAGAACAAGTAGTGCTTTGGATGAACACCGTGGGTCCGTACCATAACCGACAAGAGACATATGCCTATTTTTCGCTCCCGTTTTGCGTTGGCACTAAAGTCACTATTGGACATTATCATGAAACTCTATCTGAAGCTCTACAAGGCGTCGAATTGGAGTTCAGCGGTCTTGATATTACGTTTAAGGAAAATGTGCCGGCGCAGCAATTTTGTGCCATCGAACTCAACGATCAAACTTACAAAGCTTTCGTTTATGCTGTCAAAAACCATTATTGGTATCAAATGTATATAGACGATCTGCCAATATGGGGCACTGTAGGTGAGATTGATGGAGACCATTTTTACATCTGGACTCACAAGAAATTTGACATTGGGTATAATGGAAACAGGATTGTTGAAGTCAACCTTACAGCAGAAAACAAAGAACGGCTTAGTCCTGATGCAAAGATCCCATTTACATATGAAGTTAACTGGAAGAAGAGCAACATAAATTTTGAAGATCGATTTGATAAGTACTTAGATCCAAACTTTTTTCAACACCGAATTCATTGGTTCAGTATTTTCAATAGCTTCATGATGGTTATATTTTTAGTTGGTCTTGTTTCTATGATACTCATGAGAACTCTTCGAAAAGATTATGCTAGATATTCCAAAGATGATGATCTTGATGATTTGGAAAAGGATCTAGGTGATGAATATGGTTGGAAACAGGTTCATGGGGATGTATTCAGACCTGTACCACATTTATCTTTATTTTCAGCATTAGTTGGTTCGGGCTATCAATTGACTGTAGTAACTTTGGCAGTTATTATTTTCACTATTTTTGGAGAATTGTATACTGAAAGGGGCTCACTCTTATCAACTGCAATCTTTATTTATGCAGCTACATCCCCAGTCAATGGTTATTTTGGAGGATCCCTGTATTCTCGAATGGGTGGTAAATTATGGATAAAACAAATGTTGTTGTCAGCATTTTTCTTACCAGTCTTAGTTTGTGGGACTGCCTTTTTTATTAACTTTATTGCTATGTACTATCATGCTTCTAGAGCTATTCCTTTTGGCAGTATGATTGCTGTGATGTCTATCTGCACTTTTGTGATTTTACCATTAACTCTTGTTGGAACGGTACTTGGAAGGAATTTAGCTGGACAACCAGATTACCCTTGTAGAATCAATGCAGTTCCAAGGCCTATTCCAGAGAAGAAGTGGTTTATGGAACCTCTAATAATCATTATTGTTGGAGGAGTATTACCATTTGGATCTATATTTATTGAAATGTACTTTATCTTTACATCATTCTGGGCATACAAGATCTACTATGTGTATGGGTTTATGTTGCTAGTGTTCTTAATATTGATGATTGTAACTGTATGTGTCACTATTGTTTGTACTTATTTCTTGTTGAATGCTGAAGATTACCGCTGGCAGTGGACCAGTTTCTTATCTGCAGGGAGCACTGCAGTTTATGTGTATTTATATTCATTTTACTATTTCTTGTTTAAAACAAAGATGTATGGTTTATTTCAAACAACATTTTATTTTGGCTATATGGCTTTGTTCAGTTTAGCTTTAGGCATTATTTGTGGGACAGTTGGCTATGTAGGCACAAGCATATTTGTACGTAAAATTTACTCTACGGTAAAAATTGATTAAACCATTGATTTGTAAATGAATATTATGATAAATGCATTAATGAATGAAACAAAATTTTCATTCTGAAATGTTGAANTATTTCAAACAACATTTTATTTTGGCTATATGGCTTTGTTCAGTTTAGCTTTAGGCATTATTTGTGGGACAGTTGGCTATGTAGGCACAAGCATATTTGTACGTAAAATTTACTCTACGGTAAAAATTGATTAAACCATTGATTTGTAAATGAATATTATGATAAATGCATTAATGAATGAAACAAAATTTTCATTCTGAAATGTTGAATATAGCAATATTTTTTCATTAAGTAGCATATAGTACATGTTACTTATTATGTTATTTAGGTTATTGAATAATTATTGCAATATTTGCATTTAGGAATTACTGCTATGTGACAGTTCACATTCCTACAGTCAATATTAAAATTAAATGTGTAGATTTTTTTAATATGGTTGCTAACTCAAGCAATACTATTGTAATTATCACTATTTTTAACTGGCCTCTATCTGTTTTATATTTAATTATCCTTGCATATAATTCTTATTAATCACATTACACTTTAGGTATAGAGAGTATGTACCATTTCAATCAACCTGTAGTTAAATTTGAAAATTAATTAGTATTGTTTGTCATAAATAATCGAATAATCTATTGCAGAATGAATATAATAAACTTGAAATTTTATTTTATGGAAAATAAAAACCATACTTCTGGTAACAAACAACTAACAAAAAAACTCAATTTTTGTTATTATAACATTGCAAATACTTGTCATAGTGGCATCATGTGATGAATATGGGTTCTGGTAACCACTACACCAAGTGGGTTTTTCAACTCTTGGCAATCTCACAGGCGCAGCCAAGCTGGTGCCTAGTGTCAGTAAATTATTTTAAACATTCAAGCAGAATATGATGTAGGACTTAGGAAACATTTTCGAGGTGACTTGATTGGGAAAAGATCCCCTGAAAAATATATGGAGAGTTTCAGGCATGGGCAACAAAAAATAAAGAAATGTGTTGGCTTTGAACACCGTTTCAAATTATTCTTAAATAATTTATGAAATAAAAATAAGCCTGTTTTTGGACTAAATAAATTTGTTTTTGTGTAAAATGTAAAGCAATTCTAATAACTAGGTTTGCAAAAGTTACAATATCATCTACCTATCTGTTTTAATAGTTCTTGTGTAAATATTTTCAACTATTTAAGAATATGATTATGTTAAATTAGGAAATAGATGGATACATGTCCTTTTGTTAATAGATTAATGTTTTGTATGTGTGACTTGATATTTTATTTCAGTGACACAGTCTTATGTTATAACAAGTAAAAATAAAAACGTTTTATTTTAATTAAGTTAGTCATGCATGACTTAAACAAACTATATTTCTAACTTTACTAGATTTTTAAACAGTACTTTAAATTTTAGTTATCATGTTTCAATCTGATGTTAATAAATTATGCCATCCACTTGCTTTGTTTATTTTTATAATTAAGAATTTAATTAATAATACACATATTTTGAATATTAAAAATAAAACAAAAATGTAGTATCATGTATTTATATCACCTTAAACGAAATGAATTTTATTATTATATATCATTGCCACCATCAACAAATTCTTCAACATCAACAGCACCCTTTCTAGACTTCTTGCCACCTGGGATTTTAGCATTAAATGATTGTGCAGTTCTCTTTCGAAGCAATTCGATATCCTCATTTTCGTCAGATTGGTCTGCCCATTCTAACACTAATCGTCTGCCGTAGAGATGAGTTGACTGACATAGAGCATCAAAAGCACTCTACAAAAGAAAAATAATTTGAAGTATACACAATGTATTTGTATTCGAATGTTTTTATTACGATCTTTCAATACCTTAGAATCGGCTTTTGAGTGATAATCCACAAAAGCAAAACCTCGATGTTGGTCTGAACCAGCTGTTAATTTTTTTGGCAGTCTTAATGTTTTAATTTCACCAAAAGCCCTGTGGAAACGTTGATAAATTGAACAGAATGTTATTACTTGATAAGACCGAACATTGTAATACAATCTAATATTAATGCGATAGTATGATTACTCGTAATTCTATATCAGTTAAAACATCGTAATTTCATAATTAGTAAATGTATGTTTTTGTATTATTACCTGAATATTTCGTGTAGCTCTTTCTTGTTTGCTTGGAAAGGAACATTTCGAATTAATATTTTCGTTCCATTTTGTTCTATAGTTTTGTTGCTCTTTTTTGAAGACGCAATGTCATTCCTGTTCACAAAGGGGTGTAATTATTAAAAATGGAATTGAGAAAATATTTTGTTTATTTATTTAATTCGTAGATGGGTGACCATTTGGTGTTACCGGACCCCATAGACATATCACAACTTGAGTGCAGGAATCTTGAGATATGAGAACCAAAACTTAGTTGTAACTGCTTTCCGTCCTATCAAGCCGAAAGCCATGGTTACTTCGCAGAAATAGGCGAAAAGTGCGGGTTCTCAGTATGCTCTACCAACGATCGCATTAAGCTGGCTCGATACTCTAGAGAATGCCACTGCCAATTTACGGTGATTCTAGTAGTACGTTTTTTACGACACCTACGGGAAGAGATGGAGTGGTGTGCCCTTATAGGACACAGCATAACTAAATTTCAATCACTAACAAAATATCAGGTGTTAAATCATAAATAATCATTTTGAACATACGCGTTTCCCTTTTCAGAACGTTTCAATTCTAATGTTTTTCCATCTAAAGTAGAACTTTGTAGCAACTTAAGTGCTTCGTTTGCGTGTTCTCTCCTGTAGAATTGCACAAATCCGTAGCCCATTGAAAGGAATTGTCCTGGATTTTTAGGGTCTTTCTTCTTTGCTATTGTTACATTATGTATTTTTCCGCAAACTGAGAAATGCTGAAAAAAATAATTCTCATATTCCTTTTTTTTTTGTTACAATACTGTACCGCAATACTTGATTTGTTGGTGAAAAAGTCAAGCAGCCTTTTTGGGCTTGGGATTGTATCACCAATATGCGGCTCTGTCTTGATTAGACGGAGCAACTAGTAACCACAGCTGTGCGTTGCTGTATCACTCGATACATAAGATTGTATTCTCGAAAATTGTTTTAAATTTTTAATGGTAGGCAGCGGCTTGGCTCTGCCCTTGGAATTGCAGACGTCCATGAGCGACGGTAACCACTTACCATCAGGTGGGCCGTATGCTCCTCTGTCTCCAAAAGCAATAAAAAAATAAAAATAAAAATTGATTACTTGGGAATGTGGCTTGTACCCTCTAAATTGGGAAGAGCGGCTGCTTTTGCGGCCGGAATAAGCAAGCAAACTTTTTATTTCTTCGATCGGGTCAAGCGATTCAAAGACATCTTGGGCGTCTCGAGTTAATAGGTTGAATTCGCAAGGACTGCTTTACCCTTCGAACCAGATTGTATGACTTGATGCTGTGCGACCAAAATAGAATGCTGATTGCATAAGGTGCTCCTAACAGGCCCTACTAGTTGCGCAAGTTTATAAATTCGGCCAATTTAGGACGTAATACAGAATAATGTATGGATACACCCTGAAGGACATTGTCGAGAAGTTAATATACGTAATTAATGGCCTAGTTTCTGATTAATGGAATTTGAAGAATCGCGAGTAATGTGAGATAAGTTTAATTAAAAAACGTTTTTAGTGATAACTAGCTGTTTGAAATGATTAATGAACGTTGCTAGGCTTCAGCGATTTTGATATCAGAATTTTTCCAATGGATAATTAATTTGTTACTAAAACTGATTAGTTACATACCGATTTTAATGTTTCTTCTGTGGTTTTAAAATTAAGATTTTTCACAAACAACATCGTGTCTTTTTCCGGGTCACCTTCGACGATTAAAGTTTCCTGAGAAACATTTTCTTTACGATCTTCGACTTCGTTTGATTGTATGTTTTCACTATCTTTTTCTGTATCTTCAACTACTTTATTATTTGTATCTGGATCTAATTTCTTTGCAGATTTGGCGAATACGTTTTCGGGTGCCCATTCTAAATACAAAGGCCCACTTTTAAACTGCGAATACGCTAGTTTGTTGAACGCTTTTTTCGCTTCGAATGGTTCTATGAAATCTATTAGTGCGGCCAGTCCATGTTTCGGCATTAGAAATCGCGCCAATTCACCATGCTTCTCAAACATTTTTCGGATTTCATCTATACTGGTGTCGGCGGGCAAATTCTTAACCAATATGCAAGTTTTTGATCGTTTTTTTGCTGGCTGTAATGTGTTTAATGAATCGCATACTTTTTGTGTTCTTTTTGGTATGTTATTAGTTTTATTATATTAGTATTCTATCCTTTTTGGTGTTGCGTCGAGATTCGGAGACGCAATGAATTATTTAATTCTTATAATACAAAAAAAAAACTGGTGGTAGGACCTCTTGTGAGTCCGTACGGGTAGGTCCACCACCCTGCCTATTTCTGCCGTGAAGCAGTAATGCGTTCGGTTTGAAGGGTGGGGCAGCCGTTGTAACTATACTGAGACCTTAGAACTTATATCTTAAGGGTGGCGCATTTACGTTGTAGATGTCTATGGGCTCCATTAACCACTTAACACCAGGTGGGCTGTGAGCTCTTCCACCCATCTCAGCAATAAAAAAATTAAATTATAAATTTTAATAAAGATAATAAAGTTTCTTCTAGCCGTTATTAAATACCACGAAATTTGTTGATCACAAAATTTATGAGATAAGATACCAGACAACAAAACAATTTAAAAGATAAATAATAACTTGTTTTTTAAAGGTCATCAGTGGTGTAACGATATTGCCGGTGTCTGTAGGCCGCGGTCATCATTTACTTAAGGTGGAACTTTGCATAAATATTTAGTAATTGAAGACATGAGTGGATGAAGGGGATATGATTTAATTTTTTTTTTTTTTTTTTTGGTTTCATGTGTGTTTTAATGTTTCCGAAGCGAAGCGAGGGCGGGTCGCTAGTTAGTTA